TTCCGTGATCTGTAGCCTCCAGAATCGAAAGAAAATGGCATTTCGGAAAAATCGCCCAAAATCTGTGATTGTACCCCTTTGCAATCCGCAAAAAACTCACCCGGAATAAATACGCCTAAATCGGTGCTTAATGGACGTAGTCATCGTTGAAGAATAGTCTCAGGCCGAATCCGTGATCTGTATCCTTCAAAATCCAAAGAAAATGGCCTTTCGACGCCCACGAAATTACAAAAATGCCATCCGAAAAATAAATTGTCCCAAATCGCTGTTTACTGGACTTATAATCCGTGGAGAATAGGATCAATAGATTTCATTATCGTGGAGAATAGCCTCAGCCTGGTTTCGTGTCTGTAGCCTCCAGAATCGAAAGAAAATGACATTTCGGAAAAATCGCCCAAAATCTGTGATGGTACCCCTTTGCAATTTGCTAAAAATTGGCCCGGAATAAATCTGCCTGAATCGGTGCTTAATGGACTTAATAATCGTTGAAGAATAGTCTCATGCCAAATCCGTGATCTGTAGCCTTCAAAATCCAAAGAAATTGGCCTTTCGACGCCCACGAAATTACTAAAATGCCATCCGAAAATAAATTGGCCCAAATCGGTGTTTAATGGACTTATCATCAGTGGAGAATAGGATCAATAGACTTCATTATCGGTGGAGAATAGCCTCGGCCTGGTTCCGTGATCTGTAGCCTCCAGAATCGAAAGAAAATGGCATTTCAGAAAAATCGCCCAAAATCTGTCCTTTGCAATCCGCAAAAAACTCACCCGGAATAAATACGCCTAAATCGGTGCTTAATGGACGTAGTCATCGTTGAAGAATAGTCTCAGGCCGAATCCGTGATCTGTATCCTTCAAAATCCAAAGAAAATGGCCTTTCGACGCCCACGAAATTACAAAAATGCCATCCGAAAAATAAATTGGCCCAAATCTGTGTTTAATGCACTTATAATCCATGGAGAATAGGATCAATAGACTTCATTATCGTGGAGAATAGCCTCAGCCTGGTTTCGTGATCTGTAGCCTCCAGAATCGAAAGAAAATGACATTTCGGAAAAATCGCCTAAAATCTGTGATGGTACCCCTTTGCAATTTGCTAAAAATTGACCCGGAATAAATGTGCCTGAATCGGTGCTTAATGGACTTAATAATCATTGAAGAATAGTCTCATGCCAAATCCGTGATCTGTAGCCTTCAAAATCCAAAGAAATAGCCTTTAGACGACCACGAAATTACGAAAATGCCATCCGAAAATAAATTGGCCCAAATCGGTGTTTAATGGACTTATCATCAGTGGAGAATAGGATCAATAGACTTCATAATCGGTGGAGAATAGCCTCGGCCTGGTTTCGTGATCTGTAGCCTCCATAACCGAAAGAAAATGACATTTCGGAAAAATCGCACAAAATCTGTGATGGTACCCCTTTGCAATCCGCAAAAAAATTGACCCGAAATAAATTCGCCTAAATCGGTGCTTAATGGACGTAGTCATCGTTGAAGAATAGTCTCAGGCCGAATCCGTGATCTGTATCCTTCAAAATCCAAAGAAAATGCCCTTTCGACGCCCACGAAATTACAAAAATGCCATCCGAAAAATAAATTGGCCCAAATCGGTGTTTACTGGACTTATAATCCGTGGAGAATAGGATCAATAGATTTCATTATCGTGGAGAATAGCCTCAGCCTGGTTTCGTGTCTGTAGCCTCCAGAATCGAAAGAAAATGACATTTCGGAAAAATCGCCCAAAATCTGTGATGGTACCCCTTTGCAATTTGCTAAAAATTGACCCGGAATAAATCTGCCTGAATCGGTGCTTAATGGACTTAATAATCGTTGAAGAATAGTCTCATGCCAAATCCGTGATCTGTAGCCTTCAAAATCCAAAGAAATTGGCCTTTCGACGCCCACGAAATTACGAAAATGCCATCCGAAAATAAATTGGCCCAAATCGGTGTTTAATGGACTTATCATCAGTGGAGAATAGGATCAATAGACTTCATTATCGGTGGAGAATAGCCTCGGCCTGGTTCCGTGATCTGTAGCCTCCAGAATCGAAAGAAAATGGCCTTTCGGAAAAATCGCCCAAAATCTGTGATGGTACCCCTTTGCAATCCGCAAAAAATTGACACGTAATAAATCCGCCTAAATCGGTGCTTAATGGACGTAGTCATCGTTGAAGAATAGTCTCAGGCCGAATCCTTGATCTGTAGCCTTCAAAATCCAAAGAAAATGGTCTTTCGACGCACACGAAATTACGAAAATGCCATACGAAAATAAATTGTCCCAAATCGGTATTTAATGGACTTATAATCCATCGAGAATAGGATCAATAGACTTCATTATCGGTAGAGAATAGCCTTGGCATGGTTCCGTGATCTGTAGACTCCAGAATCGAAAGAAAATGGCATTTCGGAAAAATCGCCCAAAAACTGTGATGGTGTACCCCTTTGCAATTTGCTAAAAATTGACCAGGAATAAATCTGCCCAAATCGGAGCTTAATGGACTTAATAATCGTTGAAGAATAGTCTTAGGACGAATCCGTGATCTGTAGCCTTCAAAATCCAAAGAAAATGGCCTTTCGACGCCCACGAAATTACGAAAATGCCATCTGAAAATAAATTGGCCCAAATCGGTGTTTAATGGACTTATCATCCGTGGAGAATAGGATCAATAGACTTCATTATCGGTGGAGAATAGCCTCTGCCTGGTTCCGTGATCTGTAGACTGCAGAATCGAAAGAAAATGGCATTTCGGAAAAATCGCCCAAAATCTGTGATGGTACCCCTTTGCAATCCGCAAAAAACTCACCCGAAATAAATCCGCCTAAATCAGTGCTTAATGGACGTAGTCATCGTTGAAGAATAGTCTCAGGCCGAATCCGTGATCTGTATCCTTCAAAATCCAAAGAAAATGGCCTTTCGACGCACACGAAATTACAAAAATGCCATCCGAAAAATAAATTGGCCCAAATCGGTGTTTAATGGACTTATAATCCATGGAGAACAGGATCAATAGACTTCATTATCGTGGAGAATAGCCTCAGCCTGGTTTCGTGATCTGTAGCCTCCAGAATCGAAAGAAAATGACATTTCGGAAAAATCGCCCAAAATCTGTGATGGTACCCCTTTGCAATTTGCTAAAAATTGACCCGGAATAAATCTGCCTGAATCGGTGCTTAATGGACTTAATAATCGTTGAAGAATAGTCTCATGCCAAATCCGTGATCTGTAGCCTTCAAAATCCAAAGAAATGGCCTTTCGACGCCCACGAAATTACGAAAATGCCATCCGAAAATAAATTGGCCCAAATCGGTGTTTAATGGACTTATCATCTGTGGAGAATAGGATCAATAGACTTCATTATCGGTGGAGAATAGCCTCGGCCTGGTTTCGTGATCTGTAGCCTCCAGAACCGAAAGAAAATGACATTTCGCAAAAATCGCCCAAAATCTGTGATGGTACCCCCTTTGCAATCCGCAAAAAAATTGACCCGGAATAAATCCGCCTAAATCGGTGCTTAATGGACGTAGTCATCGTTGAAGAATAGTCTCAGGCCGAATCCGTGATCTGTATCCTTCAAAATCCAAAGAAAATGGCCTTTCGACGCCCACGAAATTACAAAAATGCCATCCGAAAAATAAATTGGCCCAAATCGGTTTTTAATGGACTTATAATCCGTGGATAATAGGATCAATAGACTTCATTATCGGTGGAGAATAGCCTCGGCCTGGTTTCGTGATCTGTAGCCTCCATTTATTTTCGTAGAAACCAGGCAAGGCCTTCGGTTCCTGGTTCGAGTGTGAAAGCGAGGTGCCGCCATATTGAAAGATTTTTAGGGACCAACACCGGACAGGCAGACCTCTAATCGTTGAATCCTATAAACAGTTTCAGGTACGTTAATATTAAATTAAAAAATTTATTTTCATTGAATATTCACAATAATTGTTACCAAACAATAAACATTTTAAAATTTATTTTAAAGAGTGACAATCTATAAATTTAAATTCAACTCATATTCTTCATATTCTCTAGTCTCCACGAACCCTATAAGTAATTGTCAATGTTGTCAGAACCGAACCGGAGCATGACCCGATAATGTAAACGACTCGCACTTTAGTGGTCCAACCGACATTAGACCGTTTAAAAACCATTAGAAAACCGGTACCTAATAAACGTTATCAGTATAAGTAGTGGACATTTCTCATCTCTTTCCTTGAAAATTGTGAAATGGAAATAAGGATTCAATTTCAGAGCCCGACGTTTTTTATTTATTTCAATTTTCAATTTTCTGCAAATTTTTTTAATTAAATTTAACGGCTGAATGGCAAAAACCGGACGAGCGGCTCGATCGGTTCAAGCGGTTAACCGCTCGTCAACAGCTACATAAAACCGGAGCAGTTTTTAGACTTTCGAACTGATTTTGTGACCGGGTGACGATTTTACCGGTCAGGCTGAGCAACTCGGCTTTAATAATACGGGTAATTGTGATAGAATGGTCCATTGTCAAGGCTATGTACCTCGCTCGATTCTACAGGGAATGGGGCAATCCCTGCACTATAGCTAGTCAGATAATACCCGCGAAATGAGTTCATATTGCCATCATTACATATAGGTTTACTTAAGAAAACAAAATGATTACCATGCCATAGTTGCCGCTATTTTTCAGTTAGATTGCACAAACCATAGAAAAATAAGGGATACTCATCATTCCCCTTACATAGATTTCCACTTCGAGTAGCTACTGGGAATCGGCAAGCAATAAATGAACTTATGTCTGGCTTACAAAAAGGTTCCAGTCCGACATAAAGCTTCAAAGGTTGCACAAAATGGAACATCTAGACCAATCTCTTAATACCCATCCATGTCTGTTACAAGATCCACTTGATAGTCTCCAGAATATGGCACCGAACAGAACGACAGATGAAGTGCAAAGCACCAACCCTTTTACCTGAGGAATAAACCAACAAAGCTAAGAGAGCTGCAAGGATAAGTGACTAGCTAAAGCCAATCAAGAGAGTTTCCTGGAATAAGGTCAGTGTACCGGGACAAACTCTTGCTTCTGCTACGGCTCCTGCTGCCACTAGGACTCCTGCTAACACTCCGCTTCTTCGGGCTTTTACTCACGTGCTTCTGATTATGCAGACAATGAAATATGTTAGTCACTAGAAGAGCTGAGAGTGGAAAAAATTGTCTCACTAATTGTAACCTACAACTATTCACATTGACAAAAGGATTTGACACAGTTGATCTCCTGAGGTCAACTACACAGCTTATCACTGCCAATACTGAATTCAGTTTTCAGACCCAAGTACATTAGACAAACAGAAACCAAAAGAGTAGAATTCAAAAAAACATATTCTTAGCAACTGCACATTGGCCTCCAAATGAGAACTACTTACAGGTGGAACTGGAGATCTGGATCTGGACCTTGATCTGCAAAAAGTCCCACAAACAATCCAAAATTTAAATTCCACACGTTCCTGTTAACTACTGTGATCCAAGAGCCTTGATGCCACTTCCACGTCAGAGATACCACATTCAAACCGAAAATAAACAGAAAACCCACAAAACTTTAGCCATTAAGAAAAATGATGAATAATAATTGAAGGCTCAATTATCATAATAATAATGCCAAGCAGAAAACAAACCCAACCCGTTAAAGTTGGAACAGCAACGTGGCCTTTTTTAGTTTGTTGAACATGCCAAAAGCATATGCATCCAACTGTACCAAAAATCCACAAGTAGTCCAACTAGCAGATCCTATTAGCCTGGCAATTGTTGAAGTAGAAAAGCATAATCAATTTTGTTTCCACTGCCCATTGCTGGTGACTTCCAGATCCACTGGCAGTTAGTTCCAGCTCTACTATTGCAATCCATTATCTCCTTTTGTCCCAATCTAGCACCCATGGACAGTTGTCATGCTAAATACATTAGAACATAGAGACTGCAAGGTTTCCAAAGCTGTCCATCTTAAAAACAGCATACCTCTAAAACCCCAAAAATGACGAGGGAACTGAACCATATCCATCAAGATCCTAAGATCCAATTCCCAGATGGCTGCATATCAAACAAGACAACTTTCATACCGCAAAGTGCATATCACGGTGATTTTGTAGTGCAGAACTAATCTCTGCACTCCACCACTTACTAAAAAGAAGAACACTAAAGTCAAAGAACAGAACAGCTACAGAGATACGAAGTTTTAATAGGCTGTTTATAGAAGTTTCTCATCGAAGGCCTAAATACGTTTTACCCCGACCAGATCCCTATGTAGAGCTTGGTAGAAAACAAGAATACACATCAAGATTCAAGAGCGTAGATGGTTAGACACCACAAGCTATCTTAGCTAAACTGCGGGTAATTAATCAGTTCCAGTCATAATACAATTCCAATCAAATCCAGTCCGAACTGGAAGGAAACCAATAAGTAGTAAGTTGCCTTGGAGAAAATAAATAGCAAAAATTATTCAATCTAAGCATTTTCATCCGCAAAATTATGACGCACCAACTTGGCAGAGATAAAATAGAAATTTAAGCTTAATATACAAACTAGAATATAAAGATTATACATACTTCATCTTAATAAAGACTAGTAGCAACCACAACTGATACCTGGACAAAGAGCGTGACCTTGACTTAGATCTGGCTGGAGAATGACGAGAGGATTTATTCTTAGGCGACTTGCTGAAGCACAAGACAAACAAATCAGTAAACAGAACATAATAAAAAATGTGGGGAAACAGGATTCAGCCAACAAATTACGAATATAAAAAATCTGTACACCCAAGCTCAGAAACAACAGAAGATAGCCCCTGATAAAGCTTATATGCCATGTTCAACACACAAAAAGAGAGTGAGAGAGAAAGAGAGAGACCTCAGACTCCGACTCAAACTGCGAGCACGGCTGCGGCTTCTGCTAGGACCTCGTGAACGAGATCTACCACGACTAGGACTCCTAGAGAAGTCTCTCTTGGAGTCGTACTCCCTTACCTGAAAGCAATACAGAAAAAGTAACCTTAATGAATCTCAAAGGAAGATAATAGTCAAGCTACACATGCCCACAAACGAAGGGAAAAATGGACAGAAAAAACAATACTCATACCCGAACATATGAACGGGAAAAGGCATTTCGAAACTCCGAGTCATCGAGTTTCTTGATCTACAGGTGAAACAAGTATTGTGCATCAGAACACCACAAAGACTATGGAAACAAGTTGGCAATATGTCTTTCAAGTGTCAACAGCCAAGAAAAACTTACTGCATACTTCATGTCTTCATAATTCGTATAATCCACAATACCTGTAGTGCCTGAAGACAGCCATGAAAGTAAAATAAACACGTTGAGACAGAGTTGATCAACAAGCTTCTAAAGTCTAGGCTCAGCAATCAGTTAGTATAATGTTACTGGACAATGGACAAAGCACGTCATTATACTGAAACTTGTTGGGTTGAGGAAGAGAAAGAACCATGATCAAGCTAGGCCATTATCCAATCTAAATAAATTGAATCCCAAGACTTTTCCGTTAAATATGCAAAAATCTGGGCGGAAAAAACATGATATTAATTGTCCAAATAGCACCATGGAAATTTTTCAAGCAAACAACCCCAAAGGAAACTAAAGGACAAGTCAGAGACTAGCATTCAGAATAAAAGCAAAAGTCTTACCATTGTCATCACGGAACACCTGGGAAAAACAGACATCGCCAGCTCGCCTCATGTGATCCTGGGAAAGAAAATATTTATAACTAATCAGCCAAAATGAGAACCAAAAAGGTCACAATTGCATAGAAATAACAGACATTTGCATACATTATGCTTGACTCTCGAAACATATGCAAATATATTCACGAATGACACTCACGGACGTTATAGCCCAAATACATTATGAGAAAAAAGGGAGTTCCAGTAGTCACCTTGAGGTCTTGCCATGAAGCGGAAGATGGTAAGCCAGAGATCAATACTGCATCACAATCAACCCCAAGTTAAAGATAAAGATCTAGCCCCAGCTAATTTTCCCAGTGAGTAGCATAATGAAACAAAATTGCATGCTAAGCAATACACACCACGAAATTCAGATCGTCTAGAAACACCACGCCCCCGACCACCACCGTGACTGCTGTGACGGTCTGATGAGGAATTCCCACGACCCCCATGTGCAAGTTCTACCTACAAGACACAAGTAATTAACTCACCAATGGGCAGTTTACATACCAACTCACAGAAAAGAAAAGTATTTATATATCAATAAAGAAAGTAACAAACCCTCAAGCGATGCCCGTCAAAGTCATACCCATCGCGACCACGAATAGCATCTTCAGCATCACGAGCATCTTCAAACTGAGGGGGGGAATCATCAACTAGGGCAGTAATGATGCAAACAAGATCAGGTAAGAAAACTCACCTCCACAAAAGCATAGCCCGGAGGCCTGGGTGGAACCTTCAAATCAATGTGAGCAATATGTCCAAACTGAAACAAAGTACCACAATCAGATTTCCCAGAATAGGTTATTTCCTGATAGAAGAGCAAATGCAATCGCATCTTTGTTGTCTCGTCTAACAGCTTCCTTCTTGCACATCTAAAGTAATCATCATAAACTAATAGTTCAGCTACCCTTCATACCTAGCTAAAGCCTGAACAGTTTCCACTACTGTACAGACATGATGTCTTACATATATGGGTAGTAGGCAATATATACGGTAAATTATGGGTTAAGCAACAATAAATTAAATTCTAAAACCTCAAACAGGCAAAAATAGCAATACCTTGTAGAACAAATCCTCCACTTCCCTCTCCCGGATATCTCCAGGCAGATTGCCCACATAGACAGTCCTGCTGGCACGGCTACTCATTTTATCCCTAAAATTAAAGACAAGGGCTTTCACAATCTAAGCAACTTATAAGTAACAATCCAAACCGAAATTCTGTCAAGAAGTTCCACGACTCAAAAGACAGAAAAGAAGAAGACCGATAATTTCAACCAGGGAGGAACCAATTCGTGGGACGTCGTACATATATAATGGGAACTATTGAGTATTAAGTAACGAGCAATAATGTTGGTGAGATAAGGTAAAATAACGGACGCAGGCGTCCAGCACGGTAACGAGAAAGAAGAAAGATTGACGAAATTGATCTCAAGTACTTGCAGCGATTAGAGGATAGAGAGAACGAGACGGATGTAGGGACTGAGAGGGAGAGAGTTACCTTTCGATGATACTGTAGATGAGTGCCGAAAGGAAGAATTGGAATTAGGGTTTTAGAATGGAGAAGACGGGAGACTCCGCCTCGTAAATAGGGGTGAGTACTGAGTGGGTCAACAAACAAAATGGAAAACCGACCGAACCGTCTAGCCCAAACCGACCCACTTAATCAAGAAAATTCAATTTTATGTGTAGGTGTCGACTTGAAATTTTGAAAACTGTGGCATTGTGATTGGGTGCAAATTTTGATGGTTATTACCGGGGGAAAAATTGATGGTTACAACTCGATATTACCTAAACCTATGTGTGATACAATATTATTCATAAAAGTTTTATATATTTGATATATATATATATAATATATTCTTCTAAATACAAATATCTTTAGTTACTTCTTACCTATATCATTTGTTTTCATAGTTATAATTGATAAATTATAAATTCAATAATTGATTAAAATGTTCACTTAAGTGAAATATTGTTTAAATTTTTTTATTTGTCTAGTATGAATTCACATATTAAATTTTATATACTTATATTGAATTGATTTTTCATCCAACCGACCCAAATTGTGACTCAAGAAACACATAGGATCTTGAACTTAATGGGTGTGTTTGGATTATCGTAATTCAATCTGTAACTCATTGATTTGGTGGTTAAAATGCTCGAAACGAACACAAACTATCTATGTACATTTCTAGAGGTGCACATTTAGTCGGCTCGATCAAAACCAAACAGAACCCGATTAAAATGGAATCAAAATACCCTCAATTTGGTAATCGATTTCAAGTCAAGCATTAATTTGTTTGGTATGTTTCGACCGAAAAAAGTCGAATTTGGATCGAAAATGATCGGACAAACTGTAATATATAATACTAAAATGAGAACCTTCTCTACCCCCAATGCCTCTATCCATTTTTCTTTCTCACCCTCACTGCTTTTTGTGAATCACTAGTCTCCTCCCTAATCTATTGGTCTCTCGTGCACTATTTTTCTTTTAGAATAGTGTATCTCGATGGTGGGACGACGAGCTTAAGACGGCGTTCAAGTTTCTGGATGCCTTCATAGGGTAATTTACGCAACAACACGTTGGGAGAAGCCATGCTGGACCTTTGTGGGGCGATTATATTCAGAGGATGACTGTTGGAGACTGACATAAAGGAATGGATTGGATGATTTGAAGAAGCAGGGGGTGTCGGGGGTGCTTGGCGTCGGAGGTAGAGCTAGCGGTCGTTTAGTACAACAATTGGCCATTTGTTATCTCCAAATGAGAGACAGGAGTTGGATCATGAGGTTTGGGTTTCAAGGTTGGGCACAGGAGCGTGAGTGTGTTCCAGAGGGTCTGAGTCATGCATTTGGCTGGGTGTTTTGTTGGTTCGGAGGTTTGTGTCAAAAATCGAAGTTCGGTTTCGGTTAATTTAGAGCTGATGGGCAAAGTAAGTTGTGCCGCAAAATGAAAACTTATTAGTCAATCAAGTGCTAGTTCAATATAATTTGATTTCGGGTCAGTTTATCTTTATCAAAATGGATGCCCACCCCTACTCTTAAATTCTTATCAGAAATAGGTTATTGGAGGAGACGCAGAGTCCACCTCTACAACAAAAGTTAGTGTGTTAAATGTAATTTGTTATCATGGTGATAACATGAACCCTAACTATTAGGGGGAAAAATCCCCTTCATTGACTTTTATATTTAAAAGTGGGTTACACTTGTCATTTTTAATAATTATAGGGAGAACACGCGTGTGGACCACAAGTGTCATAAAACATATAAGAGAATTCAGACAAAAAAACAAGCCTACATTCCACGATAATAGTAAATAAGGTTATTGAGGTGACATAGTGCGAATGACTATTGCATAAGATTATGAAACATTTTTTACATCTTTGGATGTTAAATCTTGAAATCGGTCTATGTGCTCTGCTCCTATGATGGGCATTGCCTTGAGGATTCCTCTCCATAATGGTAAGTGTCTACTGGTTTTTATAGAGTTTAAAGCACCATCCCTATGCCTAAAGTATTTGCTTTGAAATAACTACACCCAAAGGGCCTTTTCATTGTTAAGGATTTGCCAAGCCAACCTTACAAGGTAAGCCATATTCAACTACGAATACTCCTAAGTCCAAGACCCCCTAATCTTTGGGTTTACAAATAATATCCAATCAATTAAGTGCACTTTCCGTTTGCCATCCTTAGCTCTCCACACAAAGCCTATATGATCTTTCTATGAATTTCATCACACTGACATAGGTAAGACAGAGGATTGCATAACATAGTTAGGGATGAAGTTCAACACAACAATAACTAGAGTGGCTCTACCAGCAAGGGAAAGGTTTCTAGCTTTCCAAGCATCTATCGTACTATCCATTCTCTCTAGTATATGTTTATGTATATCCCTAGTAACCCTTCCATGCAAAACAAGGGCGCTTAGGTATTTTTCTAAGTCAGAAGTAGTTTGGATGCCAAGGCGATTACATATAAGAGTTTTTTCCAGGTTTCTGACATTCGTAGAGTAAAAGACCACAGAATTCTCCTTGCTAATAAGCTCTCCTGGGTCAAGGCAGAACTTCTCAATCCATTCCATTACAATTTCTTCTTGCCTCGGATTAGCTTCAGCAAAAACAACAAAGTCATCAGCAAAGAAGAGGTGTAAGAAAGTTCAAGTCCTCCTTTAGAAAGTCTAATAGGCTTTCATATACCTTCCCTAACTTCTCTAAAAATACAATGGCCAATGAGTTCAATGCACAAGGTAAAAGAGATATGGAGAAATGGGACATCCCTATCTGAGACCTCTTCCTGATTTGAAGTTCTTTGTATCACCTTCATTCCAGAGGTCTTGAAGCTCTGTTATGGTGACACAAGTCATGATTAAGCGAACTTCATCCGTAGGGATTCCCACAACTTACAGAGTTTCTTTCAAAAAATCACAGTCAAGTCGACCGTATGCCTTGACAATGTCAATCTTGAGCAAAAATATCTCCCTTCTTTCTTGACTTCCATTACAATAGTGGACAATTTCTTAAAGAATCGGGATATTCTCATTGATAGTTCTATTTGGCACTAAGCTTGATTGGTGGGTTTGGCTAGGGAGTTCATCAAGAGTTTAGGTCTCTCTATAAGACACTTAACTAAGGTCTCAAACTGTCCCTCTTTCCTTCAACAGGAGAGGTTCTAAAAAGACTTCAAGGTACCTTTGACTTCTCTATGTTCTTGAATGGTTTTCTCCGTTGATTGTGAGTTTTCCATATACAGCCGTTGTTGTTGCTTCGAACATCAGTTTTAAATTAATTGATGTTGTTTGGAGATGTGAAAATGGGCAGATGGAAGTCGAAGATGACTATGAATCTATGATGGAAAGGGTATGTCTTGGGCTGGACAATCTTTTTCTTCTTTATGGGCTTTTACAGCCCACTCCTCGTCACCTGCCTCAAGGCCCAATATTCAGGAGCTTCTATTCTTTGACCATTCTGCTTGGGTAGGAGCCAGGAGGAGAGAACTGCTGCTGTGACAAGCAAACCCTTATCTCTTCTATTTTGCATCCTTGTGGTTGTGGCAGCAGCTAAGGAAAGAATAAAGGCTACTCTTACCTCAGAGATACAACAGATGAACCTTCTCTGTTCAAAATTTGGCTGACACCAGATTTTTGTGTACAAGAGCACAGTACATAGATACCACGACCACTAATCCCGAAACAATTAGTAGATACTATTAATTAACAATGTATAAAGTTCCCTATCTAAGAGTGATGAAGCAACAATATTTACAATAACAAGCAGAAAAAGCAGGTGTCAATGCCACCCAAAATTCAGCTACTTGACACCAAAGAAAATTGGTTTGCGCACCCAGTCATAAGTCCATTGTTTACCTCTCCTTTCCTGCAATGCAGGGAGAAGCTGCTCTGTGTAATCATCTAAGTGAATCAACCATCCGGCAATCGTGTTTCTTCCTACGGCACCTGTAATGGGTCTTTTGGTCGGTGAACAATGTGTTCTCCCCAACCATCTCCATTTTAGTATCTTCTGCACCCTCTGAAAAGAAAAAAACAAACAGAATCCCAAGAACGAACTTAGACCTCGCTCTCCCTCATACACAAAAGCATGTCTGAAAGCCACAAACTTGGTGAATGACTGACTGAGGCAACCCATGGTTTTAGACTGAGCTCCCCTCAACCTTTTTTTCTATAAGCAAATAGTTTAAATCACTTCCAGATTTCACCCAGTTGCAGTAGCAACAATGACGAAGGAACCACAAGAATAGGAGATGAAGTTGCTATGCTGAAACCATTAAGATATAGAGCAAGAGAGGATAGAGCTTTTTCTCCATAACACTCTTACAAGATTTCATGCATCCTTCCGATAAATCCCGCTCGTGCAATGTATTCACTAGACAAGGTTTCTCCTCCAGCATTTCTAGATCACTCTTGCTAGGCTAAAATCTTGCATTGTATTTTAAACAAATCTTAAATCTTTTCTTTTGGGTAAACCCTTTCCCTCATTACAGACACAAGCTTGATCTCTCCCTGTCTACCATATCTTACAAAACCAAAGCATAGATTGAAAGAACGGAAGGAAAAGAAGAAAGGAAAAAAAAAGGGACTGAAATGAAAGTATGGTTGGTTACCTTCAGAGCGACGGCCCCAAAACAGTGGCCGGGCATCTTCCTCCTCTTCGTCGAATTCATCGCCATAACCCAACTCTGCATCTCCTCTATACCCAGGCTCGCTCCCATACCCTGAATCAGCTCCCACATGTGCATCCAAATTCCCAAATTGCGCCCCACAACCACTCACCAAACACTCCTTCTCCTCCTTGGACGAGTTCCTGGCCGCCTCACTGACATCCGATGCCCAATTCGGATCCCCTCCGTTCCCGAACAGCTCGCCGCTGGAGTCCGTCCCGATGGCGACGGGGAAATCGGAGCAGGTGCCGTGCGCCGCCGAGGCTCCGATCGAACAGCACCGTCGATTGGCGCTGCGATCGGAGCTGCGGCCGGAGACGGAGCGAGAGGCGCCGCGCCTGCGCCGGCGCTTCCGCGGGCCGAGGAGACCGAGCGGCCCGGTGCGGCGGTAGGGGCTGACGGTGTCGTCGAGTAAGGAGAGGCGGGAGAGGTCGATGGAATCGATGGAGAAGGAGGTGGCGCGATCGGAGAGGCAGGGACGCTTGGCGAGGGAAGAGCAAGGATCGGGATCTGGAGGAGTAGGTGAAGGAAGGAAGGGACGCCATGAGTGGAGGTGGAAGGCACAGGAGTCGACCGAATTGCGAGGATCCAACACAGCCAGGGGCTTGTGCGGCGCCGGCGGGACCATGAGCCGAGGACAGGGGAGCTTCCTTCCCGCTGCCGCTGCAAGTAGAGCTATGGAGAAAGCGGGAAGAGAAGATCGAGAGAAGCCAGCTGAAAAGAAGCAAAATGAGAGAAGAGAGGAAGGGCAGAAGCAGAAAGACAACTGACAGCTCAGCTGGAGTGGTGGTCTCAAATGCTTCTGGGAGATACTCCAACTCCACCCACATTGGCCCAATGGGGCCCGCCACAGCTTTTGGCCCATATCTGAAATAACATTCCCCTATTTTTGTTTTATAATATCACACTATCTTATATATTCATATTTGCTTTTGCTTAATAGCTGCAGAGTGGAGATCTCGTGGTAAAAGAAAGATTAATTCCCACAAATCCATCAAATTTAGCCATCAATATTATATACACAAATTTAGCCTCATTTATTTCATTTTTTACTTCTAGTTCACCACTCTCAAATTTAACTCCCATATTATTTTTAATTTCTTTTGAATAAATCATATTTATGTGCATTCTAATATATTTTTTCACATTATTCTTTTATAGTTTTTTAAAATATTAATTACTAATGATTTACGATATCATTATTTCTTAACATAAACCATAAAATGTAAACAACATGTGTAGTGTTAATAGAATTTTATTAAATAGTAATACCTTAATTGTCTTTCTCGAAGTTATTTCCCTTTATCTTTAACCATCGTTGATCTAGTGGCCAAAATGCTAAGAAACTTGTTGTTAAGTATTTGGGTTTTAAAGCTATTTCCCTTCATTCTCTCTAAATTAATCTAGTGGCTGATATTAGTGGTCCGTGGTATATGTGCCAAATATAAGGTAATAAACCTTCCGGAACGCGTTTTGGGACGTCATTCGTGTCATGTGGTTATCAAATGCAACGCAAGTCCCTTGCCGTTGGATCAGCGCAACACAAGTAATACCATTCAAGTCCTTATCACGAAAACCGGAAAAGATGTAACTTTTAACCCCGCAAGCTTCAGGCTTGGCAAAGTTGGTAAGTAGAACGCTGAATCAGTAAGAAACTACGGTTCAACCATTCAACCCAAGATTATGCAGACATCTGCGGGCGCAAGATCTCTCTCTAAGAAGCCAAAATCTCTGTGCAAAACAACTGGTTTGGTTGGCAAGTAAGTGTGTAGTGTACCATCCAGGCTCTGCAGCTGCTAGTCTTCATAGTCAAGGCAGCTACAGCCTCAAACCCCTCACGACGCCATTGAGGCCGCGCAGATCCAATGTGGAAGAGCTTCTGCTGCGGCTATCGTCTATGCCCCATAAACCCTTCCTGATTGCAGCTCTGTAATCGCCCAATTCAACATGGCTGGGCGGGCACATCTCAAACACGTACGCCACCGTCTTGTAAACCACCATCGCCTTCTGGCTCGCAACCGATCCAGGGATCTTCCCAAACGTTCCTTCGTCCAAAGGGAATGACTCCCTCAGGAAGAAGAAGCATTCTCTGCCCAGCTTTTCCACCTACGTAGTAGTGTAACAAAGTAGATAGATAACCTGTCAGATATACATGGCTTCGTTTCTATCGTCATGATATGATAATACCAACTAGATATGAAAGAGTGTCGTTACGCATCACAAAGGACTCAAACGCAGAAAAGTATGATGAGATAATAATAATAATAATTAAACGTCAAATCATAGGAAGTATACTCGCCTGCAGCTGAGAGAATTTGATATTGTTGATGATGAGGATCAGTCGTGCTTCGCACAAGTCATCGGCTAAAATTCGGACGGCTAGACGCTCAAACAACTCCTGCACAACAACTTGCTGCTTCTCCCAGCTCACGTCGTACGTTTCCAAGTTGGGGGACCACAGAATGCACTCGACTGCGCTCCATGGGACCTCATCATCCCACCTGCCATCAGAAATGAACGTCTCATGGGGGTTGCTGAGTCCCCAGAGGATTCGAACGCCTCGCAACGCTGGGTCGTAGATGGAGGTGTTTGACATGCTTGTCGTGGAAATTATTCTCGACGGATCATAGTGAGAAGTCAAATTCGAAGTTAGGCGCAAATCAGGGTCGTCTAATAGTAGAACGAATCCATCGCAGGAAAACGTTGGAAACAGTCGTAAAAGGGATCCAGCATCGGCTCCATCGTCCTCAGGGGGGCATGGGGTTGAAATGAATGATGAGAGTGGTTGTCCAGAATCATGAGAATAGCGACATGTCTCCCCATTGCGACAACCCTGAAAATCGTTTTTCTCCACACAGTTAAAAGTGATGATCACAGAGTTGCAACTTAAAAACGTTGAACAGATCTTCCAACCATATGCCTCATAAATCATCATGTAAGGGATTGTGAATGGAGAGTCAAATTGATAGTGAAAACTGAAAAGGCCTCCTGGCATTCACATGCTCAAAAGAATCTAGTTACCTGCAGAGAGAAGAAGAATTTGCATGGAGCTCTCCTTGCTTGCGATGAATGAGAAAACAAGCACTGATCGCCCCTGTGGCAGTATCCATTTGCAAAATATGCACATTGAAGAGCCATCCCATTGGTATAAGAAGAATCACCATTAGCATGATTAGAAAGATTTGTAGGCATCTCCTCCGTGCTCTGGACTCGCACCTGTTGTTACACAAGACAATATACGTGTGCCCGCATTTAGTAACCCATCATTTCGTCCTGTTCTGGAAGAGAGAATTATGCAGCATGCCAATACCGAATTCAAGTTGAACCAATAGGTTAATGGCGTAATGCGTACCTCTTTGACAATATTTGAGAAATTTCTGGCTACTTCAATGGTTTTGAACTGATCAGAAGCAACATATGGTGCCCCAGTGCACTTTTCCATTTCACAAAATTCTTCTTGGTGCTCATCTTCTGCAGTAGCGAACACTGCATCCCTGCGTGGCTCACATTGTGGATGACAGGTATGAACGTATTGATGAGGCTCATAATAAACTGGTAGGCCATCGCATTGGCTGAGAAATTTTGGCCGAAATCGATGCAGCGAAGTCATTATATCCTCATCTGCAAGTGACCAAACAAAATACAAAAAAGGTTCACGCTCAGCTCATCCCAGATGAGAATAGATATGCATAACGATGAAATCGTAACTAAATTGTAAGAAAAGAGAAGGTCAAAAGTGCACTTAATCCATACATCTCTCTGATACATGATGTAATGATTCCTTTACAAGGTTATGGAATGAGCACCACTCTTCTTCCATCGCTGGAAACAGGGAAATCAAGCCTTCCGTCCCCTTTGATTTCGAGATGTGCTTCAATCGTTCCATCCGGTGCTTATCCTGCATAAAAGAGCCAACACTTCAAATCACTTGTTGCAAGTATCGACACTACTGCATCTACGAACCAGATACAAGTGTTTACCCTGAAAACACGTTGCCAGAACTGATATGCATTTAAGTTCCCGAGCAATTCCATCTCCTTTGGACCCATTTTGACTTTACTGCTGCAATCACCACCATAATCGCCACCAGTATATTGCTTATACTGAAGAAAGATGGGAACTCATTAGTAGGGTAAAGTAATTCGGACTTCTGCTATTGCAACAACCACCACATCGGCACGAGCATATTCCATACTCTCAAGAAAGCTAGGAAACCATCAGTATGATAAAAGAACGGAAGATCCATAAAAGAGGAGCAGCTAGGTAGTACCAGATGTTCCTCTCCAAAAGGTCGAAGAATTGGTACAGGCACAGTGTCCATCAAAATAGCCAAAAGCACACCCTCCCGCAGCATTCCAATGCTCCCAAGCTTAACAATAAGAACTGAAGCATCAAATGTCAGGGAGAAGCTGGCAAGTAAGTGCCCATAAAACGTTGGCACGCATCGACCACTTGGATTAGTTCTATCAAGAGCCTTCACTCTAACAAGCAAAGTTAAAGCATCTTCAACAACTTCGGGACTGGGAGGATCCAAAGCCTTGCGTAGTAAGCCTGTAACAACAAAAGAGCATTACCAAACCTCATCAGTCTTTCAATTCTGACTTCCAACTATGATTATAAAAAAAAAACACCTACTAACACCTTAGGCATTATGACACTGCGCAGGCATCAAGCACTTCAACCATAATCCTGGCAGCATTCTTACACTAAATAGGGCATTGGCTCAACTAAGTATAGCAACTAGCAAAAAAGATGCAGCTAATCTGATATCCATGGATGGAATATTTACATTAAACTTAAGATCATGAAACCTACCCTTGGGATCATTTATAGTCCTTGCTGCAGCACAGCTAATCAGAAGCACGTGCAAACGCAATGATAGCTTCTGTATAGTTGGACACTCGTAATCCTCTAGTTGACCGAAAAAAGATCCTGGGACCAACCGATATATCTGACCATCACAAGTTCGACCAGTTCTCCCCTTGCGTTGATCAGCCTGAAGTACATCCATGAATTTGATTGACAATGACACAATGATAATGAATGTTCAAAATAGCTTTTGAGATTCAACAAATACCTGAGACTTAGAAACCCAAACAAGCTTTGTACAGTCTCTTTTCAATGTAGGGCTCCAGAAAACTTGTAGAGATCGACATGAATCGATGACATGAGCAACATTGGGTATTGTCACGGATGACTCGGCAATGTTAGTGGCCAATATAACCTGTGCATTAACGAAACACCACAAACAGCGATTGCCGATTAGTCACACCCATGTCCAAACATTCATAGGAAACCAAGGTAACGTAACAAAACATAAATATTAATGACGAAGGTAACATGCCAGCAAATTGTAATGCTTTTATGAGCCCCATATCATCAAACTAGTCATCTAGCAAATGTGATTATATCTTGCTGCCCACAAGTGCACTCCATGTAGCCATCCAAAAAATACAATACAAATTCATGTAACAAGCCAAGGACATCACTGCACTTTGGTCATTAACCAGCATCCATCCCGGCAATCAGTCAGTCACTCAATGAGGCAAATCCAGTTCAAGGCATACCTTTCGATGGGACTTGCAGATTCTCATAGCCAGAAGAGCTTCACTAGTTTCAATACTACTATGTAGAACATGAACTTTGAAAAGGTGAGTGAATGGCTTCAAGAGATACCACTGCTGCTCCAAGTCACGGTAAGTTGGAAGGAAAACCAAAATCCCCTTTTCAATATCTGGATCAATTTGATGAATGTTCTGAATAAGATCGTGGATGATTTTATGTACATCAGGCTTCATATCAGCACCAGCCACTGAAGGACTGGGTCCGGAACAATATCTGGAAGCTAGGGATTCTGAACTGAATCCAAGTAACCTTGTAATCTGTTTGAAAACATAATGCTCTCATCAATTATGTAGTGGATTGATCAGGTACCATAATTGATAGAAACCTAACAGTGTTAGTGGCCTAACTTCATTCATCATAGCAATAGAAAGGATCACATAAGCATTACAGGAAGAGATCAGTCATCAAGTCAAATAAACTTGGGAAGGAATTTCTGACATGAATTTGCTTAAGGGTGAAAGCTTTGTCAACAAAAATGGTTCCAGACATTAAGATCTTCGCACAACCTGATTGTGACAGCTATCATGGACTCTTTCCAAACACCTAGGTCACCAACTAGACCATGCACTTTGACCTCAGACCAGAACAATTAACCTTAGGTTGCATAGCTCGTTCTAAAGAATCTAGGTTTGGGAAACAAGTCCTTGCCTGTTCGAGATATAACACCTTTTTCTGGAAAACAAATTGTTCATCAGGGCTAGGAATGGCAAGCACTTCAACTCTTTCTCCCCTGCCAAGATCTCTAAAATAATCTCTATACCTTCCAATATCAGCAGTTGCAGACATCAAAACAACCCTGGGTAAAAGTCACATATGGAACATCAGAACAAAATGCTGTATGTTGTCTAGTAAGAAACTGTCACATAAAGAAACCACGCATACACACATAAATGAACAGTCAGATTTAAGTTTAATCAGGTGGGAGCGCAGAGTATATTCGTCTGACCAAGTCACAGAACCAAAGAACAAGGGTACTGAGCAAAACAGGAAATAGATATAACACTATATGTTCACAACAATAATTGCTTAGGAGTCTAGCAAGCACCTTAGATCATTGTTCCTTTGAAGAAACTGCTTCACACAGACAAGGACAAGATCAGACTCAACAGATCTTTCGTGCACTTCGTCAAGAATGATGACCTTGTACTTGAGTGCATTAAACCCTTTATCCCGCATTTCATCAAGCAAGACTCCAGCAGTCTTGAACACAATCTTTGACCTACAAAAGAAAATGTGTGAACAAGGAAATGGCCGCATACTATGGACATCACCTTAATTACAAGTAACATCACTATAGAAGTAGAAGAGTGTCCCAAACTGTACAGAGCATTGAAGGAACATTACTTGTACATGAAACAAAGTAATGCATGTGATGTGAGAGATTACAACTTAAATGCATATCTGACAAAATTGTTGAAAGCTCTGTGGCGTATTATTTTCTTTCACTTACAGACATAAAAGCTAACTTCATGAAACCAAGATGCATTTTCCTAGTGCTAAGATATGGAGGATCATGCGGGCAAAAACAGGGAAAACAGAGAGAAACGAGCATCCAAACTCAGCAGCCATCATTTATTCTTACGTGGTTGATAAGACCTTTGAATGGCCTATGTGATATCCAACCTCTCCTCCCAGCTCACAGTTACGAGCTTGCGCAACCATTTTTGCCACAGCAACAACAGCAAATCTCCTCGGCTGTGTGCATAGAACAGGAGCCATGTCTTGCTCCAGGAGAAACTGCGGAACCTGAGAGCTCTTCCCTATTAGACAAAAGGTAACACAGAGCAGTATCAGTTCTCTAAGAGGAACAAGAAACTTACGCAGCCATGGCCCAAGGCGTTGTGTGTTTAGCTTCGCAGCCGAGGGTTAACAAACTCATAGAAGAAACTAACAGGTAAAACTTCCTTTAATTCCTAGAAATGAGAACTTCAGTATATACGGCAGGTGATGTAAACTGATAACTGATCAGCACATAGCCTACCAATTTTCTCGAGAAAATTTTCTCAGCATTGTTACTTTCTGTCAATGTAGTCGAGAAACAATTAGCGGCAACGTTGAAAATGAAAGACGGAAGAAAATTATCGGATTCTCTTCTCCACTTACAACCAGAAATGAACAAACAAGCAGAATAAGATGCGTTCGATGCGATAACTCTACTACGATTAAGCGACGACGTTTCCGCTGTTAAAATTTTCTCAGCAACCAAACACTTTGCTCGGTATTACATGTAACCAAGACCGAGAACAGACTGAGCTACGGAAAATGCAATGACGTTTTCGGTTTTCCCTTCCAGCTTCTTTCTAGATAACCAAACAAACACATATCGCTAAGCAAAGAAGATAGTTCAGAAACAGTGAAGCGACGTTGAGAGCGGGAAAATCAGAGCAGAAAGCCAAATAGACAGAAACAGAAGAGAATACCGCAGCCAGTCTCGCCGACTATGAGAGTAACGCGATTTTCCCTGATTTTCTCGACGATTCTGTTCTTGAGCGACGCTACAGGGAGGACGGCGAACGGAGACTGTGAAACCGGACAAGATTGTGCGGAGCCACACGGAGAAGTTGGCGACGAAACCTCCTCCATTGCAGACAATCTGGAAAACTCTCACTCTCTTCACTCCTCCTGGTATGGGTTTTCTGTTTTCCTTTTTTCTTTCTTGTTAGGATGCCTTCTTTTTTTCTTCCTTCTTTCTTCTTCGCCTTCTCGGCGAAGTAAACGCCAGTAGGATTTCAGAATTCTGCAGTTTTAATGGGACAAGGAGAGCGGGCAGGCGAGTGTCTCGCACCCACTCTGTCTATCAGTCTCCCCGAGTCAGGCATTTATTTCTTGCGCACGCGCCACGATCAGGGAACACGACAGAATTGCGTGGGCTTAGGCCTTCGAGGCTTGGACTGGCAAAAAGTCGAGCACTATGGCCCATAATATTTCACAATCAAATTTCACCTTCTGATTAATTTAATAGCTAATAAAAAAATAGCTACAAAGTGTCAACCTTTTGCTACAATGTTTTTGGCTAAATACATTTGCATAACCATAATTATTCACCTTGTGACAAATATTAGGCATGTTATTTAATCGAACCGCATCATCGGTTATCAGAGGTCTAAAATGACCCAACATCGCTGATAGAGGCTGAGACCGACAGACCCTTCGATTAACCTACATGCATTCCAAAGTTTAATTTATTGGATTTCGCTTGCTTGGACTTAAATTTCAGCAAGCCTAGTTGGTGTACCCACGCTAAGATTGATTCTATGAACTTCTAACTTGAACAAATTGACGAGATGTACTCTCCATCTTCTCGCTATAAAAAATGAAATATTTTAAGTCACCGCCACTCAAACATCTTCAGTCCATGCTTCTACCAATATTATTACTTCTATTTTAAGGCGGAATAACACTCTAATCACCACAAAATAGTTGATTCTTTAAATTTCACAATTTGATATGTAGTTGAAGTTTATGTGTGTGCAATACAGGCTTGCAGACCATCGTTTGTTGTGAATTGTATTTGTGCATATTCCTCTCAAAGTCAATTTTCAAGTTAAATTGACATTGAAATTGAAAATGAAAGCAAACCGTCGAATTAGATTAGCGAGAGCATAATGATCCATGATTTATGTTTTACTCTTCCTTTTCTTTTCATTTATTTCGAGAAGCAGCGAGTAAGAAAAATCAATTAGCAAAAGTTTGTTTTCATGTTACTCTTGGTTTGTCCTAGACACAATACACATTTATCTACTGACATACATTTTTTTTTAGATTTGACTTTAATTTTAAGTCTGTTTTTAGAGAAATCTGTACTATCATTAAGTACATATATATTAGGTATACATGTATTCTATTTAACATGTTTTCTATACGTTGTTTGATATTTTCTAACTCCATCAATAAAGTATTCCAAATATTTTCCTTAATTATTCATGATCAACTTTCCAAATAAATAAATAAACTTAAAGGATCCAAACTAAGTTTTTGGAAATGAATTACTCACATAATAGTGATAACACATATACTTTAAAGTTGAATACATTCATGTAAAAATATCAAACTCTTTCAGCCAACGAACAACGAACGGGCGAGTCGATAAAAATGAAACAAGAGGTTTGCTTTGGATTTTGGAAGGATATAAGAAAATTACTATTGTTATTATTTCTAACCTAATATCATTTTCTTTATAATACTAAAATACCTTTTACAACTTCCACCGGGGGAAAAAACCCCTTCTACAACTACTCAAATTTACCTCATTATTATTCGTCTGCATCCAACTACTTTGAGGTAATCAAATCCCCAAAGAATCCTAATATATCATAATACGAAATAAACTAAATAAGTCTTAGAACGATAAATAATGAAAAGAAATCTTGCAGCAATCTCCACCACTTCATAGCAACTTTGTCCTTGAGATTGTGCGCCTCCACTCGTCTTGCATGCCTCAGCCTCTCCTGCCTCGCTCTCAAAGGGTACAAACAAGCAGCATCAATGTAGACATGCAGATACTCTATCAAACCCAGGGTTGCGATTGTTGACTTGACCTGCATTTGCCCCAGACCACGCCCCAAATTTTATTCAAGTACGCTCCAGCCTACCACAGAAAGCAGGCAAGGAAGGACAGTAACCAATTCTAGTAACATGACACATCCAACCATTTTCATGGACGTAGATGGGCGGGTTTCCACAAAGCTGCTTCTAAGCCTCCAAGGTTTCTTGCAGAGCCCAATGTCTAACAGGGAACTGAATAATCAAAGCCAGTCGACGCTGTGCATCATTGCTTACTATCGAAGGACAAATCAAAGTAGCTACGGGCGGGGGTTTCGTAATAACAAGAGTTGTAAGTTCTTACCCCCAATGAAGTAACTGTCAGGATCTTTCAAGATGGAATGAAGCAACGAAGAAGAGCAAGCAAAAACCATTTAGTCTTTGTCACAGAACCCCAATAAATTCATTAACAGAAGGAAGAAATAATCCAGGATTTTGATGGGTAAAGTGAGCGAGTCAAGAATATACTATACCTGTAACCTGTCATTATTTGTGCGCCGCATAAAGTCCCCGAGCTCCTCCAACGTGAGGCTATTGGAGCTGTCTTTCACACTCACCTGCATCTTCAGTTGAAGGAAGTGAGGCTAGGTATGAGTCCAAGGAAATCGAAAGCTCCCTTCAAAAGTTCTGATTCTTTCAGTTGTGAATCTTGGTAGTCTGGCCCCTATATTCCTTTTCCTGATCTGTGCGTAGTCTCTATATACCAGCGGATCTGCAGCCCTGCACACAACAATTACACAGTTTGGAATTCAGTTTTCCTGAATTTGTGCTAAGATTGCACAGACTGTGACGTCAATCGCACGATTCACCGACCCAGTAGAATGCTTTGGCTCACTGTGCCGCCTCTACATTTCTGTCAAGTTAGTGTTAGGATTCTAAGGAACAAAACTAAAAGCATTGAGTGCAACCCCGATCAGCCCATGTTGCTTACCCTGCAAATACGGCTGAGTAATATTGTTCTCAAGTACCAAGAAATTTTGGACCATTTTAATCTTATTATTAGACTTAAACTACATTAGATTACCGTGTACTGCAAACCAGAGAATCTACAGTTCTTCTTGAGCATCACTAAATAATACACGAGTACATGAGATGACGCTGGAAAGCCTGTAGAAAACTGAAGGTTGACCAACCTGATAATTTTTTCTATACAACGCAACGGTTGAGACGTGTGCCAGGAGGATATTGTGGAGAACCAGGTAAGGTTCTGTAGTGGAATTGTCACGATCACATGTTGCAGTCCCAAATGGGGGCGAGCAGTGATGTGGTCGGTTTATTCCTTGATCGTAGCTACTCTGCGCTAATATGTTTGGCTCATTTATGGTTGTCCAATGAGAAACCCTGTACCCAAACACCTGAAGCACACCTCTGCTTAAGCTAGCAATCTTCCCTGCAAAGAGCCCCCAATCGAAGGGAATTATTCCATACATTTGAAGCCTCATTTTGCAAAAGAAAGGAAACTACCAAATAATGCAACAATGTTGGACAGTGAAGAATCCATAACTGTCAAGGCTATTGAAACTCAGAAGGCTAGTTTCTTTCAGAAACATAGAAAGACCAACGGAAAAATGAAGTATGGGAACATTAAAGAACATAAACATACCATAATTTGTTTGACGGAAGTGACCAATACTTACTTGATGATACCTTTCCCTGTCAGAGCATGCCATCCCACCTTGCCTTGTCTTCATCTCTGGTAGTAGAGAATTCAAATAAAAGAACTTTTTATTGAAACATACAACGTATACTAGTAAGAAGAAATGTCTTTTTTACTCTTTTTAATCAACTTAAGTAGAAAGAGAAGGAGAAGAAGGAAGGGTAACGGTAATGGAAGAGAGCATCAGGCACCTGGAGATACAAGCACAGAAGAGGGCATTTGGCAAACTGGCATTTTCTTCTTTTCCAGTTTATACTTTATAGATGATCCTCATGTCGCAACCACAAATACATCATATGCATTATAGCTGGATGGATGATTTGGATGCAGGCAACAAAAGCATCCGCAGCAGTAACTAAAAATTACACTCTGACAAACCTTCTTTCAACAATCAGCACTAGTATACCTAGGATGGTCGGTTACAGAATCAAGTAATAGAAACCATTTTGCATCATAATCTTCCAGTCAACAAGGTCCCATAAATATTACGCTAGCCTTGGACACTGGTAACAATCGGCCCGATTGAAGCAAAACTAAACAAACAAGCACAATAAGTTCACGACTTTCTGATTGATTGCAAGGCTCTATTCAAATAAGAAAACCATTTATTACAGAATCACAATGAATTGCAGCATACAAGCAGGCAGCATAGGCAAATGAAAAAGGCAGAGTTCGTATGTAGTCATACGGAAGCCACATTCAACACTACAGAGTCATTTACAACAACAACCTGAATCAATGTCAAGCAACAAGACTAAACCGCAGCAGCGAACCAGAATATCAAGCACCTGAATGAATTTGTTCATACCAATAAGACTGCTGCAATGGATTATGAAATGATACAAAAAAACTAAACAACCGCTGAGGGATGCTACCAATCATCCTCAGTCAAGTATACAACGGCAAGTCGGTCCAGGCGCCAGAAACATGGCCATTCTCACAGACATAAGCTCGAACAACAGGCTCGCCGTCGTCATGGAACCCATAAACCCTCCTCAAGCAGAACGCAGAATGGAGATCCCAGGTCTGCCTACACTCGCAGAAGGCGCAATCAAGATCGATCTTCCTCCTGTTGCCATCGTTTATCGTCCTCCAGACCCTAGATCGCTTGAAGTCCTTGAAGATACCTCTGAACAGCATGTAGTTCCTCTTCTCCTCGATGTGAACACAGCCTGGCCAATCGCAGATGTAGAGACAATCCCCTCGGAATCTGCTGGCGAGCAGCTTATTCCCTTGCTCGCGGCTTAGGTTCCAGACGCCCGAAGCCAAATGAGACCTCATAGATCTGCAGATTTTCCGCCGCTTGCGAACGGGGGCATCTGTTCCAACCTTAACAGTGGCGCCGCCGCCGACGCCGACCTCTGGGGTCGCATCCGAAGGACCTTCAGATGATTCATCTACGCTGTACACCGCATCGTGATACAGATCGTCGAATAACGACCAAGAGCAATCGGCGACGTCCAAATTGGCATCGGAAGAGGATTGGGAAGGCGGAGGCGGAGGTGGCCGGCCCTTGGGTAGCGATAAATATGAGGAAGGCCTGGGGAAATTCTCATCCGGGCCGAGTTCCAGATCGAGGCCGAAATCGGAGTGTTCAAGGAGCACGCCGGAGTGCAGGAGGCCGGGACAGCAGACGGCGAGCTTGTGGAGCGCAGACCAGCCGCCGGGGACAGCGGAATCGGGAGAGGGTAGGAGATCGGCGACGACGGCGGGGATGGTGGCTTTGCATTTGGATTTCCAGCAGGCGTTGCGGAGAAGAGAGGAGAACTTGGAGCAGACGCAGGCGAGGCGGGCCCAATTGCGAGGGTCGTCTTGAAGCTTGAACAGGATTTTGAGGAGTAGGTCGTCGGAAAGCAGGAAGAACTCAGCCGGGGCGGTCATTTTCCAGGCGCGTTTCTGTGTTCGCCGTACTGTGATATTCTTTTCCTTTGCTTATTAGTTTTTCGAGTACTGGAGGAAGAGAAGAGGAGGTGGTAATTATTGACTAAGTGCGCCTCCGAGGATAGGTGGTTGTGACTTGTGGTGGTGATTGGCGCCTGGCAAAGCTGACTGCTGAGTGATGACTGACAATGATAATTTTGGATTTTTTAGTTGGCATTGATTTCTTGTATAGTTAAAACTTTAACTTTTGTGCTAATAATAGCCAAATTTAGAGAAATACCACTTATAGCCACTTTTGTTCAATTCTTTAACGGTGTTACCTTTAACTCTAACAGGAAAAACGAAGATGCTGACGTGGCGAGCTCTTATTTCCAATTTCATACGTAATTGTCCACGTGTTTAATGATTAATTAGCTATTCAAAAAAATTGATTAATTAAAAAATTTCCATAAAATATAGAAAAACCCTCATTTGACCAGAATAATCGTTCTTATCTTCATCTTCTTCGAAATCCCCTTGTCGTCGATTGAAGCGGTGATTCCTCACCGCTTTCCCGGCCTTCAAAACCAAAGTCCCACTACCTCCGTTGTCGCATCGTCGCTGTTAATCCAAGAAACCCTAGCTCAAGAAAATAATCGTCGATTGTCTGGTTAGGATCGAAGGGGAGGACGATCTCATTGGAAGTCCTCTCGGTGAAGAGATTCGTGAAATCCGAATCCTGCATAGATTCCAGAGAATCAGGTACAGAGTATCCCTCCTGTAAGCTCCTTTTCCTCCAAGTCGACGGTGAATTCCGGGATCTTGAAGTACTCATAAACATGCAAGCGATCTTCCATGAATCTCCACCATTTTGGGGGAGGTAAATCAGCCCAGTCTTGAACAGAGCCACGCGAAGCAGATAAAACAGAGCACCAATGGCTATCGCAATAAGCATCGAATGGTAACGAATCTTCATGGTTGCGATTTTTTCCAAAAACCAAAGCGCAAAAAATCGAGCTAACCAGAGAAGGATGAGCTCTCCAATTCGGCTTAACAGCAAGCGGATGTGAGAACAACAAGCTACCCTCATTAACGGCGTCAGACAACAGAAATCGTCATTTTCTCTGATTTGCGACAAATTTGGGGAGGAATCACTGCTTCAATCGCCGCCAGGCAGGGGGCAAACCCTAAAAACTAAATCGGGGAAAGAGGAGGAGAGACATCTCGTGTAAAGCCGATAGGGTATATGAGGATTATGAAGTAGGAAAACATTTATTTATTTTTATTAATTTATTATGTGTAAATATTAAATAATTTTAATATATGAAGTGTCACTTTCATCTTATTTGGCGCTGACGTGTCCGCTGAGTCGACGCCTAGTAAGCAAACCGTAAAATAAGTTGACGGTGTCATCACCGTTAAAATATCTAACGGAAATGGCTATATTTGTCATGAACAACTCTAAAAGCTGGCTATAGGTGGTATTTCTTCAAACTTGGCTATTATTGGCACAAACGCGAAAGTTTTGGCTATACAAGTGTATTTTGCCTTTTTAGTTTGGGTTAATACCTTATTTTGGCCTGAACTATGACCATATAATCAACTTTGGCTCGTGGTTTCAGAAATTAACATCTTAGCCTCAACTATGTAACATATAGACTCAATTGCGCCGACACTTAGTTTGACCGTCAATTTGGATGGTCAACACCATTGACCGTTAGTCAACACGCCATGTCATTGTCTCGTCAGCCTAAAAATCATTCAAATTCAAACTATTTTTTAATTTTTATTATTTATGATAAAATTAACAAAATATAAGTTATATAAAACATAAAATAATTTTTTTTATTTTTGTGTAATTTGAAAATTATAAATTTTATAAATTAACAAAAAATTATCAAATTATGTTATATATTTAACAATACACAAAAATAAAATATATCATTTATATAATATTTGTAAATTTCAAAAATTTAATTTGATAATTTTTGGTTAATTTATAAAAATTATCATTTTCAAATATCCCAAAAATAAATATATATTTTTTAAATTTTATTTTTTGGTTAATTTAAAAATGATTAATAATATAAATTAAGAAAATAATTTGATTTTGATTTTTTAAATAATTTTTAGGTTGACGAGGCAATGACATGGCATGTTGATTAACGGTCAACGGTGTTGACCATCCAAATTGACGGTCAAACTAGGTGTCGGGCCAATTGAGTCTATATGTTACATAGTTGAGACCAGGATGTTAATTTCTGAAACAACGGGCCAAAGTTGAATCTTAGCAATTTAATTTATTTTCTTAATATCCCAAAACAGAACATCTAGATACGAATTAGAAATCTTTTCAAGCAATCGTAATAATTCACATAAGAGAAAGGGCATGATCGACAATTAGCTGAATCATCAATAAGAGAGCTTTTTTTACCACAAAACGGACAGCTCTTGGAGACCTACATGACATAGGCAATATCCACGACTTCTACCCTATGTAGGTAAAAATCACGAAACCAACCATACTTGAAAGTGAGGCAAAGAAGCAAATCTTGCACCAATAATGTAGGGTGATACGCGACCGATAGAAACACTCCACCATGCACCTGCAGAACAAACAAACGAAGGAGCCACATGCAAATAGGCTCATGAAAGAAGCTCAACCAATGCAGGAGGAGATAGAAGCGTCAACGCAAAGGATGCAGGCTTTCTCGCACTTCCAAAGCCGTAGAATCCACTTCACCTGCAGTATGGGAAAATATTTGAGAAATTTTTAAACACGTACAAAGAGTTCACAAATTTTTTAATACATAACCCACTTAAAATTGTTTCAAAATCACAAAAATAATAATTTATCTCTTCTAAACTCATGATAAAACCATGTGTTTCATACATAATATATTTACCAATTCCATAATTCACAAATTCAAATACTGCTTAATATAATAAAATAAAATGGACGAATTTAACCAATTATAGATACAAAAGTGAATTTTTTGAAGAAATACGAAACAACCTGTAAACAAATCTGAAAAAATACAGAAAATTTTAATATAAACTAAAATAAACTTTGATGTGGCTGCTGACTTCTCGAAATCCAATGAAGTGGCGCTCAAGGCCATTAACCCACATCCTCTGATGCTGGAAGTGAAAGATTTGTTCTCTAACATGAAGGAGATGAAAGCACTAAGGAAGGATGCTTACCATGCCCTATTCTACCAAAGACGCTGGGAGTTGATTGCAACTCACTTCTATAAGTTTGTACCTTCATGATTTTTGAACCCAGACCTTGTCAGAAGTATTAATGGGACCCTCATGCCATTTATTCCCAAATCTGAAGCACATCAATGAGCCAATTTCGACCAATTAGCCTTTGTAGCGTCAGCTATAAGGTCTTGAGATGGGTGAATTGATTCTTTCGCATCTCCTATAGGTTCGGAGTGGAGGCAGGGAATCTAGTATTCTTAAGCATGCATGCTATTCTACCACAGCTTGATGGTGGTAGCTCAACTCCCAAAGGTATATGCATGTAAATTTCTTCTCACAAATCTCCATGTAAGAATGCATTTGATATATCCATCTGCTTTAAGCTTCAATTCTCCACTGCAGCTATAGTAATAGAACCTTAACTATGTTTATCTTAGCTAGTGGTGATAATGTATCCAAAAATTTTATCCCATAGGTTTGTGTAAACGCTTTTGCCACTAGTCTTGCCAATCAGGAACTGGCATTATCTCTCAAGTCTGGTTTTCCACTAAGGCTCTCGGCTCCTCCATCATAGCTCTATTCCACTCAAGAGGCTTGATTGCGTCATGACATGAAGTAGGTTCCATCTATGCACGAACACTCAATGTATACAATCTATCATCAATATTAAGAAATATAGGATAGCAAGTCATTAAGTTTATAAATGCATCAAATATCGTTGATCTTGTGGACAATTGATGATGTCTGGTAGGTCTTCGTGGTAGAGCCTCTCAACCTCATATTCAGCTCGAGTCTCTAATTCTAGTTCTAGGAGGACTGAGAAGGCTTAGATATTCAGCTAGTCATTAAGTTCATAAATGCACCAAATATCTCGCCCCCTCATCAGAGGATTGATGAGGCTCAGAGAGAGAAAATAATGAGAAGGAGAAATAACCTTTGATAATGATTAAGGAACGAAAATAGATGGTGCTGGTGGAGGTATTAGAGAAGGAGGTACTGACTGTGTCAATTGATCATCAAGTTGTGTAAATGACAAAATAAATTCATGGAACACAATATCTCGTGAAGAGGCTCTATGATCTTGAAAATCTAAGAGTTTATATCCTTTGATACCTGTAAGTATTCTTAAGAAGACATATTGTCTGGCTCGAGTATCAAATTTAGTTTTACCATGACTAAGGGTGCTGTCATTGAAAAGACTTCCAAGTACTTTCGTATGTCCAAGGTAAGTTGGCTTTTGATATAGAAGTTCATAAGGTGATTTATTTTTCAATATTGAAGTGGGGATCCTATTTATGAGATAGAATACATGAAGAACACAATCACTCTAATATTGTAGTGGGAGATCGGACTAAAATCTATGAGCACAAGCTACATTTAAAATGTGTTGATGTTTTCTCTCGACCCTTATATCTGTTCTGGAGTCCATTCACAAGACATTTGATGCTCTATGCCATTCTTCATGTAAAACTCACACATGTTAAACTCTTGTCCCTGGTCACTACATATGGTTTGATTCTCTTACCAAATTGATTATGAACCAGATTAAAAAACCTCTAAATAACTCCCTTGTTTCACTTTTATGCATCATCAAGAATACCAAAACTAAATGTGAAAGATTATATGCACATCTTTTTTACTCATCTCCAACTGGCAAAACAAAACTTTTGGCTCTTATTGTTATTGTCATTTCTCTCACTCTTCAATTTTTGCTCATGCTGCAATAGATCATCCACTACATTAGAGACAGTGAGCAAAGGTTTTGCATTAGCAACTTTGTCTTGACAACTTCAATATATGGGTCTAAGCCTCTCTGAAACCTTATCAAATAATCAGTTTCTTGCCTCTTTGTGTAGGCAAACTGCATCACAAGGAAGTGGGTTTCATAGTATACATAATACAATTACAAACAATAAGTGGGTTGTACTGGATGTACTCCTCCCAGAGTCCTTTTTATCATTGTCTAGTATTGGTTGATAGAGTACGATACCGTTTACATAAGGTTAGTTGAAATAACAAAATGAAACAGGAAACGTTCTCCAGGGATCACTTCTCGAATCCTCTTCAACAAGGACTTCACCAACTTTCTTTTTATGCTGATATCATATTGCATATATTAGGGTCCGTAAGAAATCTACTATTCATTTGCATTCTAAATGTTATACTAGCAAACAATAAAATCTGCTAATTTTATTTAGTCGACTAGTTTATAATAGATTCAGCTTCAATCGGTTTTATTACAAATAAGTTTCCTTACTGAAAGGAAATTAAACTTGTTACAAGTCCAACTAAAAGACAGATAAATTACACAAGAGAAATCAGGAAAGGCCGGCCCTGAAGCCCAGCTCCAATGCAATCGACCTCTCCTGAGCCCAAAGAGGTCCGTCCAGTCGGTCGGTGTTGTACTGTTGATGTAATTGCAAGAAACAGAGAGAGGGGAAAGGAAAGGAAAGGCACTTTCCCTAATCTCGACGCCTGCCAGCCGTTTACTTTTCAAACAAATGCAAAATGAAGCAAAGGGGAAGAGGGGCCTTCTCGTAACTTCGCCCCTAAACCAATCTCCTTCCTTCCTTCCCCCTTTATATAGTCGTCCCCAAAAACCCCCTTCCCCCAAACCCGAAATCCCATCCTCCATCATACATCCCCGCCGATTCCTGCGGCTACTCTCTCACTTCACTTCCTCTCTCCCACTCCGACTGACCAAATTCGAATTCCGGCGGACGGAAACGAATTGACCCGAGATGGCGTCGGAGCTGATATTCAGAGGCCAGAACGAGTCGCATCAAGCGGCCGACTCTTACTCCCCGAAGCCACCGAAGCCGTGGCTGCTCACCCTCCGTCCCATCCGCTACATCCTCCGCGAGCAGCGCCTCCTCTGCGTCCTCGCCGGCATTGCCATCGCCACCGTCATCTTCGCCCTCCTCCCATCCGGCGGCCACCGCCACACCGAGCCGATTTCGTTCGACTCCTCCTCGGCATTCACCCACCCGATGCGGCACAAGTACTACGAGCCGGCTATGGTCTCGGGGCTCGGAGCAGCCGGGAGGAGCACGGGAGGCAAGATCCCGCTGGGGCTGAAGCGGAAAGGCCTGAGGATTGTGGTGACCGGCGGTGCCGGGTTCGTGGGGTCGCATCTGGTGGACCGGCTCATCTCCCGAGGGGACAGCGTGATCGTGGTGGACAATTTCTTCACCGGGAGGAAGGAGAACGTGATGCACCATTTCAAGAACCCGAGGTTCGAGATGATCCGGCACGACGTGGTTGAGCCGCTGCTGCTGGAGGTGGACCAGATCTACCACCTGGCGTGCCCGGCGTCGCCCGTCCACTACAAGCACAACCCGGTGAAGACGATCAAGACGAACGTGGTGGGGACGCTGAACATGCTGGGGCTGGCGAAGCGGGTCGGGGCCCGGTTCCTGCTCACCAGCACCAGCGAGGTCTACGGCGACCCGCTCCAGCACCCGCAGGTCGAGACCTACTGGGGCAACGTCAACCCCATCGGTCGGTAACTCCTTCCTTCACGCCCTTTTTTCTTTACTTTTTTTTTTTTTGGTATGTTGAGGTGCATGTTAGCTGGAATTGGTAAGGTGCGCCTGGGAAGTAGTGTAGGAAGGAAGAAGTCAGTTGCTTTGATTTGATTGGTTAGTTCATTTGCAAAAGCCAAAAGGGGACTAATGTGGGAGAGTCGTGATGTTTACTTTCAGATCCATCCATCACCGCCACGTGGCTGGGGGAGTTCGCCCTCTCCCCTCTAAACCTTGAAAAGTCTTTTAAAAATTGTGGAACCGCGATTTGCGGGTCTGTTCACTCGTTGATATTTTCGTTTGCCGCCCCTAATTTTTTTACCTGTTTCTTTATTTATTTATTACTGCTGTCATTTTTTTTTTTAAAAAGAGATTAATTATGAACTATCTAGAAATTACTTAAATTATTAGAACTAATTGGTTTTTGACGGTGGAAATGTGGTGTTCAGATGTACTTCTTTACATGACTTTGGTAACGTATCATTTAGAGTTTACTTATGCCTTGTTTATTATATATATGGTTAGAATCCTTTTTCTTGAATGAAATTAGATTTTGTGAAATCATATTTGTGTATTTGATGATGTATTAGCCTAGGTTCCGGATGATAGATCCATATCATTGTATCAGGATCTGCATCCACTTCGATCACCCAAATTGTTGATAGGCTAAGCCTTCTTTTTTTTTTTATTGCTCTTCCTTTTCTTTTGTATCTATTGTATTATATCAAAATAAAAATTGTGATAAAAGAAATGGGTTAGTTTAGTTTAGTTTAGCCAGCGTATGTTAGTTATGTATTTAATTGATAATTGTACGTTAAGCAATGAATGACAATAATGATAAAGTGAGAGGAAGGAAGAGGGAAGAAAATGGGGAGTGGTGGGTTGTGTTTTATATTGGTTAAGTTGGTACCGAGCGTTGAAAAGAGTTTGGGATTCTGATGGAGAAATGTGGACAGGTGTCAGGAGTTGTTACGACGAAGGGAAGAGGACAGCGGAGACACTGGCCATGGATTATCACAGAGGAGCCGGTGTTGAGGTGAGGACCCGATCTCTCCTCTCCTCTCCCACTTTTGTATCTTTCTTTTATTTTCACTCTGTTTGCAGAAAACAACTAATAAAAAATTAAGGGGTCGTTTGCTCTTTCGATTTCAGTGGTGTATTTGTCACCTAAACCCAAATATGATAGATTTAACAAATTTTACTGGTTGTTGGCTTAAAAGATTGAAACTGAAGCTTACAAATTTGCATATCCAACCTTTTATTTGGGAGTCTATTTATGGTTAGGAAAACGTGGTACAAAAAGTTGTATATTTTATATAAAAAATCATCTACACTAACAATTCTCCGTTTTAAATTCATAATAAAACAAATTTATTATAAATTCAAAGCTACATTTTCAATCTGGACCTAAATATGCTGGCATGGTATTGCAGGTGAGAATTGCGAGAATTTTCAACACGTATGGACCCAGAATGTGCATTGATGATGGGCGCGTGGTTAGTAATTTTGTTGCTCAGGTAATGTATATACTCAACACACACCATCTCCATCGCTTCCTTTTTATTTGTTAGGTTGTGTTATCACCGCCCCCAGCTCCAACCTGACTTTGACTACGGATGGTAATAATAACTTGGGTAGCCTTCTTCTTCTTGTTCACATTTCCGTACTAATAATATTTGTTTACTTTGAAATTGACACCACAAACAGGCGCTTAGGAAGGAGCCCATGACCGTATATGGCGACGGCAAGCAGACCAGGAGTTTCCAATACGTCTCTGATTTGGTGAGTTTGAGCCACACTACACCACCCTTCTCTTTCTTTACTCTCTCTAGTCTTTTGCTTCTGCTTTACTTCATATTCTGCATCATGAGATTATTAGGTAACAAACAAACAAACATATTATATTAGACTAGAGGAAAGGAGGATTGTGACAGTACCATTACAGTGGTAGCAGTTGGATGAAATGATATTTGGTTTTGCTGATGAATGAACTAAAGGAGAACAACACAACATACGCCCTCTCTCACTCTGTCGGCAGTGTCTAGCTTTTGGTTGTACAGAATCGTCACATGTAGCAAACTGAATTTTGCTTGTTTGCTGTTTATTTGTTGGGATTTGATGTTTCTCCCTTTTGGCGGGTACACCACTGCACTACCCTACGATATCTGAACAAATAAATGCCACATGTGATTTGCAGAGGCTGCCTTTAACTTTTTCTTCCTTTCAACTATTGGATTGAATACTGCTAAATTTTTTACAGGCCACACATAGATACCCACTGTTTCTCAGTTTGCTACTTTCTTTCGTTATCGTTCCTATATTAGTGTCATGGTTTAATAGGTTACGCTAGATAATATGAGGATATAAAAATGAGTTCAAAACCCCATTTGGAAATTTGTGAAAGCTGCTGTTCCCACAATGCTGGGATGGTGGTGGGGACTCTTGCATTCAATTATAATGGGGTCTCCTCCTCTCCTTACTCTGGGACCAGAGTCTATTAAATTATTTTCGAATAGGGATGGTCCTAACTCCTAACATTACCATTACAGCAACTTAGTTTTCTCAGCTCCTGATGTGGCTTTCTGTTATGTAATGTGGGTTAATGTTGGCCAAAAAAATTTCTCAGGTTGAGGGTTTGATGCGGCTGATGGAAGGAGAGCATGTCGGACCTTTCAATCTTGGCAACCCTGGGGAATTTACCATGCTTGAGCTTGCACAGGTAATGCATATAAATACTTTCTTCATCTCCTGTATGAATTTCAAGCTCCAAACAGAAACTGAGCAGTAAGACTTTTTTGTTTTTATGAACAGGTGGTACAGGAAACAATCGACCCAAATGCAAAGATAGAGTTCAGGCCAAACACTGAAGACGACCCACACAAGAGGAAGCCAGACATCACCAAAGCCAAAGACCTTCTCGGCTGGGAACCTAAAATTTCCCTCCGGAAAGGTCTCCCCCTCATGGTCTCCGACTTCCAGCAGCGCATCTTCGGCGACCACAAAGAAGGCAGCAGCACCACCGTCGCCACCACCACCACGGCGGCATCCACATCCTAAGTTTGGTTGAGCAATGTCTCTACCGCCAAAGGCTGGTGCTTAAAGACTGAAGGCGGCAGATGTGTTGTATAATTGTTGAGTCAGATAGCATAGCCGGGAATGGATTTGGCGCTAACCCCCAATTCGAAAACAAAAATACGAAGCAGCCTTGTTTTAGGCTGGCAGAAGATCATCCTCCACCAGGCTATACCCCTGTTTTGTTTGTAGAAGAAGAATACTATATGGGTATGGGAGTTCAGTTTGAGGCTCTATTTACCCAAAAATATCTATGATTTATTATGATGAGCTCTCTTGTATTTTGCAACATTTTCATTACCAGACATTATGCTGTATCTCTCTATTGTACTTCATACTTTCTGTATACTATATAATTGAGTAATATGATTAGCAGCTCCTCCATTCCGTCTTTACTTTTATTTCGGGTAGTTAATAAACTTTTTCAATGCCCACAATTTTTAGTGCATACATTTTAATTTGGAATTCAAAAATTTTTGGGCAAAAATCAATTTTTTGCTTTACAAGATGACATCCATTTTAATTGTGGTGGAGGAATTGTCGAAATATCCAAAGAGCAACAACGATCGAGGCAGAGGAGGAGCTATCATAAGGTCTTATTGTGTCATAGGGAGGACTCTTCGGAGGATTCAAATAGTAAGGCAATCGTGGTAGAGGAGAAGACGTCGATTCTAAGAAATATCGGTGGAGGAGGAGACAACAATCTTAAACGAAAAATGCAATGAAGATTTAATTTATCAACAAAATATTAAAGAACTACCCATACCATAGCAAAAAAGACACTTATTGATAGCTCAACTTTATTAAATATAATTGCTTTTACTCTGTGCTTTGTACTTGTAAAACTTTTTATTTTCTAGCTTTAAGTTAGTAGTAAACCATAGGACTTCTCTTTCTAAAGATGGTCCAAGATATTAAGAGTAACCCTTACATAATCGAGTCACTGATTTCAAAATGTCTTTTATTATCAGATTTTTTAAAATTGTCTTTTATCTTTTTTGTTTTAACTTGGATTTCAAATTTTTATACACAGATGGAACGAGTTCGTTGTGATCTACAAACCGATATTTACTTTTAATATATTACGAGTAATTTTTCCGCACACCACCCATACCACTCGTTACCACCTTCAACGTGATCAATTGAATAATTTTCGTGATCAAATACACCACCATATACCACCCTAGTATACTGTGGTAATAGGTATAGGTGGTAAACGTTGATGAAAGGTGGTAAAATGATCATTATTATATTCATACGTATATAACCACTTTACACTCTTGTATATATTCATACTAGCATGGTACACTTGGATACCAGGTGATATAATCTTATGTACTACCAAACAATATCACATGATATAGACTAGTAATACGACTTAAAACGAAAGAGAAATCATATGTTAAAATTAATTGGCAAAGAAAAGTAGATGACATATATACAAGATTAATGACCCATAAATTATGCATTATATCCGATTGATTTATCCGTCGCATGTCAAGACAGAGAAGTAGGATCAGACACGAACAACAATCAAGCACGGCACTAATTGGTTAGATATTTGAGCTGATGCTGATCTCGACGAGTAGAATTGCAATGGCAATATATGAGATGAGATGCAAACACCTTTCTTTCAGTTCAGGTGGCCACATCCAGACCGACCGGAAAAGCCTTTCCAAATTCAATCACGTCCATTCCACTTTGAAGGAAGAGTCCAAACAAAAGATGGATTCAGATTCATGATTACGACCACAGGCAGGCATTACAAGACTTGCCTAGACATCCAATTCCATGCTTAATTTGACTTCTTTTCACTTTTGCTTTCTTAATAATGGCATTTGTTGAACCATATACATTAACAGTAAGAAATGGCAAACTCCCTGATTTAACATTTCACCCAAAATGGTCAAGGATACCGCCCGTACTCGATGGAAAGAAACTACATGCCTGTTCATCAGTCATTCATTCATTCATATTAAAAAGAAACAGATAGCTACAGTATCATCTAATCCTCTACTTGCACACCAGAATTCAACAGAACGACCAACTACTACTGGCTTTCCACGGTTCTTAGAAAGATGGATCATAATAGGAAGCAGCTCCTGAGTTTGATCCATGATTACTACCTCACCTCACTTAGGATTCCTAAGAACAATGATTACTGAATCACCGCGGAGAAACATTTTACTGATGAACCTATCTTTGTTCACTGGTTGAGCCTTCTTCTTGCCTTTCCCTGTTTTTGGCACCTGATATTTTTCAGCATGGAGCAAGATGCAGATATTGGTTCAATTAGTGTGAATAGCAAAATGTATTTAAGAAAAGAGAATAATATGAACCATTCATTCTTGGATAGAAACCAAAACCAACCTCAGTCCACATCTCTCTGACATTTTCCAAGACCATGTTGCAGTGACGATCGAATGCCCTCACGCGCCCAAGAAGCTTCTTGTTGTTACGGCAATTTATCAGCACCTGCATACCCAACGCCCAATTAGAGTGCTAGTCAACAGAACAGAACAAAATATAACAAACTGACTTGAATGTTTATATCTAACCAATCACTAAACTTGTCCTAACAACCATTACTGAGATAAACCCTTCATTGTTTCTTGATAGTTTTGCTTAAAACAGACATCGGGTAATGAACAAAAATCTACCTGGGTGTTATTCTTCACACTCATCATCAGAACTGAAAGTGGACCAGTGCTGAATTCTTCCTCCTTGCTCTGCAAATGAAGAAGCATCAAAATCAGAGTTGATAGCATATAAATTTCCAGCAATTGCATACACTATGAGCAAAGACAACGTGACATGACTCCAATAATATCAATTTAAGCTCCCAAGTCACTTGTATTTTGCATCACTAAAAGGGTTATCATGCAGCACAACACGATGATGCAGAAGACACAGTGCAGATCAGAGTGTGAACACTTGCATCAAAACAGCATCTGAAATTTACTACTGCAGATACCTAAACTATATGCAACAGAACAGTACAATAAGGCTAGCTACACCAATCATCACACAAAGGTTTTTGCTTCCAGATAAGTTACATTCCCTCTTAGTGCTCAGGTTAAAAAACACCACCCTGAGACATGCTGTGGAAGTAGTAACCATCATGAATCCTAGAACAGTGCTGTGACTTGTTAGTGCTTTAATTGTATATATATCTCAACAGTTAATCATATAACTTGAGTTAGTGTATTTATAAAAATAATATCCTAGTTTCCATCAGACATTTACAGCACTTAGATCCTTTCATATTCTCTCCCGCTGCACCAGAGGCATGCTGTAGAAAACTGGCTAGCTCAAAGCCTACAACTTTCATAAAAGGCCTGAAAGGACAACTTCACCTTGTTTCTAGAGCAGGGTACGCCCATAGGCTTCTCATTTGATTTTACATGTGAGAGTCGTTTGTAAAATATTTATCAGGAGAAAAACTAAGCACCCATTTGTTGAACAAGCTTACACTTTGTACTAGCACTTCTAATCCATCTTCACCAAAATAATGGTCGATAAAAACCAATCTTGAGTTGCTGGCACTAGAACACAGCTGTTACTCTAATTCAACTTGCTTGAGCAGGTAAGAAGAAATCCTACTACATCACGTCTTAGTTCTCTTACGTTATTTGACAAATTGGCACTATGGATAAGGTAAGAAAAATATCACTCAGGAAGCAAAAATGCATATGCAGCAGAAAAGCATAGATTTATGAAACATCCGAAACAATAAAGAATTCATTAAGGCAACAAGAACTCACTGGAGCATCCTCTTCCATGGGCCGACTGCAAAAAAATGACAAACCAACGTGGAAAGCTGTCAGTATGTTCATCACAAGATAGAGCAACAAAACAAATTTGCGCATCAATGGTGCGGCTGCACAATCAGTTTCCTAACAACGAACTCATTATAAACTAGGGTTTTGAATTGGCACACAGAAAGATATTCGAGGGCAGTTGGCAAGTCCCCTCCACATACTAAGAAGAACGAAACGGGGAGGCTCCAAGTCTTACCTCATGGTGGCGAGTTCAGTTTCTCCCTCGAACCGTCAAAGAAACCTGCAAACTGGAAGGCAGGCAAATTAGGGTTAAGCTCACGGAATGTATGTGAGCAGTAATCGGAACAGAGAAACGCAAACGAAGACCAAAAGGAAACAGTAAGGTACCGAGTAGAACAAATCAATAGAAGGAAGAGTGAAGAAAGCTACCGATATCGGGAGGTTTATGTGCTCGCCGAGCCGAGCCGAGGCGGATAAACTTGACCTTGACCGGGGAAGCAAGGTTTGCCGGAGGCGGCAAGAGTGCTGCGCGCAGGATTTTAAATTTACTTCGTTGAAATTTTATTTTATCTAACCCACTTAAAATATGGGCGTTATGAGTCTTATAATTCTAATAATATGAATAAGTTTTTGATGTTATTAGTCATTATGATAATATAGTTGAACGAATTTTTATTTTAATAATATAAGTATGTGTATTATGATAATATAGTTGAACGAATTTTTATTTTAATAATATAAGTATGTGTGTGCTCGATGAATTATTTTTGGTTATGTGTGGGAGCCCATACGTACCGTTGCACTTGCACATGACTCTTGTGGTACTGTCACGACCTTACTCTCGATCGTGCGGCCCTAGCTCTCAATTCCGTTAGAGCGCTAGGCAGCCTTTCTCTCAACTCACTTGAAAGCAAAGAACAAGAACAAAGACAAAGGAAATGGGAGAACTCTCTAGTGTGTATTACTCTCAAAAATGATGGAATGAGTACAAATGAGGGAGATGGCTCCTTATATAGGCCTCTCCACATACAAGGCATCAATGCCCCTCATAAAGTCCCTCTACTACATCAATACACCCCATTAAGTCCCCCCATTATGCACTCTATCAATGTCACCATTATGTGACTCATAAGTGCACTATAAAGCTCTACATTATGGTGGAGAATCCTAGGAGCATCTCTATGCTACTAGTCTTCCATGCATGCCACATGTGCTGCTGCCATGTTGTCACCTTGTTGGCGCCATGTCATCTGCCACATGTGACATCCTCCCCCACCTATGCTCGCGACGCCCTCGTCGCGTCCTCTTGATGGAATGCCTCGATCAAGTCCTTGTTCTTCCAAAGCGTGAGCTCTTTCTCCCATGTTGCTCCACTCTCCGGAAGGTTGCGCCACTTGACTAAGTACTCCACAAAGCTTGGATGTACGCCGCGACGAGGAATGACACGACGCGCCATGATTTCTTCGACTTCATGGTCGTGTGTCTTGGTGACGAGTGTCGGTGCGCGCTGCGGCTCCCTTCGCTGCTCGTCCTCCTTGTCTTCGTGGTAAGGTTTGAGTTGGCTCACATGAAAGACCGGATGGATCTCCAAGTGCGTCGGCAGCTCTACCTTGTATACCACATTGCCAATCCTCTTCACGATGGGGAATGGCCCTTCATAGCGGCGAAGCAGTCCCTTGTGCACGTTCTTGAGATGCTTGTAGCGATGAGGGTAGAACTTGACCATCACCATGTCTCCCTCTTCAAACTCCAAGTGCCGCCGCTTCTTGTCCGCCCATTTCTTCATCTTCTTACTAGCGCGGGCTAAGTAAGACTTGGCCATCTCCATCTTCTCGTGCCAACCTTTAGCGAACTTGTAGGCCGCCGGACTGTTGCCTCTATACCCCGTTGCCACCGTCGTAGGTGTCAAAGGTTGCTGCCCCGTCGCCAACTCGAATGGACTTGTGTTGGTCGACTCGCTGCGGTGTAAGTTGTAGGAAAACTGCGCCGTGTCCATCAACTTCACCCAATCTCGTTGGTTTGCACTCACGTAGTGCCGCAAGTACACTTCCAACAAGGCATTCACCCGCTCCGTCTGTCCGTCGCTTTGAGGATGAAATGCCGTCGAGAAGTTCAAGTTTGAGCCCATGATCTTGAACAACTCTCGCCAAAATCTGCCCGTGAAGCGCCCATCTCTGTCGCTCACAATGCTGCTAGGAATGCCCCAATACTTGACCACGTTCTTGAAGAATAGTCGTGCCGCATCCTCCGCCGTTAAGTCTTTTGGCCCAGGAATGAACACTCCATACTTCGAGAATCTGTCCACCACAACCATGATGCAACCGCATCCATCGACTTTGGGAAGTCCGATGATGAAGTCCATGCTCACACTCTCCCATGGTCGTTGAGGCGTGGGCAAGGGCTCTAGCAAGCCTGCCGGGCTTCTCTGCTCCATCTTGTCTTGTTGGCACACAAGACAAGTCTTCACATACATCTCCACGTCGTCTCTCATACGCGGCCAGAAATATGCTTCTTCGATGAGCGCTTGCGTTCTCTCGATGCCGGGATGGCCCGCCCACTTGGAATCATGGCACTCCTTCATGATCTCCTTCCTCAAGTTGGCCCATCTTGGCACGAACATCCGCTCTCCCTTGGTCATGATGAGCCCATCCTTCATCCAAAACCGCCGAGTTTTACCTTGCTCAATGTACTCCGCTACGGTTTTGGCGAAGGGGTCATGGCCAAGGCCTTCAACGATCCGCTCTTTCAAAGGAAACGTGGGCTGGCTGATGCTTGCGGCTGCACTCTTGCGGCTAAGAGCATCGGCAACGGAATTCGCCTTGCCTGGATTGTACTCCATAACGAAGTCGAACTCGGCCAAAAAGTCTTGCCACCTCGCTTGCTTAGGAGTGAGCTTCTTCTGCGTCACAAAGTAGCTCGTTGCCACGTTGTCCGTCTTCACTACGAACTTTGACCCCAACAAGTAGTGCCTCCATGTGCGCAAGCAATGCACAACGGCCGTCATCTCCTTCTCTTGAACGGTGTATCGCCTCTCCGTCTCGCTGAGCTTCCGACTCTCGAAGGCAATGGGATGCCCATCTTGCATCAACACACCCCCGATTGCAAAGTCGGATGCATCGGTCTGCACTTCGTAGGCCAACGTCGGGTTGGGGAGCACGAGCACGGGCTCCTTCATCACCGCTGCTTTCAAGGCCTCGAACGCTTCTTGGCACCTTTCCGACCAATCCCACGCCTTGTTCTTCTTCAAGAGATCCGTCAAGGGTGCTGCAATGTTGGAGTAGCCCTTGATAAACCTCCGATAGTAGTTGGCAAGGCCGAGGAATGACCGCAACTCTGGCACCTTCGTCGGCGGCTCCCATTCTTGGATTGCCTGCACCTTCGCTCCATCCATCTTCAACTTGCCTCCACCAATGACGTGCCCCAAGAATGGAACCTCCGTGGCGGCAAATGTGCACTTCTCCCTCTTGACGTACAACTCGTTGTCGCGAAGGACTTGGAAGACTTGGCGTAGATGCTCGGCATGCTCATCGAGTGTTTTGCTATACACGACGATGTCATCCAAGTAGACCACGACAAACCGGTCCAAGAATGGCTCGAACACTTGATTCATCAAAGTGCAAAACGTGGCTGGTGCGTTGGTGAGACCGAATGGCATCACAAGAAACTCGTAAGAGCCATACCTCGTCACACAAGCCGTCTTTGGCTCGTCGCCCTCTGCTATCCGCACTTGATAGTAGCCCGAGCGAAGATCTAGCTTGGTGAACCACATTGCATCTCCAAGCTGGTCGAACAAGTCGGCAATGTTGGGAATCGGCCACTTGTTCTTCACCGTCAACTTGTTGATGGCTCTATAGTCGATGCACATCCGCAACGACCCTTCCTTCTTCTTTTGGAACAGCACCGGTGCTCCAAAAGGTGACTTCGATGGCCGCATGTAGCCTGCGTCCACCAAGTCCTTGAGTTGCCTCCGCAATTCTTCTAACTCCGGTGGCGACATGCGGTATGGTGCTCGCGAAGGGGGCTTCGCTCCTGGCTCCAACTCGATCTTGTGGTCCACCTCTCTTCTTGGTGGCAGCTTCTTGGGCAACTCCGATGGCATCACATCATCGAACTCTTTGAGGACACCTTCGATGATGGGAGTTGTGATTCCCGTTGAGCCTCCTTCTTCCTCCGTCTTCAAGGACACAAGAAAGGTTGGTTCATTCTTCTTGAACCCCTTTACCACTTGCATGGCCGATAGAGCACTATGGGGACCATCTTCTCTCAAGAGATGAACAGTATGGAACTCCCCTTCCTTCTCCAAGCACATCGTGTTGGAGTTGGGCTTCAAAAGCACTCCCTCCTTGTCGAGGAAGTGGATGCCGAGGATGACTGGGTGATCGTCCATGGTGACGACGGAAAAGTCGATGAGGCCTTCCCACTCGCCAAACTTTATTGGTACGTTGTGAGCAACTCCATGGATCGGGATGGACTCCGAATTGATCGTCTTGAGCCTCCCTTGCCCCTTCTCGTAGGCAATACCCAGCCGGTTTGCCTCCTCGACGCGAAGAAAGTTGTCCGTGGCACCGGTATCCACCAAGGCTTTTGACTCACCTTGCATGAATTGCGCCAGAACATAGCACCTCCCCCGCTTGCTCTCCTTGACGTCGGTCTTTGCCGCGCCAAGCTTGCGGATTGAGCCAATCTTGGCCTCCGCCGCCTTGGGCTCCTCATCTTGAGCTTCCATGGCTGCTAATCTCGCCTTTCTTGGGCAATCTCGCACTCGATGTGGTCCGTCGCAAAGGAAACAAGTCATGGGTTTTGGCTCGTACTTACCCCCTTTGCTCGAACCACCTTGGTGTTGTTGAGTGCGAGAACCCTCCTTGAAAGGCTTCTGCTGTTCTCCACCTTTGTTGGGCTTCGAACTCTTCTCTCTGCCGCTACTCTCTTGTCGTTTGTACTCGACAAAAGACTCTGCCGTGGCCATGGCAGTTGCAAGGTCTTGCACTCCTCGACGTTGCATCTCCATCTTGGCCCATGGTTGCAGCCCATCAAGAAAGCCGTGCATGGCCTCCTTGTCCGTGATGTCCGGGATCTCTAGAAGCAGCTCCGAGAATTCTTTCACGTATTCTCGAACTCCACCCCTCTGGGTGAGTCTTCTCAACTTCGAACGGGCTTCAAACTCCACGTTCTCTGGGTAGAACTGCCTCTTGATTTCTCTCTTGAAATCTTCCCACGTTACCATCACACAAGTACCTCTTTCGACGTCCGCTTCACGTCGCCTCCACCACACCATGGCAACATCAACCAAGTAAAGTGGAGCGGTACGAATCTTTACCTCATCCTCTTGGATGCCGGACGCCTTGAAGTACTGCTCAAGACTCCAAAGGAAGTTCTCTAACTCCCTCGCATTCCGTGAACCTCCGAAGCTCTTCGGTCTTGGAATATCAGCACGTGGGACGGATTGCACCGTGGCTGGTCCGCTAGCCATGGCTCTCTTCACGAGAGTGACCTCACTCTTGAGATCCGCAATCTCCTCCTTCACGCCGACCAGCTCAGCCTGGACTTGCTCTTTCACAACTCCAATGGCGTTGTTCAAGGATGTGGTGATGGTGTTGTTGATGAGGGCCACAAGCTCTTCTCGTAAGCCATCATTACCAATCTCCAAGCTCGACAAACGAGCATTCATACCTTGAAAATCGCTTTCGACTTGGGTGAAGTTTGCTCCCAAATCCTCGATGGCACTGATGTCTTCCGCCAACTTCACCTCCATTCTAGAGACACGCCTCTCTAGAGACGTCATAGGATCACGAGTGCTTGACTTTTCACCCTTTGGTTTGGGATTCTTCACGGTATCCCTTCCACGGTGCTTCTCATCGTCGTGGACTTCTGATCCCGTCATTTTTGGTGAGGTTCTTCCTTTCCTTCTGGCTCTAGGTTCAACTTTGCTAGCACAAAGCCGAACCAGGCTCTGATACCACTTGTCACGACCTTACTCTCGATCGTGCGGCCCTAGCTCTCAATTCCGTTAGAGCGCTAGGCAGCCTTTCTCTCAACTCACTTGAAAGCAAAGAACAAGAACAAAGACAAAGGAAATGGGAGAACTCTCTAGTGTGTATTACTCTCAAAAATGATGGAATGAGTACAAATGAGGGAGATGGCTCCTTATATAGGCCTCTCCACATACAAGGCATCAATGCCCCTCATAAAGTCCCTCTACTACATCAATACACCCCATTAAGTCCCCCCATTATGCACTCTATCAATGTCACCATTATGTGACTCATAAGTGCACTATAAAGCTCTACATTATGGTGGAGAATCCTAGGAGCATCTCTATGCTACTAGTCTTCCATGCATGCCACATGTGCTGCTGCCATGTTGTCACCTTGTTGGCGCCATGTCATCTGCCACCTCATTTGTGCTGGTTGACACACCTTTTAATCCTAAAAATGTCTCAATTTCTTCATATCAAATATATAAGCATCTAGTTGATAAATGTAAAGATGTAAGTTATCACCATTAGAGAACTTAATAGGATAAAATGTATCAAGTTTTAATTATCTTTTTTTGTCAAAATTAACAAATGAATCGTCTAGATTTGAACAATCCACAAAACGTAGCAATTTCGTATTAACTTCGTTGAAGAGACCGTTAAGCACTTGCAAGATGTAACTACATATCCAAAATCATAAAGCATGTAGGAGCATGTAACTTCGTGGTGAAAATGATAGCCTTAAGTTTATAAAGAGGTGCTTTATTTGAATCTCGCTCCCAAGTAAACATAAGTAACATATGTTTTTCATATGTTTTTCAAATTTCAGCTGGTGCACGAAAGCTACCTAGAAAGCAAATACCGGCTCCGTCATTAATTATGGGTGATGGTGACCAAATTAATTATCTACTACTTGTAGTAGGAGAGTACGTAATTATTGGAACAAAATCGAAAAATCGACAAAATAAAAAAGTACAAAACATCCAAAATTTACATGATTCACTAAAAACTATATAGAATAGTTTCCCATTCAATAAAAATTATGAGAGGTTGTTCGGCCAACAAAAAAAAATAAAAATAAACTATCCATATTTTTTTAACTAACCCACCTTCGATCAATTCAAAGCAATATAGCCAACAAAGTAATTATTCTGCAAATTCCGAGTTCTTCAACCAGATTCATGAACATGATCACAACAATCCCGCCGGCCGGCAGGCCCGCTACATGGCAGAATGAAGGGGTCGTGGCTCCTTAAACCCGCAAAGGTATCTCCCAGCTCCATGCCCCGACGACGACGTAATTCCATTATTGTTCGACGACTGCCTCTTCTTCTTCTTCTTACTATTATTGCTCTTCCCACTCAACGTCCAACTACTACTACTGCTACTGCTAGACTTGATGAGCTTGTCATGATCAGCTTCTTCAATGGGCTCCACCACGATTCCGCTGCCTTCCCCGCTGTGTACGTCCAGCCAGGAGACGATGTCTGCGAACACGATCCGTACGTTGTCGTCGGTCTCCCCGGCGGTGAGTCCGTGCCACATCCCGGGGTAGAGCTTGATGGTCTTGTCGTTGCTGCCGGCCTGCTGGTAGAGTGCCTTGCTGATCTCCGGGTCGGTGACGGTGTCGGCGTCGCCGTGGAGGACGAGGAAGGGCAAGGTGACGTGGTGGAGGGACTCCTCCAGCCTCATGCTCGTCCTTAGCATCTCCAGCGCCGTCTTCAGCCGCGGCTTGTCCTGGTATATCAACTTGTTGTTCCGTATCTCCTCGCGCTTGACGGGGTCCTTGAAGGCGGCGTCAATGACGTCTTTGGTGGGAACGATCTTCCACTTTGGGATCAGCTCTTCGAAGCCGGTCAGTATGTTCACTACCACCGGATGTGGCTTCAGCTTCTCCGAGATCTTTCAAACAAAACACAAACACTGATTAATTAGAATCTTAGATAATGTGTGTTGTGACATTTATGAGCTAGATAGATAGCACGATTGAGATCTCACAACTCTTTTACTTCCTTTAACTATTATTGAAAACCATGATTCTAAGAAAAAGAGTGCAAATTAAAAAAAAAAAAATGCATGTGTGTTCGTAGTACCTTACACATTGGGGCGACAAGAACGGCGCCGTTGTAGAAGGACGGGCGCTTCTTGTGCAACAAAAGGGAGACGGCCCCGCCCATGGACTCGCCGTAAAGGAATCTTCCTTTCTCCCTCAAGTCCTTCTCCGCCGCGACGGACCTGAAGAAGTCGTCGCAGTCGTTGACGATGTTCTCGAACTTCTTGATGTAGCACCTCGACCCGCCCGACCGCCCGTGCCCTTCGTAGTCCATCCCGAACACTCCGTAACCCGATTGAGCCAACCTGATTCCAATTTCTTTTGTTTTGTTTTTTATGAAAACAGCAGAAGTAATGATTAATTGGCAGAATGTAATTAATCAAGAAGGGAACATGAATAGACCAAATAATAATGATGTTAAGTTACAACTGAAGCAGAACGACTGGTGGGATAGGTCAGGTCAGCTAACCCCGGCCCTCTGAAACCAAAGCAATGAATGAGAAGCGGCTTATTAATTAATTGGGTAGCTGGAGTGGTTGGTTGGTGGGTGGGGTGGGTTCTCATTGGGTGTTGGTTTGAACTTGGGTATGCATGTTTGACAAGAAAGCAGCAATAGTACTTGGAGATGGAGGAGAACAGAACAATCTTGAAGCCGTACAATGCACAAGGGAAACCCAATCATCATGGTGTAGTTCCTTTTGCTGATTTTGGGTTTCTTGTTGCACTCGCTTAAGGCTAATTCCAATGGAGCCTCTATAAATGGGGGAGCCTCTATATTTGAGGAAAAGTTGGCTCTATAAATGGAGGAGTCTTTATATTTGGGGGAGATCTCCAAAAGGATCCCCAAATTTGGGGTGGAAATGGGGTTCCCCCAAATATAGAGACTCCCCAAAGCCCGCCACATAGCGTTTCTTTTTCTTTTTAAGATTTTAAGGGTTAATTGGGGTTTAATTAGGAGATTAGTTAGGGGTTTAATTAGATCAATAATTTTCAACTTCAAGTGTTGTGTGTAAACCCAAATTAGGTCAATCATTTTTTGTCAACAAAAATTTGCTCTCAAAATTAAAAAAAATTCTACCGGAAAATTTGTATTTAAAAATGATGACGAACTATACAAAAATTAACATGAACAAATTATATTAAGGCTTCGATAAGTATATTTTTAAGTAAATGGAAAACTTAAAAAATGGAGATCTCCAAATATAGAGGATGTAGCATTGAAACAAAAGAAGGGAAAATGGGGATGAAGATCCCCAAATTTACGGGCTTGCATTGGAGTTGGTCTAATAAGTGTGTACTCACAATACATGTCACAACATGTACGTCTTCAAGTGTACACACAACATATTTCAGAGATAAGATGTTAAATTTTTTATTTATTGAGATATGATATAAAACGAACGAGATGATTCGTTGCAAATTCATAATCAATTTAAAAGATGCATACTATGTCACCTGAAAATTTGCTCAACATTCCTCAAAGCTCCAGAATTTTCTTCTTATCCTCTAATAATATGGATCGTGAGATTTTTCTTTTTCCAACTACAACCATCATATTTATCTATTTATTAATCCAGATTCCTATAAAAAAAAATTTACCTATTAATTTAGTTTTATAGAATGAGATTCGTGCTTTCTTGGTACATATTTTATTTTGAGTGAGATTGACACAACCCAATAAGAGACTGTGGAACTCCATAATGGCGCAGCAATCGAAGGAAAGGGATGAGGTTGAAGATGAAGATGAAGTGCGATCAGATTGAAGGCGGTTATCTTCTTCTGCCTCATTGTTGGGTTGTCAGCAGCCGCTTTTTCGCTGGAGTTTGTTCGCCCGGAGCGTTCCAGGCAAACAAACGACAATTCGGAGAGAACATGAGTGAAAATATAAAAAAAACAAGACACCAAGGGGAAAAACAATTTCATAGTTATATTATTAATTTTTTAAATATAATATTCAAATCGTAAATTTTAATCCGATCAAATATTAGTCTGTTTTGATATGACAAATTTGTTTACGAGATTGAAGGATAGTGTGGCAACAATGTCACTAAAACGTTTACCTCTTATTCGGGCCACTCCCTCTCTCTCAATCCAACAAAATTCGAAATATTTTCATTTTCCTCCGACAAATCCAGATAACTGGAGCCTCTCATCAGAAAGGTTCGATCATATCCCGATAAAACAATTTAATATACTTATTGAGGACAAACAATTTATGACCTGATATTATAACTAGTGTAGTAAAATAATTGTGTTCTAATGTTTACAACTCCAATATCAATTAACTTTTTTAATGAAGATTGATCTTTTCATCATTGTGGCAGATTTGGTAAATCCAATTCATATAATGATATAAACCACCAGAAAAAGAAATAAATGCTAACCGCCCATTTCAACGAAAGATGGTTGGAACAGAGTAGGTCAATCGAATTTATATGAATCAAAAGAAATAAATGCTAACCGCCAATTTAAACGAGAGATGATTGAAATAGAGTAGGTCGATCTTTGGTGCATGGATGTGGAAAATGAAATTATATATGACGATGCAATAATTGAGGAAAAAAAAGAGAAAATCTTATCAGGATGGGTTGTGGTTGATTGGATGTTGACTGGATGGGCGGGACGGGAGGGAAGAAAAGAAAACAAACAAAAACATTTTGTTTGACAATTCAAAATTGTGATACAACATTTGAAACGAGATAACGTGAATTATCTTGTTTTGCACTATTTAAATCAATAGAAAGTATCGTGAGATTCATTTAAAAAAATCATCATCCGAATCGAAACAATCTCTAACGAAGGAGACGGAAAAGGGAGGAGAGCGGCGGAGGAGACGATGAGAGATTGGAGAAGGAGAAAGGACAGGGAAAGGGAAATGAGTGCACCACAGAGTTCATTAAATTAGAAGTGCAGAGGTGGGGTGGGAAGGAGAAATAAGAATTGATTACCTCTCATGAAACCGCTGCACTCCATGCCATAACCTGCCAAAACACCCCCGCCATTGATGCCACACACCCACCTCCCTCTCAGTTAATACATACAAATTGAATGAAAAGCATCAAAACGGAGAAGAAGGGGGGCAGGCAGCCAACCATGACAGAGGAAAACCAGAGCTTTTGGCGACGACGACGAGGATGACGAAGGATTGGGCAACCATCTACATGTGAAAAGCTCTACTCCCCTCGAATTCTTTACATACTCCTGTCAACCCCAGACACAAAACAAACAGCAAATTGAAACGGAATCCATCAACCAAGTTCAAATTTCCGCGGCCGGGCAGGGGGTTCTTAGTTCTTACCTCTCGATACTGAAACTCCATGAATGTATGTATGTATGTATGTACGCCAACCGTTCGACGAAAAGCCCACCCCAGGCGAGGGAAGGGGAGAGCACTGATTAGGACGCTGGAGAAGCAACGGCGATTGCGAACTTAATTGACCATCCTTATCATCATATCTTCCCTTTCTGCTTCAATTATTTCGCGCCTTTGGGATTCTCCATGTAGTAAAAGCGGTCAAGGATTGCGGACGAGAGTAGATTCGAAGAAGAGAAAACACCCCCACGCCCTATGAAAATAGAAACAAAGAAACTCTCTCTCAGAGCAGATCGAGAAGAAGGATGGCTTTGCTTGCCTCGGGATGGGACTTGGGAGGAGGAGGAGGATTATATTTGAGGTTTTCTTTTTTCTTTTTCTTCCCCGTTTCAGAGCGTATAATTATAGTCAAGGGGAAACGTGTCCAGGGAATATATAGAATTATTTTAATATCGCTCAACGTTCTCTTTAACGAATAATAAAGTAAAGGAAAAAGACTGACGAGTGAAGAGAAAATGGGAAGCGAGAAATGAATCGGTGACGAAAATATGATTTTTAGATAGGATTGGTTCAGCACATTTTTAATTCCCACCCGATATTTCGTTTTCGAAAAATCTCGATAACTTGTTGACGGAAAGGAAACCAGATCGATTTTATTGATTTAGGATGTTGAAGAGTAGATTCATTCCAACAATGAAAATATGGTTATAAGCAATGTTTTCAGAATCGAACCAGAGCATGATCGAGCAATGCAAACGGCTTGCACTTTAGTGATATAATCGGCATTAAATTATTTAAAAATCGTTAGAGAATCGGTACCTAATAAACGTTATCAGTATAAATAGTTGACATTTCTTAATAGAGCTCGTCTCTTTCCTTCGAAATTGTGAAATGGAAATAAGGATTCAGTTTGAGAGCCCGACGTTTCTGGTTTATTTCAATTTTTAATTTTCTGTAATCTTTTAATTAAATTTAACGGCTGAATGGTAAAAACCGGACGAGCAGCTCGATCGGCTTGAGCGGTTAACCGCCTCGGCCGCTCGTCAATCGCTACATAAAACCGGAGCGGCTTTTAGACTGTTCCGAGTCGGTTTTGGGGTCGGGTGGAGGTTTTACTGGTCATGCCGAGCGGCTCGGCTCGGCTTTAATAACACTGGTTATAAGTAATGCAATCAAGGCTAGCTTTTAGTTAGAAGTGAAATGATAGGTAAGAGCAAAAGTGCAACATTTTATCCAGGGTAAATTTCAAGTTTCGTCACGGAATTTACTAAACGTGTCACATTTAGTCAGTGAAAAAAATTAATATCAATAATGATCACTAAATTTAGTAACCCACGCCATGTTTGGTCACTCTACGTTAGTCTCTATCCAACTCCGTTAATACAGTTCGTTTCAGCCCCATTTAACCCAACAAAAACAAAACCCGACCCATCACGTCATTAAAACCCGCCATATCATTAAAACCAACCCAACCCATGATCCAACCATTTATCTTCTTCTCTATTTGATCCGCCCGAAATCTAAACCGAAATCCAATGTGCCCGATTACCCTTGTTGATAGAAAAAGTTCAATTGGTGGAAGTAGAGGCTGTTAAGAAGCTACTCCAAAAGCAAAACCAGGAGAATTCATGAGGGCTGAGGCGCCATGCTTGTTAGTTGTTTTGGCTAGCGATTAAACAAAATTAAAGTCCTTGAAGCTTCTAAATCCCACACCGACCTTCACATTTTGGCAGGCACAACAACTTACCAATCGACCCAGTCAACGTTCTTATTCTTAGTGTCCCCATTTTGGTACGCACAACACCTTGACATTGCACCAGTGAATGATATTTTTATCTCCCCAGACCAAAAACTCCGCAGGGGAAAGCCCGTCTTGTTAGTAATAGGCTAATAGCATTTGGAAAGAGATAAACACACATGACTATGCAAACAAGTTGTAAACCCAGATAAGTTTTTTCCCCCCAAGGACTACTGGCATCCATTACTAGTTCCTAGAGTCTTTTCTAACATGCATCCGGTTCCACAGGTTTGCTACACTGAATCCACGTTCCTGATCAAAGGCTAAAACCGCCTACCGATTTGTGTCCAGTATCCGGTATTTCCTGTCTGACCTGCCGGCACGGTAGTGTTTATTAAACATTGGTTTTCAGTGAACAACACTCAAGTGCCCTCGAGTGACTGATGGGTATGGCACATTCTGTATCTAGCCAAAGGAAACATCATAGTAAAATTCTAAGCTATGAAGAGGGCTAAAAACAGGTTCTTCAAGAACAAAAGGTTTCACCTTGCTTCTAATCTATCTTGCATCTCTTTCTCTTCCAGCTTTTGTCGCCCACAATTAGCCGCTGCTTCCTTCAAAGGCTTGTGGAGTAATCAACCATAGCAGCGACGACAGAAACCCCACCTGCTGACATAACCACAGTCGGCAAGCTTCGAGTTCTCGCAGCAGCAACAGCCCCTGCTGCAGCTCCAGCTACTAAAGTGTTTACCTGCAATAACAGCCAGATGAACGTTACGACAAAAGATGGACTGGATGCCAAGAAGAGTAGGAGACCACACCGTTGGACAGCTGGTGAACTTCATTAGTGGTAATTTAAAGCCATCAGGTCAATGGTTCATTGAGCACAGTCACAAACATCAAAGGCTTTTAATGGATAGGTGAAGCTGGTGGGAAGCTAACAATTAAAAGAGAAGCTATACTCACTCTCCCGAGTTCAAACTAACATTTTTGGTGTATCTTGTTCTATGTCAATTTGATATGCTGACAACCTCCATAGACAACTTATACAGGAAGGGTGACTAAAAATCTCAACAAGGGTGCGGAATCAAGATACCAACAATGCTTGTTAAGATCATGTAATGCCATGAAAAGGGGAATCATTCTTCGCCTATATAACCTCCTGAAAACACCCTACAAAGGAACGATAAATATTTGCAATTCAATGCAATCGAGGCAGAACTCAAGTGTTGGTCACAGTCCGGAAAAGATAGGAAGGTGAAATGACCAAGGTGCAGAATCGAGATAGCTACAAAGTATCTTAAGATCATGTAAAGCAATGTCATAGGCTCATAGCATCAAAATCAAAGGAGCGATTCAGCCTACGAATCATATTCATATGTAAACTAACCCAATCATTCTTCTGCCTATATCTCTGAAGTGCACAACGTGTACCAGAGAAGCATCCACCTACCAGCCCTGTGCACAATAAGTGGAGAAAAGTCAGTGCAGTCTCTACCTAAGTAAAGCAAGCACTGCACTTCTCCATGTCAAGAAGACAGCTTATTACCGCAAATCAAACCATGCCCACCAATCGTCTTAGCCTGTAAAATTTTAGGAAACACGAATATTACAGAGAGCACATCCAAAATCGAATTCGGAACCCGAGTTAACAAGAGGGAGAGATAGAGAGAACATACTACATAAGAAGCCCGAGCAGCGGCAGTCAGGCCTGCATACAGAGATCGGAAAGTGGATAACAATGAAGGAGGAGATTCAAGATTGAAGGCTGAAATTGGGTTGGCGATTGACCTTGTTTACGGGCATCGTAGGGAGCGATGCAAGAACCCCAGATGAGACCTGCCTGAAGACGCGAATTAGATTCACGGGAAAACGCAAATTCACCTTTGGAGTGTTTCTAAATCTGAGTTGGGAAAGAGTAATTAAGAAGTGAGCTGGGAGATTAGCGACGTACCGTTCCTACTCGAAGAACAGAGTCGACGGCGAGGGAGGAGCAGGGAGCGACCTTCATCAGCTCCTCCTCCATCTTCCGCCACAACAACCAAACAACGCGACAAGGTAACAAGTACAGAACAGTGCTATGGTCTCTCTCTAAGAGTCTACAAGTAAAAAATATAAACTACTAGTTAGTAGTTCCTCTCACTTGGGCAAGGTATAAAATGAATAACAAAAAGGTGCATACTGCTCAATACTCTATTCAAATGGACAAATACTGCTCGATACTCTATTCTAAAAATCCGCCAATACATGCATTTACATCATACTGATTCATAACAATATAACGATTTAACATATTCAACTTCTAAACGAATTAATTACTATATTCATGCCAATCTGACCACTGGATCTCACACTACTTAATTAAGCTCCAACCGTTTTGACAACTTTGATTTAGAATAGAATCCCTGAAAACGTTTCTCTTTGCGAAAGGTAAAAGGCCAAAACGACGGCGCGTTGATGTACGAAGAGAAAAGAAAACCCTAGGTCGTCTCGTCTGTTCTGGATACAAATATGTTGGGCAGCTGAGGCGGCCACATAACTCCGTGAATTGAGCTTCGATATCAGAAGAAAAAGAAAACGAGCGAAGAGATGAGTCGCGGCGGAGCAGCAGCGGTGGCGAAGGGAGGAAAGAAGAAGGGAGTCTCCTTCGTGATTGATTGCGGGAAGCCTGTGGAGGATAAGATCATGGACATCGCTTCGCTCGAGAAGTTCCTCCAGGAGAGAATCAAGGTGGGCGGCAAGGCCGGCGCTCTCGGCGACGCCGTCGCCATCTCCCGTGAAAAGAACAAGATAACCGTCACATCCGACAGCAATTTCTCTAAGCGGTACTTCCCCATCTTCCTTTCCCGCGTTTATGCCCCTTATTTCAGATTTGTGAATGTATCCTTGGGTTTAAATGGTAATGGAAATGTTTCTAGGGGATCCAATGGTGAAGCAACCTGGGGTAGCTTGCCTGATTCGTAGTGAGAATTTGGGGAGGAGTAAGATACCCGTTTCTAGTTAGGTGAACCAGATCTGTTAATGGTGGTGTAATCCACTGAGTAACTGTTGACATTTTTTTGCACTGTTCGTTCCAAGGGTTTCTAAGGTGAGTTAAGACTGTGTGCTTGGTCATATATGCTGCTCGCGGTTAGGTATTAGTGTGCTGCATGTGGATAGTTCTAAAACTATTCCAGCTTCAGAGTGGGATTATAATAATCCCCAGTTATCTCTTGAGTTCCATGTTCATTATGCTGATACTGGCTCAATTGTTATGGAATCGTAGTATCGCTTGGGTGGGTTCAAACTTGTTTGCTGAATCATATTTCGGTATGCCCGGTTGGAATGTGGTTTGATAATGATGGTTTTGATTACAGGTTCTTAAGTGGTGCATAGGTTGATTTGATTTAGGTTCTTAAGTAGGGATACGTACAGACTATTTGCCTTGAGATACTTGAGCCAATGAAATGCAAATTTCAGAGGAAAGTCTGACCGCTCTGGCTTTATGCTTTTCCTTATCCTGGCTGCGAGCTAGCTTGACTATCTTCTGATATTGTGTTCTCAACGTGGTGAACTAAATCGTTCTGTTTTAATGATCTCTGTGGCAGGTATCTCAAGTACTTGACCAAGAAGTACCTGAAGAAGCACAATGTCCGAGATTGGCTCCGTGTGATTGCTTCCAACAAGGAGAGGAATGTCTATGAACTGCGGTACTTCAACATAGCCGAGAACGAGGGAGAGGAGGAGGATTGAAGACTGATAATTCAGTATCTGGTGTTTTTTAGTTTGTTCAATCTGTTTGAAAGGCTGTTTCTCTACTATGTTGATCTGTAGGCTTCCTTGTCAGCGCTGTCGTAAAACTTGTTGGGAATTTTGGTTAATGGCGAATCTAGTAGATGTCGTACTTGCTTTCTTTAGCTGCTACAAATAGAATCTTTATTTCCTTGCTATAGATTTGCTCTTAGCGTGTGTTTCAAACCAATGGGTAATTGCCTATGTTTTTGCTGTTGGTACTCCGTGCTAGTATCTTTGATATTCATCAATGCTGTTTTCCAACCATTGAAAAATGAATTGTTAGGGTTCTTGAGAGAGGACGTCGGCCTGGTCTCGGCATGAGGCTTGCGCAGGTCTAACTCGGGCAGTCCTTTATTAATAGATCCATTATTTAGGTCAAGTCTGGTTGTCCAATCTGGGAACGTTTACATGTTTTATCTTAGCCAAAAGGCCTAGAAATGTGTGATCTAGGTACGTTTGTGGGTGCTATTGTTGAGATCATCTCCACTAATGCAAGAAAGAAATGCAATGCAAATAATGAAAGCAAAAAAGAAAAAGAAAAATAATGTTTAAGTAGTGATTCTAGATGATCATGCATTCATTCTTAATGACGAGATACTTGAATGCTTCTTTTATTAAGATGTTATATCCCTTTCTCTAAGGTCATTCTCTACCCATGCATGCACCTTTTGTGATGGAGATTTGACTATCTAAGGCGTGCTTTCGTTTCATGCCATCACCTAATCAATTAAGGCGTGCTTTCATTTCATGCCATCACCTAAGGCAAGCAATTGATTCAATCGCTAAATGTCGCCCTTAAAATGGCTAACGGTCGCCCTAACTCTAATGATAAATGACTTACATACCCCAATAAAATTTCAAAATTTAAACAAACCAAACAATCCCTAACTCCTCAAACTGAACCCCTCATCTACCTTCTTCGTGAATCCCTCTCGACGCACCAGTCCGTCGGCGCCTTTCTCGCCGTCGTCGGCGCCCGTTCTCTACCGAAATTTCCAAAAAAACGCTCAACCTAAGACAAGTTACGGTTGATCCACGGTGCAACCGCAAATGAGCTACGGTTCCTTTTTTTGTTTGTTTTTTTTCCAACTTTTGGAGTGAACTTTACCGATTTTGAGTCGCTAGTCATGATCCAGACATTATATCGACGATTCCAACTCCAGAATGACGATGATGGATTCTCTCTTTTAAATAATGTTTTATTTTCTTTAATAAGTGGGGTTTGTTTGCTAAAAAAAAAGTAAAAAAGCTAAAAAGATTAAATTTGTAACTTTGATGTTTTTTAGGACCACATTCCTACTCACTTGACCTGATTCTATGTATCATCAAATATAATATTAGAAATTGAGTTATGGAATCCCGCACCCGAACCCACTCCCGCTCGTGATACTGAGTACCGACGATGGTTGACTGAGGTCTGAAGCTTCAGCTGCCATTCCTTTTCCCTAGCTTTCTCTTCCCCGCTTCCCTCATCTCTTTTGCCTTTGCTTATTCCTGTAGCAGTAAGAACCAGAAGAAGCAGCTGTGCATTGAGCTGTCTGCTCGGCGACAAAATCACTGTAAGTAACTCGCTCCCGGATCTTTTCTTTTTCTTTTTGAACAGTACTCCGTTTCTAGTATGCTTTATTGAACCCACCATCAGTGATCGATTCACAACACTCCCTCGCTACGAATTCTTAACTTGTAATGGCTCCAGCATCTTCAGATTCGGCCATTACTATTAGCCTTATCAATTTTTGTCTTGTCGTGTTGTGTTTGTACCTGGGTTTTCCTTTTGCCTCTTTTTCCCCCTTTTCTTGTTGGTAAAGAATAGATGCAAAGCCGCAAGTGTAAATTTTGGGTCGCTTCATTTTACAGATGAGACTGATAAATTGATCTGGGAAGTGGGTTTTGTTTTTGACAAAATGGAGTCCTGCGATTGCATCGACACACAATGGCCCCACGACGAGCTTCTAGTGAAATATCAGTACATCTCTGATGTACTGATTGCAGCTGCATACTTCTCCATCCCAGTAGAGCTCATTTACTTCGTGCAAAAGTCGGCGTTCTTCCCTTACAGATGGGTTCTCATGCAATTTGGGGCTTTCATCGTTCTGTGTGGAGCGACCCATTTCATTAATCTCTGGACTTTCTACGTCCATTCCAAAGCAGTAGCCATTGTGATGACGATAGCCAAAATGTCATGTGCCATTGTGTCCTGCGCGACTGCTTTGATGCTGGTTCACATCATTCCAGACTTGTTGGGCGTCAAGACTCGAGAGTTGTTCCTCAAGAACAAGGCGGAACAGCTCGATCGTGAAATGGGTTTGATTCTAACACAGGAAGAGACTGGGAGGCATGTTAGGATGTTGACACACGAAATTAGAAGCACATTGGATAGGCATACGATATTGAAGACCACACTTGTTGAGCTGGGAAGAACATTAGGGCTTGAAGAATGTGCCTTGTGGATGCCTGCACGGTCTGGATCGACTCTACAGCTTTCTCACACTCTGAACTACAAGATACAAGTTGGATCCACTGTGCAGATTAACCATCCAACAGTTGCTGAGGTGTTCAATAGTGCTCGTGTAGTGAGGATACCGCATAACTGTCCTTTGGCAAGGATTAGGCCTCTTGTGGGTAAGTACCAGCCACCAGAAGTTGTTGGTGTTCGTGTCCCTTTGCTGCACCTCTCCAATTTCCAGATCAATGATTGGCCTGAAATGTCTGCAAAGAGCTATGCTGTCATGGTCCTCATTCTCCCTACAGACAGTGCTAGACAGTGGCGAGACCATGAGTTGGAACTTGTTGAAGTTGTTGCAGATCAGGTGGTGCTCTAATTGTTTATTGTTTTTCAGTTTTTCCTTTAAATTAATCCCATACCTGGAATTTGAACATCAAAAGAATTTGTTTTTGTGTGTGGTTACATTGTATTGCTTCATGGACGGTATTCATTCAGGTGGCGGTTGCTCTTTCACATGCTGCAATTCTGGAAGAATCTATGCGGGCACGTGATCAGCTCATGGAGCAAAACGTTGCTCTGAAATCAGCTCGCCAAGAAGCAGAAATGGCAATCCATGCCCGCAATGATTTTCTGGCTGTCATGAACCACGAAATGCGGACACCGATGCACGCAATCATTGCACTGTCTTCACTTCTTCTGGAGACGGAGCTAAATCCTGAACAAAGAGCAATGTTAGAGACTATACTAAAGAGTAGTAACCTATTGGCAAGACTGACTAACGATGTCCTAGACCTCTCTAGGCTTGAGGATGGTAGCCTGGAGTTGGATAGTGGTTTGTTCAACCTTCATGACGTTTTCAGAGAGGTGACTTTCTATCGTGGCTTTGATTTCATAATTTCCTCGTTGATTTTCCCTCATGAGGGATGGTTCTTAGGATGCCGTTCATTTAGTTTCGTTCTCATTTGCAGGCTGTTGATTTGATAAAGCCTATTGCTGCTGTGAAAAAACTGTCTATGACTTTGTTTATGGCACCAGACTTGCCTGGTTATGCAATTGGCGATGAGGAACGGCTTCTGCAAATCATTCTCAACATTGCTGGGAATGCTGTCAAGTTTACCAAGGATGGTCATGTGGCACTCATAGCATCAGTTGCCAAAACAGACTCCTTGAGAGACTGGCGGCCTCCTGAGTTTTACCCTATCTCAAGTGATGGCCACTTCTATCTGCGAGTGCAGGTTATTCCCTCGAGTCATGCACTGAACGACTCATAATATCAACATAAACTACATGCCAAAATCGCATTTGAATGTCATAATAATTTGTTTGGTTTGTGTTCCGGTTCAGGTGACGGATTCTGGAAGTGGTGTTCCTCCACAGGACCTACCATCGCTGTTTGTGAAATTTGCTCAGCCTAGAAGTGGATCCAGTCGTGCTAACAGTGGCAGTGGACTTGGACTAGCCATTTGTAAACGGTAAATAAAGCCTTTTGGTTTTGAAACCATATGCATGCTCCAAAACAGCATTTTCCTTCCTCTGTTCAGTTGCCTGATGAAGCTAGTTTTTTTTCTTCTTCCTTTTATTATGTGCTTGCTTGAAATGATGGGAAACCCCCCACCAAGGTTTGTGAATCTGATGGGAGGGCACATATGGCTGGAGAGCGAAGGGCTGAATAAAGGATGCGCGGCTACCTTCATCGTCAAGCTTGGGAATGCCGATCATCATGGAACTTCAAACATAGCCACATTGCAGAACGCAGCATCCAGAAATCACGCGAGTGCAGGTCACATTGAGCAGCATAAGCCAGTTTTCAGAGACATGGATGTCTCAGGTCAGCGGTACCAGAGAAGCCTTTGAGAGATCGATTGGTACGTCATTAATGGTAAGCAAAAAAGGTGGGTATTTAGGATTTGAGGTTGTTGATGTACTCACTGAGTCACTGGCATGTATGTAATGTAATGTAATGTAATGATGGGGACTGGATTCAATTTCAAGCACATAATGAATTTTTGTGCCAGTCTTTTTATTCAATTTGAGTCCTAGAATGAGTTCCAATGTTTTTCATCCACATGCAAAGTGTTTTAGTAAACTAGGAGAGTAAAAGTATAAGCTTTTATGTTTTAAAGCGTGATTTTGATTACATTGAGTGTAGTTGTAGTTTGGAGTTTTCACTAAACCTACATATATAGGTGTAGAGATAATCTGATGTAATTCTGATTCAGAAAATCATAAAAAATCAAACACTCTAGGGTAAAAATTGGCTTTCGGTTTTTTTTTTTTTTTTTTTGTGGTGAACCAAAATCAGAACCGTTGGATAGTTTTCGGTCACTGTTGGTGGCAATACCCGAATTGGATTCCTTTCCGCCCCTAGTTTGAATCGTGTGTTTAGAATCATTGTTCGGTCTTAGAATCGTTATTCGTGAAATGAAGGTAATCTTGATGTTATAATAATGCAAAGATTTTGTCCTCAATAGTGGTTTTGCACGTATTTAAAGAAAATTGATAATTCTTTGGAAGCTAAGACGGTCGTGCATGTCGTGCGTCCAACTAAGCCTGCATTTCCGGCCGCAGCAGAATCACAACAACGAAGCCGATCGTCATCATACCGTTTCTGAACCTATAAAACGGATAAATGCATTCATGATGTGATGAAACCGTCGATACTACCAAATCCAGTATAGTATTGCATTGCGTGTGTGGATTCTCTTGCAGTGATCGAGCAGATGGCGTACACAACGACGTCGTTTTTCTGGCTGGTCGGCTGTTTCGTCGTTGTTATTTGGTGCTCACAGTCACTTTTACTTCCGGCCTGCGCTGCTTCTGGGTACGGCGGAAACCACCCGCCACAACTCAGCCAGCAGTCAGCTGACGGGAACGGGATGAATGAAAAGCCGCCGCTCCCCATCGGCGTTCAGGGGACCATCCTCTGCAAGTCCGACGATGGTTATCGCCCCTTGCCAGGCAAGTAAAATTATTAATTAGTCAATCAATAACTTAGCTAGTTACGGATACGTTCGCACTTATTATTATATATATTTCAGTATATTTCGAGTCATCGATTATGTATTTTTAGATTAAATGAATTTTATGATTTGGATAAAGAATACGGATTGAGATTGATTTATTAAAAATAAAGGCATAGTATCATGACTTCAATTTTAATTAATTCATTAGCAAAACTCAAAGTAAGTAAGACCAATAATAAGTAAGTAAGTAAATAAATGGATTGATTGGTGCATGTATGTAGGGGCAACGGCGAGGATCACGTGCGTGGCGGAAGAGGAGCACGGGTACGAGACGGCGCCGTTTTCGGTCTCGAGCAGTCGGACCGACGACCAGGGATACTATTTCGCCACGCTGTATCTTTCAGAGGTGATGATGAGCGACGACTTGAAGCTCAAAGAATGCAAAGCCTTCCTCGAGAATCCTTCGTCGGCGACGGACACTACTACCTGCGATTACCCGACTGACCAGAACGGCGGCGTCTCCGGCGCCACGCTCACCTCGCATACCGTCCTCGAAGAGAAAAGGATGAAGCTTTACACGGTCAAGCCTTTCGCTTACAGCACGACAGCTGGGCCCGCATCCGCCCCTTCGCCGGCGGATGATTACGACGACGGGTATTAGTTGATTAATTATCATTAGTTGTATTTGTAAGTGGAGATTATAATATGTGGAAATGTGTACTCCTAAATTAGCAACATTAATTGTATCGTTTTTGTTATATGTATAGTAAAACATCCCATTACAGTATTACACCATATTGTACGATACGCGGATATTTTTTTTACACGACATTCTACTACACCATATCATATGGTAGCACCATGGTAACTAATAGTGGTTTTAAACAATTATATAACATCCTACTACAATATACCATATAATATTATATTGACATGTTTTTTTAGTACATTATACATGTTTAAAAAGTTGGTAGGATCATATGTGTTTCATTACCAATTCAAACCGGTATGGTGACAACCGGTATAGTAGCAAGTCCACTCCATTTTTACTCATAGAGTGGTTTTAAGTATGTGATCTCTATAAAAATCTAGTTGTTGTAATGTTATATGCAAGAAGTTTGAAGGCGTGAAAGAATATTTACCTTAAAGTTGTAGCTTGACGATTCTTGAAACCCCATCCTTGTTATTGAACTTAAAAACCCTAGCATGATGATTGAACTTGCAACAGCAGTTTAAAGATTCGAGGATGCTTTCAACATGTAGAGTAATCGATCGATTTACCGTTTTGTCATAATTTTTTTTTATAAGATCTGGAGTTGTTCGAGAGAGTAGCGAAAATGGAGAGTGAATGAAGAAATATCGAGTGAGAATGCGAATGGTTTCTTTTTTTTTCTAGAGAAGAAGAGAGAAATATGACAAGATTCAACCCCTTCACCAAACATCCTTGGAATTCTTCCCCAACCCGAATTATACATAAAAAAAACTAAATTATTATTTTACGAGTAAAAAAAATTCAAACTTTTCAGAAGGTAGAATAGGAAAGTAATTTTTTAGGAAATAGAAAGATAGCCTGACGAAAATGAAGACTCATCATAGAAAAGAAAAAGAAAAAAAAAGGCTCATTGTGAAATAACATGGGATAAAAACCTTATGAACAGTAGCCGAGCTCCTATTTTATATATCCCCTAAATTTGACCACCGCTTTCCCCAAAACTCAATTTCTCCCTTCATTCCTTTCCCCATTTTCTCGACCCTGAGTTTATTTGGATTCCCCCTGTCTTCTCCTCCTCCTTCTCTTCGTCATTTCTCCAACATGACGAACATGGAGGATGCTGATATTGGGAGAGGTCCTCATCAACGCAGACAAGGCTGCAGATCAAACAAACAGTCGCTGATTCGTATCCATGGCGGTGGCGTCGTCAACCTTGGTGGCTTGGCTCTGTTCGGCGGAGCCCTGGCCGTCGGAGGCCTCGTCGCCACTTTTATTTTCAGGAAAATCAAGGACCCTGAGGATAACAAGAAAAGCACCCGCCTCGCCGGAGACCAACATGAACAACAGAAGAAGCAGAAAACGTCCGATAAAGCTTCCATTCATGATGAAACTCTGGTATTTGACAACTTTCCCATGAGAAACACCACCTGAAATTTCTTATAGCTGCCTGCCTGGCCTGATGTAACAGACTTTTTTGGGTTGGTTGTGTTTTCCTTTTTAGGAAGGAAATCAGGCTGCGGCTGTGGCCCATGAAACACCAGAAGAAATCAACATCACGCCCACCCATCGCAACGGCGATGATACGGAAGCATCTTCATCCGATGAATCCTCCTTGCCACCAGAGGATGATGTTGAAGCCACGATGGAGGCGGATGGAGGAGCGGAAGCCACAAAGCTGAATGCCGATAAAGAGATTTCGGCAGGGTACGATGAAGAGCTCGAGGAAGACGAAGGCGAAAACAGAGGAGAAGGAGAAGCTTTTGATCCAGAAATTGAGGCTTTTTTTGCGGGAGGAGCAATGACAATGCCTGCAGCCACGGAGTCCAATACAAAGGAGGAAGATGAATCTGTTGAAGACGAGCTGCCGTCAATCAAGAACGAGGATGGAGAAGGGGAAGAGGCAGCAACAGGTGGAGCTGGGATGAACACTCGGAAAACAGAGGACGGCGTCATGGAAGAAGTAGATGGCTACGTTGAGGATGACGATGTGGATGACATTGCGAGCGAGGAGGAAGATGAGAGCAACGAGGAGGAAACGGAGAAAGACGAGCTGGAGATGCTGGAAGAAGGATTGGAAACCTGGACGGATTCCGACTCCGAAGCAATCATATGGCCAGCTGAGACGCTGGAGTCTCTGGCAATGGCAGTGGAGGACCAGCTGACGCACCTGAAGAAAACAGCAACAGAGGGAATGAACAACGGATTGAACAACAGCAGCAGGGAAAGCGAAAGCGAAAGCGAAATCATCATCGAAGAAGAACAAGAAGACAACAAAGAAGAACAAGAAGACACCAAAGAAGAACAAGAAAACAACGACTACGAATACAACGACGCGGGCGAATTGCTGGAGAAACCGATGATGATGGTGAATGGCCAGATAGCTGAACTGATTAGCAGGAGGATCTGGATTTTCCCCATGATCATGCTGCTGCTAGTCATGGTTCTGTTCCTCCTGCTCACTCGCAGGAATCCATCGTCCTACTACCAATCAAATGCCATCTGATCTGAGTAAAAATCTTTGATCCGGTCTTCTAAGTTATGGTAGACAAAGTAGCAGCCATGTCTACTTGGCTGTGTATCGTCTTAAAAATGTATTCAAAGGAGTTTGAGAAAACGTCTCCTCCACCCCAGCCTTGAAGTTTTGCCTGTAATTTTCAGTTTCTACTCTTTATGTATTTTTTTTTTATGTACAAATAATTATAAAACAATGTGAATATATAAAACTTGCTACAAAGACTCTTCCTGACTTTATCACACAGTCAGTGTGGAAGGTCTTTTCAGTAATTTAAATAACAAGAGCTTTTCATTATTAAAACTGTCCATTTTTAGTTAATGCTTTGTTGAAAGCTACTATAGATTAGTAAGTCAGCTATGTACATGTGAAAGAGTACAACATGCGAGATATGTAAGCCAAGTCTCCAAATATAACTAACTATTCAATAGGATTCAAAAATTAAAATTTGTCATTAGTTTGTTACCTATTTATAAAAAGAAAATAGCTTACAATCACAAGTTACACAATATGTATATTGAACACCACTAATAGCTTTGTACGATTTTGAATAGTCATTACATAAATTCTAAACGAGGGCACACAAAATTGAAGCATAAAACATAAGAAATGAAATTGTTACCTTGTGCTCCGTTTGTGAATGAGTTGAGCTTCAAGCTGGTAGAGAGAATGAAGCAGAATCTGCAACAAAAAGCTTCAACCTGCTACTGCGTGGAGAGCTCAGCAACGAGACCCAGAAAAACAAGAAATCTTAAAAACCAAATGAAGTGCGTTCTGTGTTTTGTTGTATATATCCCATTCATCCAGTCCTGTCTTTACATGGTTGTGTATATTTGTTTTTGTCTTTTAAATGAAGACTCCTCTTCCTCTATGTACAAAAGAGCTGAGATTTCTTCCTTCCAGCAGACGGACTTGGCTCAGTAGGCTGCCGCTGTTTTATTCACTGCCTTGTCCAACGAATGCGTGATACATGATGACATCTGTGAAAGCTACCAAATCCAACGTACAACAAACGAACCACAACACAAACACTCTCTTCCTCCCGGATGCAAAACTTCTCTCACCAAGGTTCCAGCTTGGTTCAACTATGCTTTCGTCACTCACCCTGTAAATCGATTAGCTAGCATTCAAGATACTGGTGACTTTCCATTGAGATAGGCCATGTACAGCCTGTCGACCATCCCAAAACGCCCAGGATAAGATCTACACCTGAGCAAGCCTGAACCTGAAACAGGAAGGAAAGCACTCAGACCCACATTACAGAACAGAAACACACCAGGCCTCCTGGGCTGAGAGACGAGCGTTACCAAATTATCAAGGTTCGCTTCTATATGAAACAATAAAACTGCCATTCCACGCCCTCGGTCAATCTCAGCCTAGTCAACGAAAGCAGAAAAAGTCATGGTCACTTGCTGAGAAGGCTGTTTTATAACAACTTGAAAAGAGCAGCCATATTTTTAATTTCTTCATAAAATTCAATGCCTCACCACACAGGAGCATATGCTGATGTCCACAGCTGCTAGCGCAGATGTAATATCAGCCATCATCCCTGAAACCATGCTCATTAAGAATCAACCAAGATGTTGCATACCAAGAAACTAATCAGAAAATGATGTCATCAGGGTACCTTTTCTGTTTATGCAGACCACACATAACCACTGAATTGAGTGCCCTTCAAGATTGTGCCAGGAAGCAACCTTGCTTGCTTGCCAGTTCTCAAGTCCAGGCAAAACTTCCTTGTACGCTGGAATATTAGCTTGAATCAAACCAGCAACACCATTTCCCTGCGATAGCCCCTCAGCCGGTAAACTCGCATTTCGTAAATGCTTGTTATGTTTTCCATTAACCTTTGGGGACCAAATACTTCCATTGGTAACAGATGAGCCATCAGATCCTTGTCCACCAGATGACTTGTCAACAACACTTACAAAGATCTTCTCCCAAAAAGGCCTACTCTGCTTCGTTTTGTCAGAGAGATCATCTGCCTCACTCTCCTCTTCTGAGTCGGCAACAAAGTCATTCACACTATCTGCTGTTATTTCACTGGCAGATAGAGCAGCTTGTTCTCGCAAAAACTGAACACAACGAAGCGTTATCTACTAGAGCACAGCGCTAACTAACAATAAGAGAGCCCAGATTTGCTAGAATAAAACATACTTTCATTATTTTGTGCCTGGCACTGCGGGTCCTTGCATATTGTAACCATTGTTTATGCCTCTGAAAAGCTGATTTGCTAGAGAGAGCCTGCAGGGGATAGAATAACAGGTTAATCGAGTGGTTGTTAAGCTCTGCATCTAAACAGAACTCATGCACTTTAAGACCACACAGAAATAACCAATTTTAACAGTCGCATTAAGTTCAAAACTTTAAAAGGAAAAGGAATGAAAAGAGTCGAATCTGAACCTCTAGCTCAAAATAAATGACGAATAGATAAATGAACTATACAGATCTACTTTACATACTAAAATTTAGAAGAAATTGGGTATATGGACAACTTCATAGGTCCACAGAAAGATACTTACATTGTAGGTAATTATCTCCACAACTTCTGCATTAGCAAGGATGTGCATTGGAGTAACAAGATTGCCATTGACCTGACCAAAATAAATAATTAAAAGGAAGCAGAATTTAGAGTACCATCCTTCTTGTATTCAGCTCAATTAAGAAGGGTTATTCAGAGATAAACGAAAGGAATTATAGCATTTAGAATATACCTTTGCAGCCACCATCTTGTTGCCAACTTCAGTGTGTATCATGTACGCATAGTCAATGACAGTAGCCCCTTTCGGCAAATTTTTAATCTGCAAGAAATCAATGTGACTTTTCATTTCACGGGGAAGGATAAGATATTTAATAGGTGAAGTAAAATATACACTTGCCTCTCCCCTTGGTGTGAATACAAACACGCGACTACCTAACAAGTCTCTGGTAATTGTATCCACAAACTCTCTAGAGCTCATATTGCCAACAAACTCTTCTTGCCATTCTCTAATTGCATTTAGCCAACCAACCTGCAGGAAACAAATGACCCGGGGGGGGGGGGGGGGGGGGGGGGGGGGGGGGATTCAGAGGATATCAAGAAAGTTGCAGAAAATTTTATCAACAGCTTATCTAAATGTATCACGAGTAAAAGAAACCAAAATAATTTACCCTTAGTGCAATGTTTGCATTATTGAGACAGATAGTTTTGCCTCTTGAACTCCTACCACCAGGCTTGGCATGTCCAACTAGCCCAGTAATATTCCCTCTCCCACTGTAATGAGTAGCAATGCCTCTCTCGGCAATAAGGTTCATCTCTTCAGTCCTTATCTGCCACGGATATTATACTTATCAACATGGACACATAAAAAGCAAGCAAATGATCTACCAAATGTACATAAGCCATAGTTGACATTTCACAATACAGCTATCGGTATTTGTGCAAACACAGGCATCATAAAAACGAAAAATGATTTCTTGAATTAACAGCTGCGATAGAAAATTTTGAAAACAAAACCCAGCTGATATCTCCTTCACAAAAAGAAAAGTTGGCCTCAGCAGAAAAAGAGCACAGGGTAGCACCTGTACTTCCAGCCGGAACATGCTTTCATACAGAAATGGGATCACAGTTGTCTGTAAACTTTGATATCCATTAGGCTTAGGGGTAGCAATGTAGTCCTTCATCTGAAACAGACCATAAGAAACAATCTGTTAATAAGCTGTCTCTTTTTTGTCCGACATTCTTCCCAAATTTATTGATCTTGTAATATTTTTAGTTGGCAGAGAAAATTCAAAAATTACTCATTCTAATTTCAACACATACAGCACGAGGGATTGGAGTCCAGATCCCATGGACCAAGCCAAGCACATGGTAGCAAATCTGCATATCATAGGACCACATAGATCACATATTAGAGTAGACCTGGTAAGACTTGTCGAACAAGAGGGTTTTACTGAACTTAGAAAGTACCTGTTGAGGGCTGCACAAAGGCCTAACTCCACTTGATGGCTTTGGCCTTACAATGATCCGAAGCTGTCAAAGTGACAGAACATTAAAATCTTTCAGTAACCGTGGTATACAGAAGTTTCAAGATAACATTTCCTAAGGTTAATCAAGACATCCACCAACACAAACCTGCGCTATTTGATTGACTTCATTGATGGAGCCCTTGGATTTTAGCACTGCTTTGTAAATGCTGAGATCCCAAATGATAAAAAACTTGCATTCAGTAATTACAGCAATACAAGAATATCATACTGAAGAGTACTTCATAGTTTGGATCCCATTGCTCAGACTAGTTAATCGAAAAACCTTATAACCACTGAGACCAAAAAAGGACTAACAAATCAGAAAATCGGAATAACTAAGGAGATGTTTAATCATACACAAAGCAGAAAAACCAGTACTTGAAATAGAAATCAAAATAAGGTTCTCAAAGGAATGTCCAACAAAATTATGCATTAATCAACCACCTGTAAGGCTCCTTGCATGCTGAGCGAACTTCAGTGTGTACAGTCACCAGGTCTAGGAACTGGTCCTCTTCAATCTTCTTCTCCAAAATCTTGTTGGCCTTAGAGAAAACAAGAAAACTCAGTCCACAATAACCAAGTGATGCCAATAGTCATTAGTAAGGCATTACTTTAATTGCCCTTCACAACCATCAGTTTTGAGTCAGGAACAGTCTTCAAAGCACCAAGACAATACAATGAGCTCCTAAAGACAATATACCTCCAAAATTTCTTTCTCGTGTTCTTTACAGAGCTCTGCAACTCTCCTCTTGATTCTGGCATAATCTTCGGGATTTGTATACATGAATGACAAGTTTTCAAGCTCCGACTGCAACTTAAGTCAGGGCATAGTTAGCAACACCAACCTTATTGATCTTAGTTTAATCATTCCAAAGTAAGGGGTAAAAAGGAAAGGATCATGCATTTGTAGACTGTAAAATCCATAAAGAGTTCATGGAGTGAATGAGTATAAGTGAATACATTAAAATGGCTAACCAAGATGAGGAAACAATCACTTTAAAATTTGAGGAAACATTCACTTGGGCTGATAAGAAAGTTCAAAAGAGAAAATGATATGTCCCACACCAAATTCAAATGGATCTAATTTGAGGTAACAATCGAGCCCAGAGAAACTCTATAGAACTTGGACATTAGCATATTGTTCAATTTTTATAATTTCATGTATGGAATGGTTGCCCAGTTCAAGAAGAAAACAAAGTATATAACAGTTGATGCGAACTCTTGCAATGGTATGCTCAAGTTTATATATTGGAACAACCTGGAAAGTTTTATTATTTGGTGTACAAAGGTAAGTTCGAGAGCATTCGACTGAAACTAAGATTGAGAACTGTGGTTAAAAGAGAGGACACACCTTGATCTGATACATTCCTAATAACTTTGCAAGAGGAGCAAAAACCTGAAGCGTTTCTGTTGCAATGCTCGACTGCAAAGAAACATAAATGCTAAGAATAGAGCAATGCTCATAAACACGAAGAGCCTTACAAGAAGATTAACAAGATAACCTGTTTATGAGGTGGCATGTGCGAGAGAGTTCGCATGTTATGCAATCTGTCCGCTAACTTCACAATGATAACACGGACCTTAAAAGATACGAGCATAGTCAGGGAACAGCTCTAACCATTGAATTTGAAGTTATAATGAAGAAATGTACACTAATAGTCACCTCTTCAGTCATGGCAAGAAACATCTGTCGCAAGTCATCAGCCTTTACATCTTGCACAGAATTGTTCTCATTCTTACACTTCAGTTTTCCAAGTTTGGAGACCTGCAAGGTGGTTGGAATCAGGATTCCATTTATAAAAAGTTCAAAACTTAAAGAGTTTACATAGAATATATACAACAGGTACTCTTCTGGGATAAAGTCCAGTGCTGGTTTAATCCGCCCCTTGTTGATTCATTAACAATGTAATAAGTAAATGGTAACTTCAGAAAAGTTTCTATAATAAGTTCTATAATGTGTCATGTAACAGTTGACGATCAAAACAAAGATATAAAATTATATATCTAGGGAGTAGCTTATAATAAACAAATATACCAAACTAGCAAGAAATTATAAGGTAACTTAGAAGAAAATCATATAGCTGGAAGAAGGAAAGAAGATGAACTTTTGTGGGAGATCAGAATGAGAAAGACCTAAGGTTGTAATTAATATATTAAAATGGAACTCAGTGGCCCCATACAAATTTATGAATGAACCTGTTATATAATAGTCTAATCTTAAGTCTTCATAATTAAAGTTTTGTTCTAAATGCACACAATCAATATTTCAATTGGTTTTCGAGGTTAGACGATTAAAGCATATAAAAATCGTTTTCCATATAAAATAATCATTTTAATATCACCTCGGTCTTTTATTTACCTAAATTCTGGGTTCTAAATATACAATACAAGGAGCTAGTAGGAGAGAATAAATGTTTCAAGTCATTATACAATTTCTGCCATATGATAATTGAGCTGCCAAAGAACATAATATACCAATGTGTATAAAGCACCTTAGTCTCTCCTTCTACAATGTGGCGGACAACAGGCCCAAATTCTTTTTCTATTCTTTCAAAAGTTACAACATTTGTATCCTCGACGGTATCATGCAGCAATCCTGCAGCAATCGACTCCCAATCCAATCCCTACAGAAAATACTTGTACATGAGAGTCTTAGATTCAACTGAATTAAGAAGAGTATTAGTTTTAAGCATAAATTGGAACTCACAAGTTCGCCTAAAATCCGAGCAACTTCAACAGGATGAATGATGAAGGGCTCGCCACTGCGACGTTTCTGCCCATCATGAGCCTGAAAAGCAAGCTGTTCACAGAGAAAATCTATGTTTCAAAGTGCTGAAAGTGTATACGTTAGAAACTGATGGACTCAGGCTCTTCTAATCTGAAAACTCACCTTAAGAGCACAGTGGACCAAATCCAATTCTTGTGGTGAAAGGTATGATACAGTGGGCTTGAGATCCTACAGGAACCAAACCAATCATAATTTAATCCAACGAGCATGACAGCAAAAGCCTTCCCTTGTTTTCAAAGGGATGCTTGTAGTAGAGGCTCATCTTCAACTTTACCTCCCACAGACTTTCTGGAGAAATTTCTTCCGAGACGCTTGAGGAAGGACATGAAGAGCAGCATGATTCCCATCTTCTATCAAATTCATGAACCAATTTTGCTCGTAAGAGTCTCTTGTAAATGGGAGATTCACCAGATTCACTTGCACAAATTCTGTTCACTTTGAAGGCCTCGTGTTTCTGACACTAAAATTAAAGCAACAAGAAAATTACCCAAAGAATTTTTTAGGTGAAGCTTCAAACTTGTAATATATTAGAACATGATCATTGCATAAGGAAGATGACCGGTATCATGAATGCAAGCACTGTATTAAGTTTTGGGAAGACAGAAGCAATTCTAATTGTAATGTAATAAACATACAACAGCGAATAATAAGGATGCTAAGCAGAAGATAGAAGAGCTTCTCCAACTAAATCTTGTGATAGATAATTAATACAGAGAAGGAAGTCAGAACTCCACAAAGCCAACCGTCCTAACTAGTTCAATGACCATCAAGATTCACACTCTCTTAATTCTGTCAAGCTGAGGATAACATGGACATCAGACAGAGAAGGATTACACATGAATGTAAGAGACAAGATTTATAATTGGTAGTATTCAGAAGTAGACTTGTCCGGAGCATGTGAAGGGTACATCATAAGAGAATCTCTTTTATTGCAATCTAAATGTCAAGAATTTAACTACACATAGTCATAGTTTCTAGGAGTTGGCATCAGTCTCTATCAAATAAACATGACCACACAAAAATTCAGATTTCCTGAGCTGCTTAAACATACGACAACAATTCCTTATCAGTTTTCCTTTCAACTGCCAATCTAAGAAAATAATTCCGCACATGATTGAAGAATTCAACCAAAAGCAGGAATGAATTGTGGTCCATGGCAAGTGAATAACTTACAAATTTCAAGTGATTCCTTCTGCTCTGGGTGCAAATCAATGATGAGCAAACCGGAGGGTGCGCTGTGCTAGCAAGAAATCCAGTCAATACTCTTGGAGCTTTCCAGGCACAAGACAGCACGCTACAGTCATATCTAGCACTTGTATCTCCTTTAGGGAAATGACACAAGTTGACGCATTCCACCGATACTGCCGAATCGACAAAATCAAGACAAGAGACTAACTCAGCTTAGCTAATTTCAATCGCTAAGCAACTTGCACAAACGATGAAGAGCAAGGTACTCGTCACACTAAAATGGATAACAAAAACCAGTTCATTCACCAGCCACTAATTCATCCAATCATTCTATCCAAACAGGGCTTAGAACACACCAACGGAAACGGATTCCTTCGAATACTGATGAATCTCCTCAATGAACAGAGAGTTACCGGACATGGAAGAAGAGGAGGCCATTACTACGCAGGAGCATCGGAGCGGAGCAATCTCATTGGTAGATTACGGCAGGAGGCAAAATTAAGACACGCGCCAGAGGGACTCCAGCTACAGCGCCAGTTCAACAGCTCAGTGATTCGAGTTTCCCGCCGGAGATTCGAGGGTTTACGAAGGGAGGCGTTGATAGAGCGAGGGAAGATCACGAAGTTACAGAGACGAGGGAGAGATGAGGGAGAAGTGGAAGAGATAATCTAGAGAGAGAGAGAGAGAGAATAGTTGTTGATGGTTTAGTTGTTTGCTGCTCACAGCCCAGCGTTGGCCACACAAAATGAATGTCGTTTGATAAAACGAATTTTTCCCCCTATGCCTCCAGTCCTCTTCTTTTTTTTGCTTCTCTTGGGTTTTCCTCCTTGGTTTTCCTTTGCATTTAATGGGTGTGTTCTTTTTCGGTTGATTAGGAATTATGTCATCGAACCGATTTATATTTTTCTTATAAAAAAAAATGATTTATATTTTCGAATTGGTAAAGAGTGAACATTAGTTGGTTGAACCTACGGATAATTACAAATTCACCTACAGATCACAATTCAATATGGTGTGGGTGTAGTGGCGGAGGTAGGTTATATCGATGAGGAGTTATAGTCCCATCAACTTTAAAACATAGGTAAATCATTAATCTAGGATCCACCCAACTTTTTAACCTCAAAATCGTGAATCTCTAACTTATAACTTTACGTAAAATGAAACCCTCAAATCACAAAAAAAATTGTATAATTTGCAAAGTATAATTTGTTTCAAAGGCTGAAATGTATATAATATGTCCATTGCCTTCTACGATTTCTTGTTATTCGGAGTGTGATTTTGACTTAAGGACTTGGATGATCTATTCGACTTAGATGATCTATTCAGTTCAGTGAGGTTGGGTTCAAGTCATCACTTTTTAACTTGCTAATTATTAGACTTAGATTATATTTATTAATCGAATAATTTTGTGTCTGAACAAGTACCACTGTACCAGTGGTAATATTGTGATTTATATGATTTATGAATTAAGGTGTTTAATTTGGATATTTCTGTCTTAAAACAGTTTGAATTATGCGAAATCCCTCGAGCTCCGTAGCGCTGTGGCTCTGAAATCCTAACAGACTTTCTTACAGACATAGTGATAGCTTATATATTATCCAATAAGGATATCTCAGCTTCTTCTGCATTTTTTTTTCCTGGTAAAATATCTCAGCTTTTAACCACATACACGACTATCCAATGATATACACAAGATCAAGGATTAGGACACAAAATTTGAAGCCCCTCATGCTCCATTCATTCGCCGTCCAAATCCGTGCTGGTAGCATAGCATTCGTGTATCTCGACGAGATCTCTCTCACCTACAAACTTTACAGATCACATTCACGGGTCGAGTGAAGTTGCTCAGCGCTTGTATTTGAACTCGACTTGGACAACGTATCGCATCTTGATTTGATCCACGTTGTAGACTATGTACTCATTGTACATGAGAGAACCCTGCAACAACAAACAAGTAGCCAGATACAGATGGATCATTGAGCAGCTTATTCAGATCATCATATTTGTGTTAACATCTCAGCTGCAGAAGAGAATTATAGCGTCATAGTCATGTGCATTGTATACGTATATGTATGAGTGCGTGGTAACAATCTCTAGCACCTTTCGCCCTTCTTGCTTTTTCGGTTTTCCAAGGGGGACGACTACACCATCTTCGAGTGCCCTTGCTTCTGAGAGATCTGGCGCTGTTTCACCCACACCCTTCGTGCTGCAATGAGTACATACATACTTAACTTCATACATTGTTGTCGCAAGTAGACAAACTGCAACTTGATGGAGAACATTGAACAAGTTGGGTCTTACACAGGAATCAAAACTATCAACACATGGATCATCGCATTTCTACCTATGATGCAGATCAACACATGAAATATAACTTCTGAACTTTTTGTAGCAAACCAGGAACGATGTGATGCAGATCAAGAGGTAAATTTAGAGAACCAATGGGGTGCCTTGTTCAACCATGCCATGAGCAGTTCCACAATGTTTACTTTGATTATAAAAAAAAAAAAAAAGAGCTAAAATACAGCCATTTAGAAGTTTCAGAAAGGACAAATATCAAGGCATACCTTAGCTTTCCAGGAGGCAACTTATCAGCATCATACTTGGCATTTGAAAGCTCGACCATATCACCCAGTGCAACCTGATTATGTCATGGTTCAGGAATAATATACATGAACATCTCAACTGCAGCAGATAAGTCCATTACCTTCTGCTGCAATGCTTAACTTGAACTATGTAAATTGGAAACAACACACGTAAACATGCTCATCACAAATCCGTGACTCGTGCAACAAACTAGCATATAAATTATTAAAAAGGCTCCAAAAGTTATTCGGCAACGCCTCTTTTTCTTCCTTGTGGTCTACATCTGACCATATCCTTAAGGGTGTCTCTAGGAACAACTAGTTGTATTTACCTCACATAGAAGTAGGACACCAGATGAAGCTGCGCGACTTGCGTAGCAATAATTTGCGCTTTTGGAGAACATATCAGCAAAATAGACACCCTTGCCAAACATATAACCCGTTACAGGAGCTTCAGGAGGAGCAATACGCAAGCCTGCCGAAATCACAATTTCAGTTACACAGTTCACAGCTAGAGTACCTGCAACAACCCATCAAATGAGGCAACAGAAGAAAATCAATATGTACAACCTTGAGATAGGATGCCAGTCCAGTTCGTAAGGCGGGAACCATGCCACAATAGCATCCTGTTTTCCATGCTGGAGAACTGGTCAAAGGAATTAACAATGTGTTTTAACTACTGACTTGCTTAACAGCATTGAACAACTTGAAAATTATGCCAACAAAGAATAACCATGTCTAACCTTTCTGAAACGCTCTGCATCACCCTCTCGTGAGACCTTGAGTATCTGAACAATGTCAACTGTGTACTGCGAATGTGTTTTTGCATGAGTATTACTCATATAAGTTGCGACCTATCAATCGGAAAAAATATGTTAAGAGAAGTCCATGCGCTCTTCTATCAACAGAAATTGTAAAGCCAAGATGTCTTTCAGCATATTATATTCATGGTACGCAAGTTCAAGTTTCTGAGTAGTCTTGATGACTGCTCCAGACGGCAGAGGAGATAAAATCCAAGTAACTAGTCCAGTTTGCGGCATTTACCCAACCGACAAACAACAAGAAACAAAAATAAATAAATAAATGTCGAGTATTCATTCTATACTGCTCATCAAGAAAAGTACCAAAGAGAACTCCTTGGAATCAACTTCGATAGGTGTCAATTCACAGTGCAGACGCTGGTAGCAAGAATACAAGGGATCGTCCTGCAAGAGCAACAGCAACATATATTACCCATACAGTGTACCATACCCAAATGGCCATGTACTAAACCTGTAGTTGCAGAAGTTGAAAATATAAAGCCCTAAATGAAGCTATAACTAACGTGACAAGATGACTGAATGGCACTAAATTTCATATCAGGATTGTATGTGTAATGACTTGCTGTTCCATCTAAAGCTAATTAAAATGGAATTGTATATGGCATAAAACTTTCTTCCAGACATTTCCATAAAAAAATTGAACTTAGGACGAAGACCAGAACATGATACCTCCATCCCTGTTTGACCCTGCAACAACTTAGTTGCAACCTCAATTTCGCCCAATGCTTCAACCTTCAAAATGAATGACAACCATGTCAAGTTTCGAGTCATGGTAACAAAACAATAAATGTCCATATCCCAACAGACATTATCTAGAAGGCAATAAAAAAATGTTACAGCAAATTTAAGACTTAGCAGGAGTCAAGTCCAGCTAGAAACAATTACCATCTCCAGCTTCCGCTTTAACTTCTGAGGATTATCAATAACAAACTCACCTGCCATAATCATGTTGCCACATCAGAACACAATTTTAGAAGGAAAAAGGAAGGTGTAATTCACATCTTTATCTCGGAAGTTGTAAGTCTCCTATTGTTTGTGTTTATTTGTATGTGTGTGGAAGAGAGAGAGAGAGAGCTCACGCATTTTTTTGAATCCAAAATCATGAGGAATAACGGTGTAAAATTCCCTGAAAATTATTTTATGGATACTAACGTTAGCCAATGAATATTCTGTAGCTAAGAAGGAGAAAACAGGCAACAGGAAAGTAGATCCAGATGAGAAAAATTTGAAGACATTCTTACCCGCTTAATTGCTCCAGTGTAGACCTGTCAGCTGTAACAATTACGTCTGCAATTCTTTTTAAGACTTCATAGCCCTAGAAACACCAAAGCACTGTTAGGTGTCTGAGAAATGTGAAGAAAACTGCAAGGTCCGTACATTACCATTAAGTCATGAAATCACATCTAGAACTTTGGCACTTATACAATTTACAAGTAGTAATGCCACTGATAAAGACTTACCTAAATGAGTTATTTTGGGAGCAATATGCATTATGTTATTTCTGCTTTAGATCATACAACAGAACAATATACTAAAACTAAGGTGACCGGCTTTAGATATTTAAAACCATTCTTTCCCTAGGAAATCAGAAAATGTATTTTAAGGAACTGAACTGTCACTAAGACTAATACACATATTCTTTTACTTAAGAATAATACACATATTCTTTAAAATCTCATCCTAAGCAGGCGAAGCAAGTTCCTAATCGAACATAAAGAGATGTCCCACCGAGTAGCTCGTACTTATAAAAGTTATTTTTCCTTTAAATCATTAATATGGAACAGGATTCTGAAATAAATTCTTAAGTAAAAGAAAATGATAAATTTCCATTTTACTTTTCTGTTGTGAACAACCCAGAATTAAATTGGATTGATGCTTGCCAAATGAAATAACAGATATCCGTGAAGCACTAATGGCATACCTTCAATATTGTTGTCTTGCTTAGCTTACCAAGAGGCAATTTATTAGCATTGTATCCTGGAAAGTAACGAATAATAGGAGCAGGATTAAAAGGACAATTGCTGAAACACAAACCCGATAACATAGGCCCAGCACCAGTATAAAAGAATGCAAGATACGAAACAGATAATTTCCGGGAACGAAATAACATATTGCAAGGTAAAAGGAAATAACTATATAGACAACCTATTTCCATCATCTGCTGTGCCATCATGCTAGTGTTGCAGATGAGCGAGATAAACTTAGCAATGCGTAGGTCAAGCCGTGTTTCCTGAGGCTGTTTTCCAGCAGAAGTTGCCATAACCTACCAATAAATGTAGACTTAGAAGTTAGAAGCACGACACAATTGAAATTATCTAGAAGTTTGGTGTACTACACAAACTGGACAGACATCCTCATTGTCAAAGCATTTGAGGTCCTTTCAGGCTTAGATTCAGCGCTTGTCTCACAGAGAGGAACTTACTACTGCTTCTTTATCTTGTTTCCCGTAATCCATCTCCAGCCAGGTATAGCACTTCGGATGGCATTGGAAATCTTTTCGGTCAGACCAATAGTTATTCGTCTTGGCATAAAACTTCTGTTCAAACTCATCAATGGCAGACTCTCGTGAAGTGTAGGGCCCAAATACTTTATCTTGACCTTTAATCCCAACTCTGCCCCATCTATTATATACCATGTATCTTCCACCATCATCAGACTCTGCAAATAGGTTATACATTTCTTTAAATGAAACTGAGAAACAGCGTGGCATATGTAAAATGAGTCTGATGAACTCCATGTCCATATCTCCTAAATGTAACCAAGCAAATCCAAATCTTTTCGCACACCAGAAAAAAATCACGTTTCACTGCCATGTTCAACTCCCATAAAAGCTTGATGATGATCATCCCAATAAAGAAGTGAAATTGGCAGCATACCTAAGAGTTGAATGACGTAAAACTTGTTGTTGTTATTCCCAACATTTGTCTGATTCAATGTGGCATCATATACGTCATCACCCTACACATGACAACCAAACTAAATGAAGGGTTACCAGCTGAGTTCTCAGCCAATGGACCAAAGAAGTGATCAAACCCATCGATACTATCATCTGTTAGTAATTCAGTGCGGAATAAGATCAGTTTGTCGAGTTGAAGCATCCCTGAGAACTGAGAAACTTACCAATTGGAGAACGTGAAAGTGTGACTTGATCTGATCCGGGAGATACTCATCGAGTACGGCAGCCCCTTTCTTAGTTGCAGTCACAATTTTCTCCTGGCCAATCACTTCTTCTCTACCTGGCATATGGCAGACTAGAATCAACTAGCTGAAACTGAGTTCCAGGTTTCAGAAACCGAGTTCTAACGGTCATTCAACCAAACGATTCTAGCAAAAACAATGAGATCATTTGATACGACCTTCAAGAGCATCCACAGGATCGCTCCCGTCTGCTAAACCTTCCGAAAGCCTCTCCAGAAGTTCTTTCTTAGTACCCTCCGTGGACAAGCCACGGAGCTTCGCTTCATCGCGCAATTGCTTGACATTCATCTGCCGGAACTTCTCGATGGCTTGGATTTTCGCAGGTCCATCACAATCCTCGTCGCCGGATACCCTCGTTCGTTTTCCTTCACTGCGAACTGCGGCCGAATTCCCTGATTGCTGGCTCTCTTGTTCCAAGGCTGATTCAAGCCTCCGCGCCTGTCAAAAGAAACTCGCCATTTTCACCAAAGTCTGGTGGCAGGAAGAAACAAAAAAAAAAAAGGAGTTGTAAGAATGAGGTTTGCCAGCAAGGGTTTCGTGCCGGCGGGACTGAGCCCGCGCTTGAGGAGTTCGGCCCGAAGCTCGTCGACTTTAAGCTTGTTCGCCATGACCGCGTTCGAGTTGGAAATCAGTGGGAGTGAGTGAGTGAGGTGGGATGAGTTCTTGGAGAATTGAATTTGGCCTTGTGCTGCGGAGGTGGAGAGATTTTAAAAGTGGGAACTCCAGGACTGTTGCGCGAGCGGGAGGCCGCCGTTTCGAGCAAGTAACTTGGAACGTCCAGAGGAAGTTTTTTTTTTTTTTTTTTTGTGAAAAACGTCCTGAGGAAGCTTTGAGACACACAACGAGACCTCCACGGCTCCACGTACGCTGGAAGTTTGGCAAAGTATCGGGATATAGCGAATATTATATCAATTTATTATTATTTGATAATACGGATTGAATTTTTTTTTATGAATTGAAATTGATTTTCGCATGTTATTCCGTATTTGAACCATGGTCCATGAAACCGTACCGGAGACCGTATCGGGAAAGTCAGCGGTAGGGTATTTTATGGTAAAACTGTGGTTTAACCGTAGTTCAACTGTTATACCGGTAAATGTCGCATATCGGTTTAGCCTCCGATACTGGTATTTCGTGGTTGAACCGCCGGTACGGTACGGTTATGAGTTTGAGAGGGGTGTTATTCGGGATTTAAGAATTGATATTGATGGGCTTTTTTTTGTGGGGTTTTGTAGCTTAAAAGAAGAAATGATTTAGTAACGAAAAACAATCACATTGCAACAGACACATTTTAACGGTTATAAAAAATGGTCACATTTTAGCAGTCATATAAGGTTGATAATGTTGTTGAAAAATGTCCATCGTGGTGCTCACTCATACGAACATATTCATCAAGTCGATCAGCGAAAGTATCATATGATAGCATGCACATCGCATCAGTGAGCTTATGCTCTGATGATAGTGATACTTGACCAAGGGCATCTGGCATCACCATGTGCACAAATGAGGGGGCAAACCTCACAATGTTGCCCATGATGCGGTGGAATAACCTCTATTGCATCTTATAGCCTTTCTGAATATGCGAGTATTGTATACTCGATTTGGGTCGAAGTAAACCCTCATAAGACATTGGTTACATTCGACTATTTCACAATCAATATGAATACAAGCTAATGTTAGACGTCGTCTTGATAAACCTTCTGCTAGCCTCCGACCGATTAAATTCCAACGTAGGTGGTGAAACATTTCTTACTTTTCAATTTCATCGTCTCAGAGACGATGAGCTATGAGAAACTCATGATGAATGTGTTTGTATTAGAAATGGGGAGAAGTTTCATACGAGTGTAATGAGATGATGGCTGATGACAAATTGTCATTTAGAAAGCCATATGCTACACAAAATGACAAAAGATGATCATAAAGTAAGGTCCACAAAAAAACTATCATAAAATTTTGTTCCAAAGTAACTGTACTAAATTAAGCGAACAATTTTCGAGGGAAATTTTGTCTCGAAATTTATAAAAGTAACATAAAAAAGTTTGTTTTAAAAAATAGTAACAAACTATAAAAAAGGCAAATCTTTGTTCACATGGAACTGTGGGATGACAGTGATGGTTTGAGCCCAAAATAAAGAAAGGCTTACAAAACAAAATTTCTTAAAGGGGTTATTGAAATTTGGTCACATGGAAGGAAGTTTAGAATGGTTAAAGAATTTTCTCATTTCAACTTAATATATTGTGTAGATGGAGATCTTTCAACAACACAATGGATCTAATTGAAAAGAGTCTAATAGAAAGAAACACTTGCATAGTTGCATTCAAAGCTTCAGAGTGTTAAAGAAATTAACGAACAAGACAAACAACGACAAGAGATGAATGGTGGGAGGGAGAGACGCAAAAAAAAGTCGGATGAGGGTTTTCTTATTTATATAGCTCTTAGTACAACAATGCTCTATTTACAGGCACACTTCAATAACTCCAACAATTTTTACCATCAATATACATTAATGTAAGATAAGAATCCGAGAAAGATAAATTCAAATATAGGTTGAATGGTTACTAGTAAAATCCAATTGTGCATCTAACTTTATTTTATAAACATTGTGCATCTAACTTGATCATCGACAATCAATATTTTGATAAGAAATAGGTAACTATGGCCTTTGGAAATGATCGGGATTCATTCCCATCAATCCGGAAACTGAAAATGCTTTGTTACCTGTATGATATAAATGAAAGCACTCAGTCTAATGACAAAAAAAAAAGGGACAGCACTCAGTCTTTAGAGCTCCTCAAATCCTTCTTCATCAGCTCCCTCCTCAACCCTTTGAAACTCTCTTCTCCAAGTTTCCATCTGGGAAACCAACAAGTGTTGAAAAGATGGTAAGAATAAGAAAGAGATTACATAAATGAACAACCATCTTTAAAAATAAAAATAAAAAATCCATGGCCAGCAGATGCATTCCCGAAGCATATGTTCGAAGGGAAGAGTATGTAAATATTAAAAGTCCTCAAACATTTAACTGCGACAGGTAAACCAAAGCATCACTGGGCTTCCACACCTGATCATCAGAAAACCTCAACTGTTCTGCAACGAACAGAATGTTGCTGTGGCTTTCTGGAGCTATTTCTTTGCCCAAACTATTAGCAACTTCATCATAGCTAATCGTGTCTACTTTGAAGCCATTACCCATGAAAAGCTTGTTAATCCACTTCTCTGCACTGGGCTGCACAAGGGGAATATTTCGTACTAGTAAGTACAAGCAAGCATAAGTTTAAAAGCTTAAACAATAGATGAAATTAAACAAAGGGGAAAAGTTTGGCCAAATGATAAGACACGCACCTGGGAACCGATATCTGTTTCTGCCAACCATGCTGGCAGTTCACCAAGGAACAAAGTACCCTTCGTGGCCAGACAACTGATGGTGAACAAGATTTGTTCAAAGCTAGCCAGAGTCGTAATTGGAATTCCCTGCATTATATGTGAAAACATTTCACCCTCGTTTAAGTACACGAAAACTTATGGTGAACTATATTTAGCCACTCAAATCACCTGCAAGGCCCATATACTGTGCGTGTTTGCTTTGAAGCCCCTAGCACGCAGGGCCTTTTCGAAATCAGGGGACTCCATCGGTACATGAACATGCAAGCACCTTCTTGAAGTTTTAGCTCCAACACCTAAATGTCTTCAAACGATACCATCAAGATAGGCGTTTTATATATAAATCAAAGTGGTAGCATAAATGAGAGGAAGTCAAATTGTGTTTGTCTTTGCATGATTCAAACTTGTGGATGGGACCTAAAATCTATCTAATAACAATCTGCCGCGACTGGATCCCACTACTAGTATGAGAATAAAAATGTTTGACATGCTAAGACTTGAGAATTTCAAATGATCAATCTCATATCATCACAAGGATAAGGATTACAATGAAAAAGAATCATAAAATATTGGAATCGTTAAAGTCTGGCACACCTCGGAGCTTGTGGGATGATATGTTAGATACCCTTTCCGGGGATATGTCAAATATCATAGTGGAAGAAGGCCAGTTTAGCCTGTAAGGTCGAGTGCACATTCCATCTGTTAATAGAACAACCTGCAGGAAGTAAAAACGTAAGTACCCTTTACAGCTGTGAAGTTAATTAGAAGCAAAATTGATACCTGTTTAAGTCCATCGATACTATGCACATTTTGGAGCAACTTATCATCAATGAATTTGGCAGCAACACAATAAGGATGTGGGTGCTTCTTCAAAACCATATGCATGTCAGGGTCAACAAAGCAACCAGCAAATGGATCAACCAGTAAAGGCTCTGCATATGCAATCAGCAGTACCACACTTAGATGAAGCCTTCCCGGTTAAAGGATTGAATGCAGCTAAAGGACCATATATAGCACAAACCTAACAGAGATTAAATAAAGTAGTTAACTTTTGCATAGGAAAACAATTAATTCAGTGAGAAGGAGCAAGTGAAAAGTGATTTGTGTATTCCCCCATGCGAAGGTGATGTGATAAACTTTGCGTCATACTGGATGCCAATGGCTTAACAAACAATCCAGCCCAAACAATCTCCTAACCTTACTGCGAGTGCTAAAACTCAGAATACATTGTACATAAAACGTGCACTCTATCCGGAACAAAGCAAGAACAACATCAAACCGAACTTTGGTAGATGGTTTCCCCAACTCTCGCATAAACTCGAATTACTTCTCAGCTGATCGATGAAATGCCTGAAAGGAATTTAACTGAAATGAAGAGATGAGGAATTTACCTGCTCTACTAGTCTCCTGAAAACGAAGCGAAGCTGCATTGACGGCGGATTCAAACCACGGGTCATTCTCGGAACTGAGTTTGGCTCTCAACTCGCGGCAGCGATGCCGTTTCTGCTTGGGAGCAGAAAATGGCGCCATGGAAGCGGGACTTGAGAGAACGGAGGCCAACAGACACTCCATGTATGAAAAGGCTGCTATCGGAAATCAAATCCCTGCCTGCCGACTGAGCTGCCTATAGAGATTAGGTAGCAATCAATCGCGCCAACCAACCATTCATCATCGTTGTTGGTGCTGTGAAGGTGAAGTCCTCTTCTTCCCGCCGTTCGTCATTCTACCCGCTGGCGCTGGAGTCCGAAACCCGTTAAGATTTTTGGTTTTGAGCTGAAGGGGTAGAACTGTAGAAGAACCATGCTCGACTCATATTGTCCTTTTAAATATTTATCATTTGGTTTAGCCCAGTCGAGCAAGTGGATTGAAGATTAATAATATGACTTGTTTAGCTCGCTTTAGTCTGAAAAATTCATTATATTGTTTATACATTCATAAATTAATATCAAATCTCGTCTAATATATGAGCAGTAACATATAAAAATTACACCTAATGTAGTCAAAATCGCGCTTTAAAACTCAAAAACTGGTGATTTTACGTTTCTAGGTCACAAAAACGCTTCTACCCAAAATCTAAGTTTTTATAACTTACGTAGTTAAAAACTGCGCTTTAAAACTTAAAAACTTACGATTTTATGCTTCTGGATCACCAAAACGTTTCTACTTCGAAACTCGCTTTTGACTACATTATTTACACCAAAATAATATGTTGTACTTGGATTCAACATATAGTGAAAATTCACACACAATTATACAATATCAATATTCAAATGTTCAACTTAGAATTCTAAAAATATAGTTAGGCGAAGAGGAAAATCAAAAAGTAGAGGCATTTCACAAACCAAATGGAAAAATGATACCGTGTGACCTTTAACCAGGCAAAGCAATGGGTCCACTAGACGGGTGTGTGCGGCTCACTTTTTTCAAGGGGTCAGGGTTTAAATGGTCAATCGGTGGGTCAACCCGCGGGTTGACGACCTCTATTTAATCTCTGAATCATTGTTGCGGGCAGAACCAAAACAGATACTGGTTACAAACTACCTAGAACCGCTCTGGTATAACCAACATGATTGATTTTCGATATTTAAATAAAATTAGGTGAATTTAATTAACAAAAAAATTAATTTGTTTCTCGAATTTGAGAGTTAAATGTTGATGTTATTTGTTGGATTAAGTATGAATGTTTAGATATTTATGTTATTTGTTGGATGTTCACATTAAATGTTGTATTTAAATATGAGCATTTTTCATTTTACTTTGAATGTTGTATTTTACTTAAATATGGATATAGATTTTAGAGAGATTATCTTCAAATATGTTATATATGTGCCTAAATTCATTTATTGTTAAGCTTGCTGGACCAGCGATCGGGTAAAGGGAAATATGCCCATTAATCACTTTGCCCCAGAAGCGCATGACAACAGACAGAGCAATCATCCAAATGAGTACAAAAGAGTGCAAACTTGCATCATGCGCCTGGAATTCCTAAGGAGGCTAACAGATGGTTGAGGCACATAGTCGTTCGAAAAGTATGAAGCATTAATCACGGTGGTAAGATACGACAGATGAAGGGGAAACTTGCCAGAAACACTTCGAGTGTGAATATGGACAGATAATAGAATTTAACAGGGTTATACTCTCTTTAGAAAGATCTCTGACTTGATCGTTGGATACCTAACAGGCTCAAAAAGCCTCATGCGTCTCTTTGTGTAGGCTTGTGTGCCCCCAAAGTTCCTCGTGGTTCTAGAGCCAAAGAAAGGAAGCTGGAATCGGAGTTTAGTGTTAAAAATCCGTTAAATGTTGTATTCATATAGGAAAAATTGTAAGTTTGGTCACTGCTAAATTTTTTCACATTTGCCTCTAATTTTTTTTATTCCATTCGTGGTTAGTTTACTTTAATAGTTCAAGTTTGGTCGCTGGTTATTACATTATGTCAGACTTTGTTAGCAACGTATTTTTTTTTTGCTGACATGGCTAGCCGAAATCAAAATGTCTAGTCACCCAGTTAAAAAAAATAAATAAATCGGCCCGTCACATCATAAGAACCCACCATGTCATTTTGTTTAGAGGCCGAAAATCAATCATGTCGGTCGTACTTGTGATAGTCCACCCAATTTTATTATCGGTACTAGTTATACCATATTCAACCGAGCGGCATTCCACCGGTGTGAGTGACGAGCATGACCAAGGTTGTCAAACCGGATTAAACTATCAAGGCGATTTGATAAGTGATTTGAAGTTTAATGATAAGATCGGGTTCAACCATTTCAAGTTGGTTTTAACATAAAGTCAAATAAATTATGCATATATTTGACATATTTCAAAACAAACTCACTAATATGCATTCATATATTGCCAAATTATAATATGTATTATAAATTTATCAATTCTCATCTCCAAATCTAGTTTTGACTGGTTATACCGTCATGATTTGTCTAATCCGATTTTGATTGTTCCCATAACCCTACAATCAGAATGTACTCTGACTGTTAAATTGTCTAGTTCTTGTTCAACCTGATTCAACCGGCCGACCGGATATTGGTTTGACAACCTTGAGCATGACGCCAGCTCTACCAAACATATCTCCAAAACACCCCGCATCAACCCAAACCCCTAATGGCCATGGGGTTGGTGGTAGTCGTTGTGGACAAGCGGGGTAGACCAACAGAAATGAAAAATCCACACCACTGGTTCATTAGCCGAAGGGGAGGGAGGTCCAAGTCCAACACTCCATATTTTTGTCTAACCTTTCCTTCCTTGGCTCGTATCGTAGACTCTTTAGTCATCGTCTCAATATCATCAGCTACTCCAGCTTATCCTCGACCTCACCAACCAGCTCCAATGGATCCCAATCGCCAAATCCTCCAAGATCCAGTCCCCAAGTCTTCTCCCCCAGAAGAAGAACACCCAAATGAGCTCGCCATTGCTCATCAGTCACAGTGCTCTTCCACCTCCCACTCCGCCGCCGCAGCAGCATCGCCATTCGCCGCCGCGTCTCTCTCCATCTCACTCTCCACAATCCTCCCGACCCACTTCTTCACCCCGACCAGAATTCAGACGCTCTTCGCCGCTGCTTCTCCTAGCAAGGTCAAAATCCCAACCCAGGCCGCTTCCCTTTCCCACCTCTCCATTTCCTCTTCCTCCCCGGCGGCCGCAGCTGGGCTCTCCTTCAAATCCACCATCTCCGCCAACCCTCTCCACAGCACGCTCTCCCTGGGGCCCCGCCGCCCTTCCGACCCTTCCAATTCCGCCGCACTCCGCCGCGCTGCCGTCGTCTGGTTCCGCAACGACCTCCGCGTCCACGACAACGAGTCCCTCAACTCCGCACACAATGAATCCCTCTCCATCTTGCCCGTCTACTGTTTCGACCCACGTGAGTACGGGAAATCCTCATCTGGGTTCGATAAGACGGGGCCGTACCGAGCCACTTTCGTGATCGAATCGGTTTCCGACCTCAGGAAGAACCTCCGGGCCAGAGGGTCGGATCTCGTCGTGCGGGTTGGGCGGCCGGAGACTGTGTTGGCCGAATTGGCCAAAGCTGTCGGAGCCGATGCTGTGTACGCGCATAGAGAGGTGTCTCATGATGAAGTTAAGGCGGAGGACAAGATTGAAGCTGCGATGAAGGAGGAAGGATTGGAGGTGAAGTACTTCTGGGGAAGTACTCTGTACCATTTGGATGATTTGCCCTTCAAGCTGGAGGAGATGCCTTCTAATTATGGCGGGTTTAGGGAGAAAGTTCAGGGGTTGGATGTGAGGAAGACGATTGCTGCGTTGGATCAACTCAAGGGTATTCCATCCTCTGGAGATGTGGAGCCTGGGGAGATCCCCACATTGTTGGATTTGGGTCTCAGCAGCCCCACTCAGGTTTGAGTGTTCCTTTTTGTTCTACTTATATGGTTTTCCTGTTGTACGATTCCCTCTAGTTATCCATTAGTTTGAGATGGTGGTGTTCTGTCTTCTGCTGTGGTGCCAAATTCTGTTGGTATGAGTTGGATGATACGAAAAAGTGAAGCCAATTGCCATTTTTACATACTAGAAGATGTGTCTCTGAAATTCAATGTTGAAGTCCTGTGAAACCCACTTGTCTTGACCTAAATGTTTAGACATCCACAGTTAAAATCCGATGGGAATTTGATTTCTGTCTTATGCATAGAGATTGAAGTCTTTTTAGTTTTTAGCTATCTGATTACTAAATACTAGCATCAAGTCAAGTCCTGTTGTTCTGGATGGATATACCTCTTTTTTCGCTGCGCACATGGAAAGGAAGTCTTATTCGCTGGTTGAACTCGAAGTCTATGTGTTGATCAGACGCCAATCTGTAAAACCTTTAATCAATCTCAATGCAGGATGGAAAGCCAGCAGCATATGCTTCTATGGTGGGAGGGGAGACTGAAGCACTGCAAAGGCTGCAGAAATTTGCAGTGGAGTGTCGAGCACAACCACCCAAGGGAACCAATGGCAACCACAACAGCATATACGGTGCAAACTTTTCATGCAAAATATCTCCATGGTTAACCATGGGATGCATCTCTCCTCGTTCCATGTTTGATGAGCTCAAGAAAACTGGTAGCAGGTGCGATCGTCGAAAGTCTTCCGTTTTCTCTCTCATCGTTCCATAACTTCTGCAAGATTTCAGTTTCTTCACTTGCTAATGGTATAAAATAATGAACTTGATAGAATGATATCTGCCTCGAGCAAAAAAGATGATGGAAGTGGCAACCCATCAGGAGACACTGGAATGAACTGGTTGATGTTTGAGTTGCTGTGGAGGGATTTCTTCAGGTAACTTGTTAGCATTTAGGATACACATTATTGTTTTCCTTTTTGGATCATTCTATAAGAATTTATAAACTGACCCCTTGTTGATTGTATTCTGTTTTCTTTATTACCCTGTAAAGATTCATAACGAAGAAGTACAGCGCAACAAAGAAGCAGATTGATGGAGCTCCTGTCACGGCTTGTTCAGGTGCTGCTGTTGCATAGGAAGAAAAATTCATGGATTTGATTCCTCTGCATATGTTTCAGCTAATCAATGGACGGAGTTTCGATTATGGTTTTCAAATGAGTTGACGTATCTCTGTTATTTTGTTCTCTGGCAAATAAAAATCATGGAGTGGTTTATAATGTGTTCTTTCATTCTTATTTGAAGTTATGCTGCGTATCTATTTTTGTGGTAGAGAAAAGGGAAAACAATGAAACAGGAAGGTTATCTGACTTATCTCATAAAATTTCTCTACATATTATGCTTCTGTTGTTGCTGGGAGAAGAAATATAATTGAATAGGTGACACTCAAGCTACAGACAGACAAACAATGATCCTGCTTCTAAGATTTCAAATGACGCCACAAATTCTGAGGGAAGAGAGCACAACAAAAACAACCCAAAGCAGCATAAAGTAGCCGCTAGTAAGCCATGCCCAAATCCTCGGTCCACCAAGCTCCGCCCCTAAGGTCAACCTCCTGAACACCAGAACCCCAATGCAACCTACTGACGTGCAGAAGAAAACCAGCAACGAGAAGCTCAGTCCTTCCGCATTCTCTATCCGCAATGGTTCCTTGTACACCAAGAAATTGTAGGCTGTATCGATCAGCCATGGAACTCCAATCCCGACGTATATGTTCACAGAATTGCTGCAGTTTTATATATCATTGGATCAGTGTCAAAGAAAGAGACGGAAAACTCAAGTAGGCACACTAATTAAGCAGCAAAAGAGAAATGCTGAGGACTCATCGACAAACCTGCAAGTGATGTTTGCTATGGCAGAATCTGCAGTTAGTTGACGTTCAGCAGCTATCTTACTTGCTACTAGATCCGGCCATGAAGTTCCACTTGCCAGCGCCGTCAATGCAATGACATATGGGTTTATTCCTGAAAAGGCATGATTTGCAGGCCAAGTTGAATGATGATATATATAAAGTCACTGGACAAACTCTCCAAAAACTAATATATTGATTTCCAAAATCCAGGGAAACTTGCTACCAAACAAGAAAATAGGCCAGGGAAACTGATAGAAACATGAGAATGTTCCTCTTATCTGACCTGTGACACAGCTTATGAGATCAGTGAGCCTCGTAACAACATAAGCTATCCCACTGATAAATGCTAAAGAGCATAAGAAGGCTATCCACCCATGAGCAATTTGGTAAGGAGGCACGAGAGCAAACACAAGTCTCCATGGTGTGAGAAGCAACTGCCAAGAGATTCTTGCCCCCCTTATGATTATGTTCTCCAGTTTTCTTGATTCTGGCCTTTCCAACTGTAGAGGAAAGAATGTTGGATATTATTAGTTCCCATCACAACAATACTGCAGATGAGAGAAAAGATGAAATATGAGCCTACCACAATTGCATCCAGAAATTGCTGTTTCCAAGTAGCAAGGAACCAAGAATCCGTCTCCTCACTAGAAGGTTCATTTGAGCACCCGACAGCAATGTCAGAGCTTGACAAATTGCGGTAGTCTGAGTCTGCACAGGAAAGCTGTTAGAAGGAGGAAGCCCAAAACAATACCCAGCAATGATCGCTTTTCTTTATTATCATTATAAGCGAAAGCGAAAACTAGCTGTGAGGGAGCACCTAGCTCGCTGTTTGAATGAATGGAGAAGATGTCAACAACGTTTCCACTCCCTTCTGGGTCGGGGAGTATTTCAGGGTACTGTTGGCCGTAGACATTATTGTTGTCCTTGTTACTACACAAAGGGGTTTCTTCTGGCACCCATTCTTCTGGCCTCTCGCCTCTCGCCCTAGAAATGAAAAACAGTTCCAAGAAGAAATGAGATCCTTGCATAATGTGGGAGATGCGACCAGTGTCATTAGAAGGTATGAGGATTCTCATAAAAATAGAAGGAAAAGCAAGGTACGAGAGATACATACATCGGAAGCGATAGGTAAGGCCAACGCTTGTCCTGGGCATAAGCGTGTGCCAGAAGCAACCCATATTGAAGTACCGTTAGCAAGGCCTCCCACAGAGTAATTACACTTGGACTCCATATCTGCAAACAAATCCAAGTCATTTAACTTCAAACATAATACTCAGAAAGCACAGTGACCGCACGAACTGAATGCCAAGACCGTCACAGCTCAACTATAAGACAAAGCACTCAAATGCAATGCAGGTAGAGAAGATCGATCATGGAATACGAAAAGCTTAAGTGTGCTGATGCACAGAGATTCACAGGCATTGTCAGGGAGAAAAGCAAAATGCAGATGGTGAATTCTTAATCTACTATTACAGTCAATTGTTTATACTCTGCACAAGACAAAGCATCATAGGAACTTGCCTCCAAAATTATGTAGAGCCATATATAAGCCCAGAAAGACCAGAAGAGCTCGACCAACCAAACACCTAAATCTGATATTTTTTTCAATTCTCCAGCTTTTGGAACGACGACACAGACGGCATGAATTGGGAAAAGATCGAAAGCAGCAGAACCAACAAGTGTTCCAGGACCCAGCCCTGCAGACAAATGAAGTTGAGAATACAGCCAACTCGGAAAAAGCCAAACAACGAGCCAGCAGATTTTCAGTAATAGTCAAGAAACAAAACCCTGCACATTAGCAGGCAGGCAACGGGGAAGATAAAACCTAAACAGCTCAAGAACATGGCACAATCATTCATGGCAAAGAGGATGCAAACTCAAGGTGACGAACCTCCAGCATAACGGTTCCCAATGTTCCGAATGGCGTCAATGGTAGCCAGTGATATCTGCGGGAAGCTTGTGCCGAATGCGAGAAGAGATATATCAGCGATGGTGTAGTTCCAAACCTTGTCACGGCGGACAACTTCAGCTTTGGTATGAGGGTCAATCTCCACCACCTCACGAGAATGCTTCACAACATTCTCCATGGAGCGGAAGAAGCGAGCAGTGATGGCTGATAACCCAACGAAGCAATACGCAAGACCCAAGCAGTAGAGGAAAGTTCTGAGCCAGCTGCTGAGGCTGATTTCCCCATGAAACAGCAAGTAAGCCTCGCATTTCTCCATCCCCAACCCAAGGATGATGTTCTTCGGCTACAATGAGCTAGCTGGTAAATCTTTCCAAGTTCCCCACGCGGCTTCGGACCCAACAATCAAACATCAGTTAACCCATCTTTACCTGCTAAGAGATTCATAAAACTCTAGTGTCACGGGAAGAAGGGGAAAAGTTCTTCGATAAGACTCGTACCCGTACGTAATCACGACTCGTGATTGAAAACCTAAAACGAGCGAAAATCGTTAACCACATTAAAATAAATACGAAGCAGGAAAAAATAAAACGAGCAGCCATTAATGGGCACTGATCACCAGATCCGTATCCAATTTCGGGAAGAAAACCACCAGGGGAAGGGCGAAAGAAGAAACTAACCAAACAGGAGGTCAGGAGGTGAATCGAGGGAATGCGGTGGAGATTGGCGAGAGAAGGAGAGGAGTTTTGTGGGGGGAGCATTGGCCAGAGAAGAGGGGATTGGGTTTGGTTTGAAGTGGACCAAGGTTGTCAAACCGGTTTATACCGTTGTGCCGGTTTGGCAAGCGGAATGGTACGACCGGTGGTATAACCAGTTTGTGCCGGTTCATGCCGGTCTAAAAAAATGTGAAAACAATTAATATCCAATGTATTTAATCATATATAAAACATTTTTGTGGACAATTTAGTTACAATCCAACAAATATCATCAACTTTTAACTATTACATTCATAAAATGAATAATAAATTATTATTTTTATTCACTAAATTCATTAAAATGATGTCATTTTATTTAGAATGCGTAAGTCGATCATACCGGTCATACCGGTGGTGTCATGCCGGTTTCATGACCGGCACAGGTTGAACCAGGTTCAACCGGGTGGCATGCCACCGATATGACAACCATGAAGTGGACAGAGAACGAACTCGAACAGAGCGGGGAACGGTGGAGGAGGACGACATTGCTTGTTTGTTTTTTTGTATACTTTGGGGAGTGTTGGGCTATTATTATTAGGGAGGGAAAACATCTTTGTCAAACCGGTTTAAATTGTTAAGAGGGTTAAACAAATGGTTTGAGCTTTATTGGTCTAATAGAGCTTAGTCGGCTTAAAATTTAAACTGTTCTATACATAATTTAGAGTTATATAACCAGTTTGTGGAGTGGAAGCGACAACATCGGAGCGTCTATTTTGGAATAATTTGAACTTGAGAACACGAAAAAAGTGTTACTATTATATTGTTATTTATATCGGAGACTTGATAATGGTCGAAAATTTTAAAAATAAAAATCCAATGAGTAAGAAATAACCAAACGTCAATCCTCAAAAGTTTCCTACAATCGACTAATAGTCTAATACATGTGTGATGTGTGTAGTGTGTAATCAACTAATTAGGCTACCTGTGTCTAATGGAAATTAATCCAACATAGACATCAGTCATGACGAAATGTACACCAACTACCCCATAATTGATTAACATTAATTTATGAGTCAGTTTTTTTGTTTTGTTTTGGTGATACTTAAATCGATGCATTGGGATCAATGCATGCATTGTAATATACATGATGCAATTAAGAAAAATGAAGCAATGTAGCTTATCTTGTTTGATTTTGGTGATAGTTATTTTATCATTCAAAAAGTTATACTCATTTGTTGCGTGAAATATCACTTTTGCCCTTTTTTTATGGGTTATCACTAAGAGCAAAATTGATGCAATAGTTTGTAGTCAGTTTGGTGTACACTAGTACAAAATTAGGTCACCTAATTCGCGGCACAAGGGCTGCCGCTCCCGCTCTAGCGTGTGTGTAAACGCGAATTTTCAGTAACCCGGCAATAATTCGCGAACTAAAATTTTTTGGAGCGAGAATTATATTTTTTGGAGCGCGATCTTCCCATGGAAGATCCTGGACGGCATCGGCAACCGCATCGGACTCTCGATCGACGTTCTCGGCCTCCGTCAGCTGTTCCTAGAGCTCCGCCGTCCCCACCCCTGAGTTCGAACAACTAATTCCTAGAGCTACCTTATAATATAGGCGCTCTCGCTCCCGCTCCACGAATTGGTTAGCTAAGTACAAAATCAGAGCACACTGTATGATAGATATGGCAGCACGGCCTGAAAGAAAGCCTAGCAACTCATAACCATTCACAATTAAGCAAAAAGTTTCCAAAAGCGAAAATCAAAAAGGACAATCGTACTGAAGGAGAACCATACATTTATCATGTTGCATATTCTTCCAGCACCAGTATAACATCTTTCTGATCTTTTCATTGAGACAACACAAAAGCCTAAACTATATGCTAATAATATATAGCTGCGGGTCTACGAGAGCGATCAGAGATGGGGGAGGCCGAGGAAATCGCAGCCGGTTAACGTTGATTTCTCTGGGTCGAATTATTTCTCTGACAGGCGGGATAAGGAGAAAAAAGATTCATTTATTGGCAAATCAACATCTCTTTTGCCAGTTTAGTTTTAACCGACGCAAATTTTTATTTTATTTCCGAGAGTTTTAACTATCGCAATTGTTAACATAAGAAACTTAACGTTTGGTTAATTACACTAGTATTTCAATAATGTGGCAGAAACTTAATTAATGTTTGATTAATTTATTGCCTTCTTCCCAAACTCTTGTGTGCTGTTCGTTCGTTCGTCCGTCACCAGCCGTATGAGATATGTGTGGTTAGAGTCAGTTTTGTTTTCAAGTCGAGTTTCTCGTACTGAACTCAACACGTACATGTATTACTACTAGTCAAATCTGAACTAATTATAATAATCAGGGTTGTTACGAGAAATGGGTGGGGGAAAAAACGGTAAAAAGGCGAACAACTTGGTAACTGCTTTGCTCCTTTGACACGTTCGTCTTGCTCGCTCAAACCGTAAGGTAAACCCCGATGGAGATGGAGATGGAGATGGAGCTGTATATATAAATTAAAGCGCAGCAAAACCGGCCCCGTTTCGCCTCCCACCGAAACACGTACGGTGGTACGTACACAGCAAAGCAACGCTGCGCAAATGGCCTCCAAGCTGATGCTACTCCAGAAATCTTCTTCCCACGGCCGGCTGCTTATATCGCCGCTGCATCTCAATAATATTGGACCTCAGCTGATGAATGCAGCGGCAGCGGCAGGCGGCGGCAATGGCAGCGGCAGCAGCAGCACGAACATCGCTCAGCTGTCCCAAAACCACCAATCCTGCCTGCAGCAGGTCGATGATCGTCAGAGCTGGAAGCTGCCGCTGTTGGCTCCAAGGTGGAAGAAGCCGAGCCGCCAGGACTATGAGTTAGGTTTTGATCATGGTTATTTTGTATCCGACGACGAGCTTGAGTACCACGAATATGACGAAGATATCAAGGCGGTGCTGAGGGATCCTGACCTCAATATCATGAACAAGAAGAAAGGCTTTCTAAGCAAGAAGAAAGGAAGAAGCAGCAACGGCAACAAGAAATCAAAATGACCATCGATATATCATCATCACAACCTACGGCTCTACTTATTAATTACTTCACCGCCGGCCTCTCGTTTTCCATTTCGTTTCTTGTAATTCTCTGCATTGCAAATAAGTGAAGCGTCGACCAAATCTTCTTGAGCTAGCTGCATGTGATCAGCATGGGATTAATTGGCTACAGTCACATTCTTGTTTGTTAATTACTCTATTCTGTTATTGATGGTTTCAATTTTCAATTCCTTTGGTTGGTTGGTAAGTTTCAGATTCAGGGGGAAGAAACTAATTAAGTATAGTGCATAGCCCAATCTGTTTTTTTCCAGCTACAAGATTACTAAAGATTGTGATCATAAGCCAAAATGTGTGTCAAGCGTACATCAATATGATCGCAAATTAAAAGAGCTTCCAACAACAACATACAGCCACAGGTAGGGTTTTTCTCATCCATCCTACGTACTTAGAGGTGGCAATTGGATCGGATTCGTGGATTGGTGGATTGGATTGGTGGATCCATGAATCAAATGGATTGGATCCAATGGATTGGTGGATTCATGGATTGGATCAAATGGATTGGTGGATTGATCCATGAATCCAAATGACATCCAAGGCTTGGACCAAAATGTAAAATTTGAAAAGTTTTGGTACTACAATGTCATAATGAAAAATTTTAGGTACCAAAATGTAATTTTCCAATGATATTTTTCGTATAAAAATAAAAAATTTAGGTACCAAAATGTAAAATATAAAAAATATAGGTACCAAATTGTAATTTGCCATTTGGATCCATGGATTGATCCATGAATCCACCAATCCAATTGGATTTGGATCAAATGGATTGGATTTAAATGGATTGGATTAGGTGGATAATTTGGTGGATGGATTGGATTGGATTCATGGATTTGGATCCTAATTGCCACCTCTATACGTACTATCCCGTCTCGGTATAATAAGGTGAAGCTCTGCACCCACAGGAGTGCAGTCACGATTTGGCGTCGAGGGTTGGAATTTTTAAATCTCTACTTCGAAAAGATGATAAACCTCTTCCTCTACTTCACCTCCTCTCTCCTTTTTATCTCTTTTTTGCATCGTTTCCTCCCCCGTCTTTTGCCGGAGCCAAATCACCGCCGATAGAGCAAGTCGCTTTCAGCCACAGAGAGCCTCTTCCCTTCCAACCACTATATTGGCGGTGCCCCTATTGGGAATGACAATGGGATATGGGTCGACAGTTCTAGGTATCCCTTAATAAACCGAATGGGCATAAAGGGGAAAAGGAACAAAACGAGCGGTTCAAAGCTCGTGTTGTTGCTAAGGGCTTTCATCAGCGTCCGGGGGTTGATTTTCACAAGACATTCAGTCCTGTATTGAAGCCCGTTACCATTCGGACTGTCTTTGCCACTGCTCTTTCACATTCCTGGCCAATTTTCCAATTTGATGTTCATAATGCCTTCCTTCAAGGTCCTCTTCAGGAAGAGGTTTATATGGCTCGACCTCCCGGCTTCCATGATCCCAAGTTTCCCCGTCATGTCTGCCGTCTGCGTCGTGCTATTTATGGACTTCGCCAAGCCCCTCCTGCATGGTATGATGCCCTGAGTTCTTTTCTTCTTTGTTGCGGGTTTGTGAATACACATTCCGACGCGTCCTTGTTTGTCTATCGGCGTGATGGGGTCCTTGCCTATTTCCTGATGTACGTTGATGATCTTCTTCTTACTGGCAACAACTCGTCCTTCCTGACATCCTTCAGGAAGCAATTGGCGGCTCAATTCTCTCTTAAGCATCTTGGTTATGTCAACTACTTTTTGGGTATTGAGATCATTCCTACTACTCATGGTTATCTCTTGTCCCAGCATAAGTATGTGGTGGATCTTCTTACTCGCTTCCAGATGCATGACGCGAAGTCGAGCTCCACACCTCTCGCATCCACTGCTCGCCTCAGTGTCTCTAATGGTTCCAAGCCAGCGGATGCCACACTTTATCACCAGGCCATTGGGGCGCTCCAGTATCTCGTTACCACTCGTCCCGATGTTGCATTTTTAGTCAATCGCCTTTCTCAGTTCATGCATGCACCCACGACAGTGCATTGGCAGCACGTCAATCGCCTTCTTCGTTATGTGGCTGGGACTCACACTTTAAGTCTCCGCATCAGTCGACACTGCTCGCCTCTTCAGCTTCGTGTCTTCTCTGACTCTGACTGGGCTGGTGATCCTGATGACCGCACTTCCACCTCCGATTTTTTGGTTTATCTTGGTGATACGCTTATCTCGTGGAAGTCTAAAAAGCAACGCACTGTTGCTCGCTCCAACACTGAGGCTGAGTATCGTGCGCTAGCTTTAGTCACGTCAGAGGTTCAGTGTGTTCGTAATCTCTTATCCGAGCTTCGTCAACCTCTTTCGTCGGGCTCGACACTCTACTGTGATAATTTGGGAGCAGTTCACTTCAGCTCGAATCCCGTCTTTCATTCGTGCATGAAGCATCTTGCGTTGGATTATCATTTTGTGCGTCAATTGGTCCAGACTAAGCAGCTTGTTGTTCGACATCTTCCCACCGCGTCACAGCTTGCGGATATCCTCACCAAGCCATGATCGCGTACTCGGTTTCATTTACTACGGTCCAAGCTGGGGCTAGCTGACGCTGCCTCCATCTTGCGGGGGCATATTAGGGATAGGTAGGCTTATCCGTGTTAGTTTTATATTCCTTGTATGATAAGTAGTATATTACCTTGTCCTTGTTGTATACTCTTATTCTCTTGTAATCCTTGGGTTATAAATACTCTCAGTTGGTTAATGATACATACACATCATTCATACAAACCCTACAATCATATCCTTGATCCTTAAAAATATCTTTCATTATCAAAGTGCAATTCCCGTAAATTTGGATCAAACCGGACCATTGTACACCCCCTAAAACAACTATTATAAAGATAAATCATTCATTGTAATTTGTAAGACACGGAAGACAGCGATTACAAAAATAAAAAAATTCACGCAAGACAGCGGGGCACCCGAAAACTCGAGATGGAAACGGAGACACACCGCCGTCGGTTGGGAAGGTCAAATCTGAGTCTTGAAGGAAAAACGCCCCCAAGAAAACCCAAAAACAACACATCCAGCTTTCGTCAGACAAGTCAAATTACGCGATAAGAAAGACGAAAGAGCCGCCTGCCGCTAGCTCGCTCGCCTCCATTTCCCAATTCCATTCTGTCCAAATACCCGCTCTTCTTCCCTTTCTGGCAAATCTCATCCTTGCCGCCCCGATCTAACCGACTATGCACTCCACCAAACACCGCCGGAAAGTAGCGCCGGCCAATGGAGACGCAAACGACAACTCCGCCGATAAGCAGGACCAGCTCCATCTCTCCGCCGCCATCTACAACGGCGAGGACCTCGGCCCCTTCGTCCGCAAGGCCTTCACCACCGGCAAACCCGAGATCCTCCTTCACAACCTCCGCCACTTCGTCCGCTCCAAGGAGTCCGAGATCGAGGAAGTCTGCAAGGCTCACTACCAGGACTTCATCCTCGCCGTCGACGACCTCCGATCCCTCCTCTCCGACGTCGATTCCTTGAAATCCTCCCTCTCCGACTCCAATTCCAAGCTCCAGTCCGTCGCGGGCCCGCTCCTCACTTACCTCGACTCCTACATCGAGGCGCAGACCGTGTCTCACAACGTTTACTTGGCCCTCACTCTGATCGTCTCCTGCATCAAGCTCATGGAGCTTTGCTCCAGAGCGAACGATCATATGTCCGCCGGGAATCTCTACATGGCGTTGAGGTGCGTGGACGCGATCGAGACCGAGTTCGTCGATAAGGCGCCGTCGTCGACTTTGAAGCGGATGCTGGAGAAGAAGATCCCGCAGTTACGGTCGCACATCGAGAGGAAAGTGAGCAAGGATTTCGGAGATTGGCTGGTGGAGATCCGCGTTGTGAGTCGTAATTTGGGCCAGCTGGCCATTGGCCAAGCCTCCGCAGCGAGGCAGCGGGAAGAGGATCTGAGAATCAAGCAGAGACAGGCGGAAGAGCAGAGCCGGCTCAATCTGAGAGACTGCGTGTACGCGCTGCAAGAGGAAGAGGACGACGACGACGATGGGGTGAGCGGCGGGATGGATGATGATGCTAAGAGTGGATACAGCAATGGAGGCAACAGTCTGCTAGGGTTTGACTTGACTCCTCTTTACAGAGCTTATCACATACATCAGACGCTAGGGCTTGAGGACCGATTCAAGAAGTATTACTTCGAGAACAGGAAGCTTCAACTGACCTCGGACTTTCAGGTATCCTCCATGACTCCATTTCTCGAGTCGCATCAAACCTTTTTCGCTCAGATTGCTGGATTCTTTATCGTTGAGGATAGAGTGTTGAGAACTGGTGGGGGTTTGATCTCGAGAATGGAAGTCGATAATCTGTGGGAAACTGCTGTGAGTAAGATGTGTTCCGTGCTAGAGGATCAGTTCTCCAGGATGCAAACGGCTAATCATCTTCTGTTGATTAAGGACTATGTGAGCCTCCTTGGAGTGACATTGCGGAGATATGGGTACATTGTGGATGCTTTGTTAGAGGTGTTAAGTAAGCACAGGGATAAGTACCACGAATTACTGCTGTCTGATTGTCGCAAGCAGATTGCTGAGGCGCTTGCTGCTGATAAGTTTGAGCAGATGTTAATGAAAAAGGAGTATGAGTACTCCATGAATGTGCTTTCTTTCCAGATACAGATGTCTGATATCGTGCCTGCTTTTCCTTATGTTGCCCCATTTTCATCCACGGTGCCTGATTGTTGTCGAATTGTACGGTCTTTCATTGAAGACTCGGTGAGTTATATGTCGTACGGCGGGCAACTTGATTTCTTTGATGTGGTTAAGAAGTATCTGGACCGGCTTTTGAGTGACGTTTTGGATGGAGCTCTTCTGAAGCTCATTAACTCCTCGGTTCATGGGGTTTCCCAGGCTATGCAGGTTGCAGCCAATATGGTTGTGTTAGAACGGGCGTGTGAGTTTTTCTTTCGTCATGCTGCACAGCTCTCGGGCATACCATTAAGAATGGCTGAGAGGAGTAGGAGGCAGTTTCCATTGAACAATGCCCGAGATGCAGCTGAGGAGATGCTATCTGGGTTGCTGAAACAGAAAGTAGATGGTTTCATGACATTGATTGAGAACGTGAACTGGATGGCTGATGAACCAGTACAGAATGGGAATGAATATGTGAATGAAGTCATGATATATTTGGAGACTCTCGTCTCCACTGCACAACAAATATTGCCGGGAAACGTCCTGAAAAGGGTTTTGAGAGATGTTCTTTCTCACATTTCCGAGAAGATCGTTGGGGCTCTTGTTGCAGATTCTGTCAAGAGGTTCACTGTACAGGCTGTTATGGGGGTGGAAGTTGATGTGAAGATATTGGAAGCTTTTGCAGACAACCAAGCGACCCTGTTCCCCGAAGGGGATGCAAGTCAGTTGAAAACAGCTCTGGGTGAGGCGAGGCAGTTGGTTAATTTGCTGTTGAGCAGCCATCCAGAGAACTTTTTGAATCCAGTGATTCGGGAGAGGAGTTACAATCTGTTGGATTATCGGAAAGTGGTCACGATATCGGAGAAGTTGAAAGATCCTGCGGATAGATTGTTTGGTACATTCGGAAGCAGAGGAGCTAGACCCAATCCAAAGAAGAAATCCTTGGATACATTGATAAAGAGACTCAAAGATGTGAGCTGACGCACTCCAGAACTGTATGTGTAATCCTTGTTCTTTCTCTTGCATTTGGTTTGATCATAGTCGATTTCTCAGTTGCTGAACTTTTTCTTTTCGGGTTGTATTCTATTCTCGTACATGCGCATCTGATTGCTGTCTGGAACTCGTTTCTCTCCTGCAAGTTATGCTTGATAATTGACTTGATAGGCCGGGTTGCTTCGTTTCTTGTAATGTCCATTGACCACGAGGATGATTATATTACTACATACATTGGTGTTTCCTTTTACTACCGCCACATGAAAACTGAAAACTGAGCACAGGTTCTTTGATTGCAGTGTGAAGTTGAACTATGTGTGTGCCGGACGGCATGCTTGGACATGGGTTAGACTCTTTTTTTATGCCGTGTCTAATCGTGATCGTGTGATGTTTTTATCAGGCTCGTAATATTCGTGCTTCTATCGTGTTGGTGTCAATGTTCCAACAATTACCCTGCTAATGTGACTCCAAGTATAGTGCAATTGATCGAGAAATAGCTATTACTCCATATTACCCCCTTCCACTCTGTGGTCCTCTCTCTAGTCCTTTTTCTTCTTTGGCTTTGCTCTTTAGCCTCCTTTGCTATTTTGGAGAGTGCTTGCTCACTCTCAATCACGAAGCTATTCTAATTACAACTTGCTCTTAGGCTTTAGTGTTGAAGGAAAATGAGCTCCCTAAATGGCCTCAATTTTCTTCATCGTCCTCTCACTCGTCGCCTCCATGTCAAGCTCTATCTTGGAATTTGCCTTGGTTCTGAAGGATGTTCTTCTAGGGTAACATATGAGACATCTCTATTTTTTCAGTAGAAAATCTTTCAAATTACCACCGGTTAGTTTTCGATTTGCCCCTTATCATAAAATGAAATGTGAATAACTCATCCTCCTATCTTTGAAATAAGGAGGGCTTCTGGTTCTATCAGTGCTTGAAACAATTTTGTCTTCTCCATATTACTCTTTCTCGAGAGTCAATAATTTTTTATGAGGAACTACTGAAATCAAATCAATCATTTACTATCGTTACTCTTCAATTTTCCGTTGAGATCTATCCTATAGAGGTAATCTAAACCAACTATTTATTATCATAATGTTATGAATATAAATACATAGATATATATAATATATGGATGTCCAAAGTACCAAATGACAATTAGTCATTTCAAACCAACTACCTAATTATTGCACCTAAAAATTTCCCACGTATTTATGAGTATGAATATGCAATTCTTATCCATTACATTATACAGATAGAAAGGCTAGAAGCGTATATCCCTTGTCGATTCGATTCAGAAAAGACAACTTTACGAATTGGACGAGTGATAATATTATGGGAGTTAAGTTAGACCATATGATATGCCGCACAAAATTTGGCCAACAACCATTAAACAACAATTAGATGCCGCTAGCAATGTGGTAGATGAGATTCAGATCGAACCAAACTACAAGTCCTTCCCCTGCTGCCGTCTACCAGAAGGCAAATATTCCCCTGCCTTCACCGCCTCAGAAAACCAGGTCACAAAGCATTTTGCAGAGATCGGTCGAAAATTTCCGATGTCGCCGTCGCTAGTTTTCCTCGTCCTTCTCCTCCTATCCCCTTTCCAGCCGTCCGCCGCTTCCTCCTCATCATCCTCCCCCGTCGATGTTCTTCCCGTCGCGGGACAATCAGCGTACGACATCCTCGCCGGATTCAACTTCCCCGCCGGCCTCCTCCCCCAGGGCGCCACCGGCTACGAACTCGACCCGTCCACCGGAAGATTCCGCGCCTACTTCAACGGCACCTGCAGCTTCTCCCTGGAAGGATCGTACCAGCTCAAGTACAAATCCGTCATCGGCGGGTACATTAGCGAGAATCGGCTGACTCAGCTCACCGGCGTCAGCGTGAAGATCCTGTTCCTCTGGCTGAACATCGTCGAGGTCGTGAGGAGTGGCGACGACATCGACTTCTCCGTCGGGATCGCCTCGGCGAGCTTCGGGATCGACAATTTCTTCGTCTGCCCGAGGTGCGGCTGCGGATTGGACTGCGGAGGAGCGAGCAAGCCTGCGAGGAGACCTTTTGTGTCCTCGATCTAGGGATTTCGGTTTCCTCTCTCAGGTTAGTCAATATCAAGCGATCACAAAGAAAATTGAAAGACAAATTATGGCATTGGTTAATTAGACCTTTTTTCATGTTCTGGAATGAGAATCGTGGATTGGTATCTCAGTCTATTGATTCTTTGATTGTATGTTTTCTTTGTTACTCATTGTTATCAGCGTTTCTTAGTCCTTCTCGTAAAGCTAGTTTTGAAGATAGATTTCAGCACAGGGCTGTAGCCTCCCTCTAAGGTTCATGATTGAGTATAAACAACGTTTTAAGACTTCCCCATCAACATAAGCACAGTGAATCTTATTCTTATGTGCATCTCTGCTACAGCATGATACATAACAAGCTCCATTCAGTTTCAATAGAAAGATGGCTTTAAGAGACAGAAGAAGTTAGCAAAGGAAATGTGTATTGTTTGATATGTTCACAGCAACTTTGCTAGATGATGATTCTTTAGGGCAAAGAGTGGCTTTACTCACTGTCTTAGACTGTTCTCCTGACTGACAGCCTTCCAAGGATGAGTGGTGAATGGATTTGCAGTTTCAGTTGGTTGTATAGGCGTTCTTATGCTCAAATGTGTTACAAAAGAAAATGCTTGGTTGTCTTGGTTTGATGGCTTTATTTGGTTCCAAATGGAGAAGATCGCGACGATCGATTCGAGTTTGGAATGCTTTAATCTTAGAGTTGAGTGAGCAGGAGGCGTTGTTTTTTTTCTTCAACTCACTTGAATAATCGATGCCTGCTAAAAACCTTTCTACTTGTTTATAGAAACCAAATCATAATACGCCCTGGTTGTGGTATTGCTCACCAATGTTTTGGCATGCTGCACAAGAAAACTTGTGAACAGAGCTCCCATTTATGGACTGTGTAAATGGATTATGATCACAGACGTTGGTTGGCAACTGTGTGTAACAGTGATACTAGTTGTCTCGCTTCCACCAACGTTCAGCTTTGGTCAGAAACATATGGTCGGAGTTTTTTTCTCTTCCTGGTCCTCTCTGCATCTCCCTATACTTGGTCTTTGAGAGTTGCAGCTTGGCTTGAGATTATGGTCGATCTTCTTAAAACATCCCGACCCTCTTTTGATCGAAGCCGCTTTCTTCAGGCGTACGCTTAATGCTAGAACGGATTGGGTTGCTCGCTCGTTAGCACGTAATGAGCACCCTCATGACTACTTGCTATTCTTAACTTACTTTCACCCATTCGTATGTAACCTGTGCACTTGTGACACGCCCAATATGGCAGCTTCTCGCATGTACGCTTCAGCTCCGGACTAGGCTTCTTCCGACCATTGCATATGCATGAACAAAATTGTACGTCTTTGTGACAGAAAGAAATGGGCGACTACAAAAACAAAAATCAATTTGAAAGAAACCAATGGCTAGTTTTTCCAAGAAAGAGCAACAACTAGTTTTATGAACTCTATAAATGGCCTTTCGTTCACTTTTGCCCATTTCACCACTTGTTAATATTTCTCTTCCTCCCAGACTCTCTGAAATATTGATCATGTCTATTAGTGATTGGTATCCAAATTGGAACATTCTTTATGCAAAGCTTGTATTGAAGTTATAGAGGACGATTCCATCATCGATTATCTGTCATCGAGTGAATTTTGGGGGAGAATTATTGCCATATTTGGTCGTAATATACGGTCGATGTGGGGATGTAAGATTATCAGTAATAAATTTAAGGCCTTGAATGCAGCGCTGAGGAGGGAACACGAGACACCACACATGTATTGAACCTAAATGACGTAGTTAGTCAAGTTCTTATATTTATTACCATGTATTTAATTTTTTTAATTATGTATAGTTCATAGTTATGTAATTAAATTAATTGTCTAGGTAACTCAAGAAAAAACAATTATCATAGCAAATAACAAAAAATAAAATAAATTCAGGTTCGAGTATTGTTGGAGTAGCTTCAAATATTGTTCAAAACTTATGCAACAACTTTATGCCCCATAGTGACTATTTCACCAATAGAGACGACTTCATCGTCCATGTCATCTTGCAAAAGTGATAGCCCCAGCTTTCAAACAAGTGTGTCTCCTTTAATGATCAACCGTATGAAAAGGTCGGGGTAAGCAAAATGTTTAGGAATGAGGGAATCTAGAGCCTTCCATGGAGGCTTGGCAAAAGAGTATGGCCAAACTGGTGACAAATTCAATCACACATGCAAGATTAGTACTCACAACTCACAAGTCGAGGTAAGCAAGGGATAAGAATAAGCCCGAACAAGGGATAATGAATTTGGATCTTCCTCAATATATTTCTCGAATTAGAGCTTGGTGTCAAGCACAAAAAGATGGAATTGTGGTCCTTATCAACTTGATTCAATTTCAGTTGCGGAAGAATCCAGCTCTTGCTCATGGGATGACACTTACGTCCCCGACACGTAATATTTTAAGTAGATTGATCTGCTTTATTTTGATTATATTTCTTTAACTAAAGTTGGATGAACGATTAATGACACAACTCATTTTGTCCAACATGTGATTAATCTATAACCAGCTGAACAAATTATTGTATTTCCATAATTGATTAAGTCATATTTAGTGATAAAAATTAATCATTACTACCGCTACCTATATAAAAATAATTTTAAAGAAAGTCACATAAAATGAAGAAGGTACACTAAATTTCATTTTTTTTTGTTAGAAAAGTTACACTATAAATTAGATTCGGACAAAAAATTAAATGGCTAGAACCAAATTTAGCGCTGGGCGGGTTGCTACAGTCTGGTTCTAGTTTGACAGCTCTATTAAAGACTATCTTCAATCAACGGCCTAAAATCAACAAAGGGACGAGCCACGTGTAAAAAAACATCCATAGTATAGTAGCATTCAGAATTTCAGATCAAGCTTTTGCCTTCTCAAGTAGGCGATCTTAACGAACAGCATAACGTTATATTCCCTATTATTCCCAGCAGTCAGAAACAGCCACGTGAAAAACAAATATTACAGCCCTGCATTACCTTCTTAAATACCACTCCAACAAAAATAACTAAAAGCAAATACTTTTACAAGACCGCCTGCAATAGACGCCTTCTTGATGCCACCCTCCACCCAGCCATGTGAAGGTAAGCCTCTTACGACTCTTGAGGTGCCTCGAATCGTGTTGGTGTATCAATTCCCATCATACAGCAAAGTCCCGATATCAAAATCAGAAGCAAAACAATCCCCTGCAACATGTGCAACTTTGAATTAGGATCCGCAAAGTGCAAAGGGTGCAGCAACCAGGAAAGCATAGCAATAGACGCAACCAAGAGTGAGTGAGCGAGCAAGTAAGCAAACCGGGTTGTGCTACAGCAGACCAATAGATGGTAAAAGTTAGGAGCACCAAAACAAGAACAAGGTATTCATCCAAGGACACCTGAACAGCCTAAATATCAAAACAAGAAATGAAGCTTCGAAGGAGCTAACAGTTCCAACAGTATGAGTTTCGCATGTGAATCACCTTATCAAACATTTTTCATCAAATAGATTAGAGCAACTGTATTCTTTTCAAAATTTATATATTAGCATGTTATCAACTAACCGCATATTCACAGATCAAACCTGAAGTTAAGAACAAGGGGGAAATACAATAAATAGATTGATAAGAATGAATCAAGAAATTAAATCAAAATTGATTAAAATGTGCATGCACTTAATGCTTAATCTGCAATGAAGATGTGACTTCAAAGGTGTGAGAATTGTCTATTGACCAACATGTTAATTTCCAGCACAGTAATTCTTTAACTCGGTTATGTAACCGGAAATAATCCACACAATCAGTATGGAATCAGTGAGCCAAACAAAGTGCACACTGCAAGCAGAGATCCACACTCCATTCAAGATGTTAATGCATTCAACAGTAACACCAGATATCTTGGTAACATTTGAATCAAAGGCCAAAAGGAACTTACCACTAAAACTCCCTCCAGAAGTGATGATTTGATTTGGCATAATTCATCACACCCCGTAGATTTAACTGACTCGTTTCGCCGAGTATCTTCGGCCAGAAACCTTCCTGAATTTGACTGAGAAGGGTATAGGATAGATTGAAAGGGATTTGAAACATATAGGACCGAGTACGTTGCTCCTGACGCTTCCACAGAGTTGAGAAGCTCAGAAAAAACTTCACCTACACATTCAAGAAACCCAGCAGCGTAAGAATTTCTGTGGAATAAAATCAGAAATAATATGGAAAATCTGAAGCTTCGATAACGCAATGAGAAAACAGACCTTCACTTTGTGTCTTCCCGACCATTTTTGAGGACTGAGAACCTCCATGGCAGAAAACAACAAGGTCTGTTCGGCCATCCACTCTCTTTTCAGCCCTTGAACTGAGGTGATCCTGGATGATATATGGGGTTCAAAGGTTGTGTAGGGTTAAAAGATAATTACAGGTCTGCCCCAGGAAATGATAAAAATAATCTTGAACATGTCGAAATGACTTACTCGGACTGCTTCCACATCAATAAGCTTCTGGAACTTTTGATCATCGATGGAGCATGACTCAGAAAAAGCAACAGTGCTGGCTTCTAACTCCTCTCCGCAAGCTTCTTGGAAACCCATCAACAAAGAATTCTCCATCGACTCCTTTGGTGATGCTGCAACGTAAGGAAATCCCATGGAAAGGTTGGACTTCGAAAAGGAGACCTACCCAAAAGCACGGCATCAGTCAGTACAACAGCTCAGACTACTGCAGCATCAGTATGCTAGATGGTTAGTTGAACTCTTTGAGATTAGTGGGATTATGACCGGTTACCTTGAGCAAGTTCAACAAGACCGGGTCTGTATCAGTGTTTGCAGAAATGTCAGATGACAGGAGCTGCAGACATGAGCGTAAAAAATGAAGAGATACAACAATCAATTACCAATTGCTCTGCAGGAAAGTTACTGTAAAAAAAGTTGCAAAGCCATGCAACTGAAAGGATACACTGGAGCATCCAAGGAATGACACTAATGGAAACAAAAGGTTGTTCCACAAACTAGGGGAGCTAGAAGTCCAAGTTTAACCATTAGCCGGAATAGAAATTAGAAAAGCACCATCTTTGTGCAGGTGATGGTCATGCTACCTAATTTTAACTATTAGACATTCTCTTTTAAGAATATAGAACTATGAACCTCGAAAAGGTTATTACCTCTCTACCAACGAAGACAAGTGCCACGTCCACAGGCTGGTGAACCTTTTTCCCAGGGCACTAAAAAAGTAGAGATATAAAAGTTCATCAAGCCTAGAACCCAAGTTATTGTCTATAAACTTGAGAAAAAACCAATGGAAAAAAATCCAAAGGATAAAGAAACCAAAAGCATTTGGGAAAACCATGCGACGAAGAAACTCTTGATACCATTAAGTTTGACCAGCCGCCTTGAGATAGAACAGACTTGGCAAGATCTAGTGAAGAAATTGTCTGGTAGGTAACAGCGGCATCCATCTCACCATTTGAGACCCTATAACAACTCTAGTAAGTACATATAATTCCACTGAAAAGTACACAACAAGTATGCATATCATATTTCTGAATTCTTCCGAGTGATAGGCAGATCAGATGTCACTCAAATATGAGTCCTTGCACAAGAATGAGTTGATGACATAACTTGTGAAACACATTATGTGCATACTTATGCAATTCTAAGTAACATGAAAACATAACTTGTCTGCCTCCATGACCACAAGCAATGTGACTAAATTTGAGCTCATACACACATGAGAAAAGAAGGCGGGGTGGGAGTGGATGGTGTCTCGAGGGAAAGAGCTTAGCAACTGAAAAAGGAAACAAGGGTAACCTACTGATGGATGTGAGGAGAAAAGAGAAGAGCAGGGGAAGTTGGCGATGGGACAGCCATTGGTGAATGAATAAGAGCCGCAACAACCAATAGTTGAAGCCACATTTGAATACCATTCATCCTCATCTTCTTCTCGCTTCCTTTCTGCTACCCTACAAATAATCATCAACGGAAGCCACAGCAGACCATCAATATATTGAGCACAGATTACACAAAGCAGAAAATACAACCTGACAACTGAACATCCGTTCTGCATCTAAAAGTTTCACATAAAGAATCCGATCAAATCAAGCAAAGAAACCAACCAGACAGAAAGGCCAAAATGGACGGCTCCACATCCACCCCATAAGCATATCACAATCAGCAATTCCAAATAGAATAAACTATACCTCACTAGGAGCACCAAAATCGCCATAACCACTTTGCATCATCTAGGGATAAACACAACTCTCTCTAGTTACTGATTATAGAAAATGCAAATCCAAAAAGAGGATAGGAAACAAAGCAGAAAGTTCGCATGAATTTCGATCGCGACAAAACGCAAATTATTTCATGCTAAGCTTAGTCGGCAACTATTTTGGGAGAATCGTAACCTGATGTCGAAGATACCTAGAAACAGCCGGGGGAAAACAAATCCAGGCGATCGGCGGTGGGGCTGAACTTCGCTTGCAGCACTTTCTTCTCGTCTCTCCCGATCGGGCAGAGATAGATTTAGCGGTGAGGATCGTCGACAGCACGACCAGACCGTCGGAGTGCAATCGTAGGCGACGACGGCAAAATTGTTCAGTACTCTCGCTTCCCTTCCCTGCGACCTGCTAGCCAAATCCAGATCTTCTGATCTAATTTCCTTCTCCAATTTTATCAGAACCAGAGGCCAAACTTGAAGGACAAAGAAAATAACACGAAACAATAACCACCACCATAAATAACCAAAAAAAAAAAAAAAATGTAGCTCCAAAGCGCGAAACGTCGTCGTCATCGGTGATAGGAGACTAGGAGTTAGGGCCGGAAGTTTGCTACCGTATTTGAGATATATCGGATATACCGAATATCGTACCGAATTCTATTGATCCTATTCTCCAACGATAATGAAGTCTATTGATCCTATTCTTCACCAATGATTAAGTCTTTAGGGATAGATTTGGGCCAATTTATTTTGGGGTGACATTTTCGTAATTCTTTGGGCGATTTTTTTCTAAAGGCCATTTTCTATGGATTTTGAAGGCTACAAATCACGGATTCCGCCTGAGGCTATTCTTCATCGACGAGTAAGTCCATTAAGCACGGATTTGGGTGGATTTATTCCGGGCACATTTTTGGCAAATTCCAAAGGGGTACCATCACATATTTCGAGCGATTTTTCCTAAATGGTATTTTCCTTCGATTTTGGAGGCTACATATCACGGATTCCGCCCGAGGCTATTCTCCACCGTTAATGAAGTCTATTGATCCTATTCTCTACCAATGATTAAGTCCATGAGGCATAGAATTAGGCCAATAATTTTGGGATGGGATTTACGTAATTCTTTGAGCGAATTTTTTTCGAAAGGCCATTTATCATGGATTTTGAAGGCTACAAATCACGTATTCGACCTGAGGCTATTCTTCAACGACCAGTACGTCTATTAAGCACGGATTCGGGCGGATTTCTTCCGGGGTCCGTTTTTGGCATATTCCAAAGGGGTACCATCACAGATTTCGGGCGATTTATCCGAAATGTCATTTTCTTTCGATTCTGGAGGCTACAGATCACAGAATCAGGCCGAGGCTATTCTCCACCGATAATGAAGTCTATTGATCCTATTCTCCACGGATGATAAGTCCGTGAAGCATCGATTTGGGCCAATTTACTTTCGGATGTCATTTTCGTAATTTCTTGGGCGACGAAAGGCCATTTTCATTGGATATTGAAGGCTACAGATCACGGATTCGGCCTAAGGCTATTCTCCAATGATGATTGAGTCCATTAAGCACCAATTTAGGCGGATTTATTTCAGGTCAATTTTTGGCAGATTCCAAAGGGGTACCATCACAGATTTCAGGCGATTTATCCGAAATGCCATTTTCTTTCGATTCTGGAGCCTACAGATCACGAAATCAGGCCGAGGCTATTCTCCACCGATAATGAAGTCTATTGATCATATTCTCCACAGATGATAAGTCCGTTAAGCATCGATTTGGGCTAATTTATTTTCGGATGGCATTTTCGTAATTTCTTGGGCGACGAAAGGTCATTTTCTTTGGATATTGAAGGCTACAGTTCACGGATTCGGCCTGAGGCTATTCTCCAAGGATGATTGAGTCCATTAAGCACCGATTTGGGAGGATTTATTCCGGGTCAATTTTTTGGCAGATTCCAAAGGGGTACCATCACAGATTTCGGTCGATTTATCCGAAATGCCATTTTCGTTCGATTCCGGAGGCTACAGATCACGGAATCAGGCCGAGGCTATTCTCCACCGATAATGAAGTCTATTGATCCTATTTTCCACGGATGATAAGTCCGTTAAGCATCGATTTGGGCCAATTTGTTTTCGGATGGCATTTTCGTAATTTCTTGGGCGACGAAAGGCCATTTTCATTGGATATTGAAGGCTATAGATCACGGATTCGGCCTGAGGCCATTCTCCATCGATGATTGAGTCCATTAAGGACCGATTTGGGTGGATTTATTCTGGGTCAATTTTTGGCAGATTCCAAAGGGGTACCATCATAGATTGCGGGCGATTTATCCGAAATGCCATTTTCTTTCGATTCTGGAGGCTACAGATCACAGAATCAGGCCGAGGCTATTCTCCACCGACAATGTAGTCTATTGATCCTATTCTCCACGGATGATAAGTCTGTTAAGCATCGATTTGGGCCAATTAATTTTCGGATGGCATTTCGTAATTTCAAGGGCGACGAAAGGCCATTTTCTTTGGATATTGAAGGCTACAGATTACGGATTCGGCCTGCGGCTATTCTCCAACGATGATTGAGTCCATTAAGCACCGATTTCGGTGGATTTATTCCGGGTCAATTTTTGGCAGATTCCAAAGGGGTATAATCACAGATTTCGGGCGATTTATCCGAAATGCCATTTTCTTTCGATTCTGGAGGCTACAGATGACGGAATATGGCCGAGGTTATTCTCCACCGATAATGAAGTCTATTGATCCTATTCTCCACGGATGATAAGTCCGTTAAGCATCGATTTGGGCCAATTTATTTTCGGATGGCATTCTCATAATTTCTTGGGCGACGAAAGGCCATTTTCATTGGATATTGAAGGCTACAGATCACAGATTCGGCCTCAGGCTATTCTCAAATGATGATTGAGTCCATTAAGCACTGATTTGGGCGGTTTTTTTCCGGGTCAATTTTTGGCAGATTCCAAAGGGGTACCATCACAGATTTCGGGCGATTTATCCGAAATGCCATTTTCTTTCGATTCTGGAGGCTACAGATCACGGAATAAGGCCGAGGCTATTCTCCACCGATATTGAAGTCTATTGATCCTATACTCCACGGGTGATAAGTCCGTTAAGCATCGATTTGGGCCAATTTATTTTCGAATGGCATTTTCGTAATTTCTTGGGCGACGAAAGGCCATTTTCTTTGGATATTGAAGGCTACAGATCACGGATTCGGCCTAAGGCTATTCTCGAACAATGATTGAGTCCATTAAGCACCGATTTGGGTGGATTTATTCCTTGTTAATTTTTGGCTGATTCAAAAGGGGTACCATCACATATTTCGGGCGATTTATCGAAAATGCCATTTTCTTTCGATTCTGGAGGCTACAGATCACGGAATCAGGTCGAGGCTATTCTCCACCGATAATGAAGTCTATTGATCCTATTCTCCACGGATGATAAGTCCGTTAAGCATCGATTTGGTCAAATTTATTTTCGGACGGCATTTCCGTGAATTCTTTGGTGACGAAAGGCCATTTTCTTTGGATATTGATGGCTACAGGTTACGGATTCTGCCTGAGGCTATTCTCCAACGATGATTGTGTCCAGTAAGCACCGATTTGGGCGGATTTATTCCGGGTCAGTTTTTGGCAGATTCCAAAGGGGTACCATCACAGACTTCGGGCGATTTATCCGAAATGTCATTTTCTTTCGATTCTGGAGGCTACAGATTAAGGAATCAGGCCGAGGTTATTCTCCACCGATAATGAGGTATATTGATCCTATTCTCCACGAATTTTAAGTCCGTTAAGCATCGATTTGGGCCAATTTATTTTCGGATGCCATTTTCGTAATATCTCTGGCGACGAAAGGCCATTTTCTTTGGAAATTGAAGGCTACAAATTAGGGATTCGGCCTGAGGCTATTCCCAACGATGATTGAGTCCATTAAGCACCGATTTGGGCGGATTTATTCCTGGTCAATTTTTGGCAGATTCCAAGGCCGAGGCTATTCTCCAACGATAATGAAGTCTATTGATCCTATTCTCCACGGATGATAAGTCCGTTAAGCATCGATTTGGGCCAATTTATTTTCGGATGGCATTTTTGTAATTTCTTGGGCGACGAAAGGCCATTTTCATTGGATATTGAAAGCAACGGATCACTGATTCAGCCTGAGGCTATTCTCCAACGATGATTGAGTCCATTAAGCACCGATTTGGGCGGATTTATTCCGGGTCAATTTTTGGCAGATTCCAAAGGGGTACCATCACAGATTTCGGGCGATTTATCCGAAATGCCATTTTCTTTCGATTCTGGAGGCTACAGATCACGAAATCAGTCCAAGGCTATTCTCCACCGATAATGAAGTCTATTGATCCTATTCTCCACGGATGATAAGTTCGTGAAGCATCAATTTGGGCCAATTTATTTTCAGATGGCATTTTCGAAATTTCTTGCGCGCTGAAAGGACATTTTCATTGGATATTGAAGGCTATAGATCACGGATTCAGCCTGAGGCTTTTCTCCAACGATGATTGAGTCTATAAGCACCGATTTGGGCGGATTTATTCCGGGTCAATTTTTGGCAGATTCCAAAGGGATACCATCACAGATTTCTTGCGATTTATCCGAAATGCCATTTTCTTTCGATTCTGGAGGCTACAAATCACGAAAACCAGGCCGAGGCTATTCTCCACTGATAATGAAGTCTATTGATCCTATTCTCCACGGATGATAAGTCTGTTAAGCATCAATTTGGGCCAATTTATTTTCGGATGGCATTTTCGTGATTTCTTGGGCTACGAAAGGCCATTTTCATTGGATATTGAAGTCTACAGATCACGGATTCGGCCTGAGTCTATTCTCCAACAATGATTGAGTCCATTAAGCACTGATTTGGGCGGATTTATTCCGGGTCAATTTTTGGCAGATTCCAAAGGGGGTACCATCACAGATTTCAGGCGATTCATCCGAAATGCCATTTTCTTTTGATTCTGGAGGCTACAGATCACGGAATCAGTCCGAGGCTATTCTCCACCGATAATGAATTCTATTGATCCTATTCTCCACGGATGATAAGTCCGTTAAGCATTGAAATGGGCCAATTTATTTTCTGATGGCATATTCATAATTTCTTGGGCGACGAAAGGCCACTTTCTTTGGATATTGAAGGCTACAGATCACGGATTCGGCCTGAGGCTATTCTCCAACGATGATTTAGTCCATTAAGCACCGATTTGGGCGCATTTATTCCGGGTCAATTTTTGGCAGATTCCAAAGGGGTACCATCACAGATTTCGGGCGATTTATCCGAAATGCCATTTTATTTCGATTCTGGAGGAGACAGATCACAGAATCATAATGAGGCTATTCTCCACCGATAATGAATTCTATTGATCTTATTCTCCACGGATGATAAGTCCGTTAAGCATCGAAATGGGCCAATTTATTTCCGGATGGCATTTTCGTAATTTCTTGGGCGACGAAAGGCCATTTTCTTTGAATATTGAAGGCTACAGATCACGGATTCGGCCTGAGGCTATTCTCAAACGATGATTTAGTTCATTAAGCACTG